TCAAGCCCTTGAAGCCAGCCATTCCTGGAGTCCTGGTGCTGAGTAAAGTCCACAGCCGATGCCATGGCCCAGGCCATGCCACCGATCTGCTGAGAAGGACTCGCAACTGGCTCCTGTTTCGGTCCCTGCGCCATCCGGCGGAGCAAGTTGTTCTCCTGCTCCAGCCTGGCTACTTCCGCTGCCAGCCTCCGCAGGTCCTGCTTCGAGGGAGCACTTGCTCCACCGCGCTCAGCCTCTGATGACGTGGCGTGGCTGTGATGATGAATCGGAGGGACGAGGTCCGGCATGGGGTCGGATCTAATCTCTTCGTCCCTCGGAATCAGATCGGCTGCTTCGAATCTGCTCTGCCAATCCATGCCTCTAAGACTTGGCGTTCGCGTGACATACAGCTCGAAGTCGCTTCCCTCCTGTGCCGCATTGGGAGTGCTCACCCCACTGTCAATGTGGGAATAGCACAGCAGCGGCAAAGACTTTCCGCCATTGGTGTCGGGAACAGTGTCCGTGTCACTCATGGGCTCATCCGAAGCGAAGGTACTGGCCTCCTCGACAACCTTGACCTCACAAGGCTTCCGTGGCTCAGTCACCTGCGTGCGTGAGTAACCCTCGTAAAGAACGGAGTCTGAGCTTGCACGCATCAAGCAGCTGGCGAACTCATCTGCACCATCTTCGACAAATTCGATGAACGTGTTGCGCAGCACCCATGATCGACTGGATGAGGCTTGCTCCTTCTGAACTGATTCCATCGCGTCCTGCACTGGTCCCTTGCTGAGGTGGAGCGCAAACAGACAGCCACCCTTGAGTCCTTGAGCTAAGACGGCCAAGTTTGATGGGCACTCAGGCTGACAAAGGAAACTTGGTGAGGGTGAATACTGCCAAGTGTCATGCTACGTTGGACAGCTGCCTCAAATTGCCTCAAAATCGATCGGCCGTGGTTTTCCCAGCAATTTCTCTGCTATGCGCCAAGTACGCGATTGCTCACTTAGGAGATGTAGGAACTGCTGGTGACGGTTGCTCCAAGCATTTGTTGCATGCCAACCCTGTACAAGACCGGCCAAATCCGGCTTCGCCCCTGAGAGCGAGGTGCGTGAAGGAATTCGGGTACCCTTTTCACAAAAGTACAAATCAAGCAGTTCATCTTGAACTCACATGCCCGGGGGTGCAGGGAAGAAGTTTTGGAGCATCTGCAAAAGCTTGCCGCCTATGACGCGAGCCCGCCGCTTTGCTACGATGGTGCTTTCGATCACGAGGGTAACGGAAAGTCTTCCAGGGTTCCGGCAAGGCTGCACAGTCGCCGTGTTGAACTGCTTTGTACTCATCCTGCACGTGCTCGTGCATCGCAGGGCTGTTGTGGCAGGAAGACCTCTCAAGCCCTTGAAGCCAGCCATTCCTGGAGTCCTGGTGCTGAGTAAAGTCCACAGCCGATGCCATGGCCCAGGCCATGCCACCGATCTGCTGAGAAGGACTCGCAACTGGCTCCTGTTTCGGTCCCTGCGCCATCCGGCGGAGCAAGTTGTTCTCCTGCTCCAGCCTGGCTACTTCCGCTGCCAGCCTCCGCAGGTCCTGCTTCGAGGGAGCACTTGCTCCACCGCGCTCAGCCTCTGATGACGTGGCGTGGCTGTGATGATGAATCGGAGGGACGAGGTCCGGCATGGGGTCGGATCTAATCTCTTCGTCCCTCGGAATCAGATCGGCTGCTTCGAATCTGCTCTGCCAATCCATGCCTCTAAGACTTGGCGTTCGCGTGACATACAGCTCGAAGTCGCTTCCCTCCGGTGCCGCATTGGGAGTGCTCACCCCACTGTCAATGTGGGAATAGCACAGCAGCGGCAAAGACTTTCCGCCATTGGTGTCGGGAACAGTGTCCGTGTCACTCATGGGCTCATCCGAAGCGAAGGTACTGGCCTCCACGACAACCTTGACCTCACAAGGCTTCCGTGACTCAGTCACCTGCGTGCGTGAGTAACCCTCGTAAAGAACGGAGTCTGAGCTTGCACGCATCACGCAGCTGGCGAACTCATCTGCACCATCTTCGACAAATTCGATGAACGTGTTGCGCAGCACCCATGATCGACTGGATGAGGCTTGCTCCTTCTGAACTGATTCCATCGCGTCCTGCACTGGTCCCTTGCTGAGGTGGAGCGCAAACAGACAGCCACCCTTGAGTCCTTGAGCTAAGACGGCCAAGTTTGATGGGCAATCAGGTTGACAAAGGAAACTTGGCGAGGGTGAATACTGCCAAGTGTCATGCTACGTTGGACAGCTGCCTCAAATTGCCTCAAAATCGATCGGCCGTGGTTTTCCCAGCAATTTCTCTGCTATGCGCCAAGTACGCGATTGCTCACTTAGGAGATGTAGGAACTGCTGGTGACGGTTGCTCCAAGCATTTGTTGCATGCCAACCCTGTACAAGACCGGCCAAATCCGGCTTCGCCCCTGAGAGCGAGGTGCGTGAAGGAATTCGGGTACCCTTTTCACAAAAGTACAAATCAAGCAGTTCATCTTGAACTCACATGCCCGGGGGTGCAAAGAAGTTTTGGAGCATCTGCAAAAGCTTGCCGCCTATGACGCGAGCCCGCCGCTTTGCTACGATGGTGCTTTCGATCACGAGGGTAACGGAAAGTCTTCCAGGGTTCCGGCAAGGCTGCACAGTCGCCGTGTTGAACTGCTTTGTACTCATCCTGCACGTGCTCGTGCATCGCAGGGCTGTTGTGGCAGGAAGACCTCTCAAGCCCTTGAAGCCAGCCATTCCTGGAGTCCTGGTGCTGAGTAAAGTCCACAGCCGATGCCATGGCCCAGGCCATGCCACCGATCTGCTGAGAAGGACTCGCAACTGGCTCCTGTTTCGGTCCCTGCGCCATCCGGCGGAGCAAGTTGTTCTCCTGCTCCAGCCTGGCTACTTCCGCTGCCAGCCTCCGCAGGTCCTGCTTCGAGGGAGCACTTGCTCCACCGCGCTCAGCCTCTGATGACGTGGCGTGGCTGTGATGATGAATCGGAGGGACGAGGTCCGGCATGGGGTCGGATCTAATCTCTTCGTCCCTCGGAATCAGATCGGCTGCTTCGAATCTGCTCTGCCAATCCATGCCTCTAAGACTTGGCGTTCGCGTGACATACAGCTCGAAGTCGCTTCCCTCCTGTGCCGCATTGGGAGTGCTCACCCCACTGTCAATGTGGGAATAGCACAGCAGCGGCAAAGACTTTCCGCCATTGGTCTCGGGAACAGTGTCCGTGTCACTCATGGGCTCATCCGAAGCGAAGGTACTGGCCTCCTCGACAACCTTGACCTCACAAGGCTTCCGTGGCTCAGTCACCTGCGTGCGTGAGTAACCCTCGTAAAGAACGGAGTCTGAGCTTGCACGCATCAAGCAGCTGGCGAACTCATCTGCACCATCTTCGACAAATTCGATGAACGTGTTGCGCAGCACCCATGATCGACTGGATGAGGCTTGCTCCTTCTGAACTGATTCCATCGCGTCCTGCACTGGTCCCTTGCTGAGGTGGAGCGCAAACAGACAGCCACCCTTGAGTCCTTGAGCTAAGACGGCCAAGTTTGATGGGCACTCAGGCTGACAAAGGAAACTTGGTGAGGGTGAATACTGCCAAGTGTCATGCTACGTTGGACAGCTGCCTCAAATTGCCTCAAAATCGATCGGCCGTGGTTTTCCCAGCAATTTCTCTGCTATGCGCCAAGTACGCGATTGCTCACTTAGGAGATGTAGGAACTGCTGGTGACGGTTGCTCCAAGCATTTGTTGCATGCCAACCCTGTACAAGACCGGCCAAATCCGGCTTCGCCCCTGAGAGCGAGGTGCGTGAAGGAATTCGGGTACCCTTTTCACAAAAGTACAAATCAAGCAGTTCATCTTGAACTCACATGCCCGGGGGTGCAGGGAAGAAGTTTTGGAGCATCTGCAAAAGCTTGCCGCCTATGACGCGAGCCCGCCGCTTTGCTACGATGGTGCTTTCGATCACGAGGGTAACGGAAAGTCTTCCAGGGTTCCGGCAAGGCTGCACAGTCGCCGTGTTGAACTGCTTTGTACTCATCCTGCACGTGCTCGTGCATCGCAGGGCTGTTGTGGCAGGAAGACCTCTCAAGCCCTTGAAGCCAGCCATTCCTGGAGTCCTGGTGCTGAGTAAAGTCCACAGCCGATGCCATGGCCCAGGCCATGCCACCGATCTGCTGAGAAGGACTCGCAACTGGCTCCTGTTTCGGTCCCTGCGCCATCCGGCGGAGCAAGTTGTTCTCCTGCTCCAGCCTGGCTACTTCCGCTGCCAGCCTCCGCAGGTCCTGCTTCGAGGGAGCACTTGCTCCACCGCGCTCAGCCTCTGATGACGTGGCGTGGCTGTGATGATGAATCGGAGGGACGAGGTCCGGCATGGGGTCGGATCTAATCTCTTCGTCCCTCGGAAGCAGATCGGCTGCTTCGAATCTGCTCTGCCAATCCATGCCTCTAAGACTTGGCGTTCGCGTGACATACTGCTCGAAGTCGCTTCCCTCCTGTGCCGCATTGGGAGTGCTCACCCCACTGTCAATGTGGGAATAGCACAGCAGCGGCAAGGACTTTTCACCTTCGTTGGTGTCTGGGTTGGTTTCAGCATCACTACATAAACCGGCTTCAGAATCCATGGGCTCATCCGAAGCAGCGGCAGCGGCCTCCCTCTTGCCCTCTGGAGACACCCGTGGCTCCCGCACCTGTGGCTCAGTCACCTGCGTGCGTGAGTAACCCTCGTAAAGAACGGAGTCTGAGCTTGCACGCATCAAGCAGCTGGCGAACTCATCTGCACCATCTTCGACAAATTCGATGAACGTGTTGCGCAGCACCCATGATCGACTGGATGAGGCTTGCTCCTTCTGGACTGATTCCATCGTGTCCTGCACTGGTCCCTGGCTGAGGTGGAGCGCAAACAGACAGCCACCCTTGAGCCAAAAACATTTCGGAAGAGCCCTGTTCTGGAATCTCGATTCCTCTACCACACTTCCTTCACCACCAGATCATTGCCTTGCCTGCGTTTTGCCCAGAGCTTCTTGTGCCAAACCACGGCGAAAGAAGGCCTCAGAAAGATTCTTGTCTCAGCCGATGATTTCATGACATTTCACTTATCTGATGGCCCCGCCTTGGCATTCTCCTGGTCCACTTTCAATGCCCGGGTAGCATGATGAACTGTTGCCTCATGGGCCTGCAAGTCAGATCAAACAAGATGTCCGCCGATCGCATGCTGGTGTATTGCTGCCGGTTCTGGGGTCAGGGTTGGGATCTTCCCCTCCATACTAACAGTCCTTCATAGGGATAATAATCGGGGGTACTATAATCCCTTGCATAAGGGGGAACATCCCAAGGTCAGGGCCTCAATACTGATGCATAGTATCAACGATAAGGGCTGCGTGCTCACTCGGCCTTGAGCTGCAAGCAGGCCTGCGCCAAGTTCAGGTGCAGGCCTTGGCACGCCCAAAGAAAGCACGGAGCTACAGAAAAACTGCAGAAACTCGAGCGCTGGCGTATACTTGTTGTGGCCGCGGAGGCCCGGGCTCATGCAATGACGAGCCATGTGCCCACGGCACGTTTCTGGCAGGAGCTGCAGTGCCTGCGCGAGGGGCAATGGAAGGGACGCAGCATGTACCAGACGTGCTACACTGCTACACGCCCAAGTAGCATCTTTCGACCGCACCGTTCAAGCAGGCACAGAAACGATCCACAGGGAAGATCTGGGGCTGCACAACCTTCGTACCGGCTACATTCTATACATTGCCACGCTGATGATGCTTGAGCGATGGCCAAACACACTCGTCTCGCCTTTCATCGGATGATAAACATTTGCATGAACTCCAATGGCCAGTTTCAAATGACGAAACTCGATGACGACCTTTGGCTGGCCCAGCGGCTTGTCCAGCCTCCACCTTTGGTAGAGACCGACCTACTTCTATGTACAAGTCATGCAACAAGATGCAGCACAACGAACGAAAAGAGTGCACTGGATGCGTGCTGATCTCGTAATTCCGAACCGATGCTGAGACTTCGCCCTGATGAGACTTTTAGTGGTTTGGGCTAGGGTTCAGGTTCCAGGGCTCCGGATATCCCCAGGTTTATAGTTCAGGGTCTGGGCAGTTAGGGAACTGCAGGTGATGCAAAGGAGTCATCAACTTTGCAAAATCCCTCAGCTCGGTGCAAAGGTTGCCAAGCCAAGCCATGGTTGACATTAATTTCCTTGTACCTGCGGAGGCTGCGACTGCCCAGCCGCTTTTCTTGAGGTTCTCCCAAATGAGCTGCAACCAGCTGACTGCGCGTCGGTGTTCATAGGCATGTTCTCTTAGCAGCAGAAAGAGCCAAACAACCATTCTCACCTGGCAGCTCCAGCACCACGTTTTGCCGCACATCTTTGGTGCGGCCCTAATAAAATGCAAGGCGCGCATGTGGCCGGAACGCCGAGGAAGAACAGCTGAAGTCTGATCTCACATCTCGGTCAGGCTACAAGCGGCAGGCGACTGCAGCAAAGCATCGACGAGAGGTGAGCAGTCTGCCCATCGACCTTGCATCTCCACGGGACAAAGGAGAACCGAACATTTTCAGCGAAGCCTGTTTTCAACCAGCGTGGTCATGGAGTGCGCGCTGAATTCGATTCTTGGGAGCCTCAGCGCCTGGCATCCACGAACCTTCTTGAGGACTGAAGCACTCCGCTACCTGAGTGGTTCGGGGTTTAGGTTAGGGCCAAGACCGACACCCACAGCTGAGGACGCCCGCCACTGCGCTGACCTTGTTGCCGCCGAAGATGTAGAGCTTGCTCCCGCAACCTATAGGTCCCAAGCTCAGCCCGGCCCAGGCAGAAGAAGACCAATGACTAAGGCCCCAGCTTACGGAACTGAGTGCACCCCGTAGGAGATCCAGGCTTGGCAATGTCTGACAGAGACGGAGAGATGGTTGAAAGAGTGACTTCAAAAACATGACTTTGGTTCAGCGCCTCGGGACCTGCCCTGAAGCACTGTTCAGCACTTTTATGCACGTTTAAGCACTTTGAAGCACTCTAAAGCACTTGAAGCACTTGTGGCCTCCGCGTTCCTGGTGCCCTTCTAGAATCCTAAAGCTACCATCTGCACATGCAGGTGACCGGGGTGAAACTCGAGATACCTGCGTTCGGGCACGAGAGTCAGCTCGGGGAGGCCTCCGGGGAGTGTCCTGTCCGGCAAGAACAACCTGCCCTGCCTGTCTTGGCCTGCATCCCAACTTTTGCCATGTGGGGCATCTCCCCAAATAGGGGAACCTTCATATACCCCCAACATCGTACAATCCTTACTATAGGAACCCCCAAAAGGGTAATATACCCCCAAAACAGTATAATCCTTACTATAGGAACCCCTAGAAGGGTACCCCCTATTTCGGAAACCCCCATGTTGCGCCAGCCACAAGGAGGTGCCAACAAGAACAGCATGACGTCATGTCGAACTCTTTTTCCGAGTCGGGAGCCTGCACAGTATGACTTACGTACCCTTAGGGTTTAGGGTTTAGGGTTTAGGGTTTAGGGTTTAGGGTTTAGGGTTTAGGGTTTAGGGTTTAGGCTTTAGGCTTTAGGGTTTAGGGTTTAGGGTTTAGGGTTTAGGGTTTAGGGTTTAGGGTTTAGTTTAGGGTTTAGGGATTAGGGTTCTGGTAAACGAAATCTGAAGGCAGGCCGGCATTCATCACCTTGATGCGGGTGCACTTCCGGAATGTCGGCGTAATGTACGCTGGCACTTGAAGACTGTTCCAGTCAGGCCAGCAGCTCTTAAGCCCATCGACTGGGTCGAGTGGGCCCCGAGCCTAATTGCGTTAGCTCAATGCCCTGTGCATGCCGCACAGTGATATCCTTCACTTTTTTGGCGAACTTGTCCGTCCGAGTTTTCATGCCACTATCTTGGAAGAACATAAAGACGGCGAATGACTCAGCCAAAACCACTGGCACGCCTCAGTTCCCGAACTCATAAGTTGCCCAGGCTCCGTCACTGGACACTCTACCAACGTTTCGTGAACGCGGGGCTCGTGGATGTTGCAGCAAGGGGCAGAACCAGCCACCTTTGCGCAGCAGCCGACCAAGCTGGATGAAGGCCTTAGGAGTTTGGGAGTATGGGAAGTATTCCATATCCTGCATCTGAAACATCCGCCGAAGCCCACGACTTTGGTCGTTTGATCTAGATTCCGCTTTTTGCTCCCCTTCCCCCTCCCACAACATGGAGGCACCTGCCAAGCTCAGTGAAAGCCAGTACATGTGATGGGATGCTGCTGGTGAAAGACATCTTGCCGGGGTCGGCGTGCGGTGGCTGCATGTACAAGCTGCTAGCATAATCATAACTTTCGAAATTCATGTTCACAGCAGACCTCGATATTCGCTCGGCCAGGTTACCCAGTGAAGGCTGCAGTTCGCAAGCGCGAAAACAGCGGTCATGGCACCTTCGTGTCACTATGGCACCACTGGAGGGCGCAATGATGGCTGCTGAATGCTGCTGACGTCATTCGGGCAGCAGTGTCACACCCACTGTCTAATGCTGATCTGGTCCACACCGCCCTCACGACTTGAGTCGACCATTCCGAGAAATCACAGAGGATGACTTCCAAGGCACTTTTCTTGAAATTCGGAATATGCGTCATCGCTCGCATGATTGCCATCAGGATTGCCTTTTCAAAAGAGCACTGGGTCCCTGAAGAACTGACACGACGCCATCATGATGCAGCCCAGGATCAAACATCAAAGGAAAGATGATGAACATGATATGCAGGCCTCAGCAGGCGTGGAGCGCAACATGGCTGCCCCTCTTTGGACTCACAGCAACTCGATGCCTTCCGTGGACCTGTAACGAAGTGCCCAAGTTGCAGCATCTTCAACTGCAATTCTAAATGCTGATCAGACACATTGAAAAATTCGCGCAGAAGGAATATCGCGCTTCTGTGAAGGGGGGAGCACGTCAGGCCAGAGGTCACAGCACAGAAACAACCCTGTTGTCGAGGTTCACTTACGGCTGTTCGTTGAGTCACCTGCGTTCGATATTTACTGAGTCACTGCCCCCCCCCCCCCCCCCCCCCCCCCGCTTTTTGGCATGGATTCCGTCTCGCGCCGCTTTTTCCCTGCTCGCTGTGCTAGTTTTTGCGTCTTCGCTCTTGCCCCGTTTGAGTCACGTGCCTCGGGATATTTACGCCTTAGCCTTGTTTGGGGCAAGGAAAATTGGTAAGTGACGTGCCTCAGGATTACGCCTTAGCCTTGTTTGGTGCAAGGCAATTGATAAATTATTCAATGTTGTCACAAACTCAGAATTTACAACAAACACAGAAAACGTAACATTTTGTGCTCATTACAATATTCGATCAACTATTTGATCATTTAGTTTCGTAACAGACCCAAGGAATTTAAAACTATGTATGGCATTAAAGAAAATGACTTGTTACTCTTAAACCATATTTATGAAACAATTACTGTAAACCGTATTCATGTACAGACGATGAAGACGTATTAAATGATTTTGATGCAGTTCTAAAACGTAAAAAAAGAATGTATCAAATAAAGAAACAACTAGATTTTTGAGTCCAAAAACTAACAGGATTCTACGATTGTTATTCTTGTGATTAGTATGATTGTCTGCGACTTCATCAGGTGTTCGGAGTTGCCTTGTCTTGGTCCACGGTGATGCTGGGTAGTACAGAAGCACGTCTTGCAAACTTGGACTCCCCTCGAAAACCAGCTATCAGCAAGTGTAAGAGAAAAAGAAAGAGAGCGAGAGAGAGAGAGCCAGAGGCAGAGACAGAGACAGAGACAGAGGCAGAGGCAGAGGCAGAGGCAGAGGCAGAGGCAGAGGCAGAGGCAGAGGACAGAGACAGAGGACAGAGATGGAGAGAATATGAAGGAATGAATGAATGAACGAATCTAGCCAACAACCAATGCAAAAGGCACACGTCAGCCCTGCCTCGCCAATGTAGTCAAGCTGGTGCATCGCAGGCCACACAGAAGCCACCAGCACAAAGTGAAAGGGCATTCGTGCTCCGCGTATGGCTTCGCCCACTTCTTCACTGAAGCGCCCACGGATCAGCTCCTTTGCACCATGACGTATCGGAATGGCACGGGCCAGCTGCAGTGTTAGACACATGAGCCCAGAGCTACAGGACAACACAGCAGAAAACAGCACACAAGCACGATTCATCAGCTTAGCATCATTAAAGGTGGTTAGGCCCTCTTTCTCGTCATCATCGCCATACCTTGGAACCCCGAGCTGCTCTCGATGTGAGGTCATGTTGGATCCCCTTTGGCAGGGGCGTGCTCCCTAGAGAGTCATGTTTGCTAAGGCTATTCAGGATCGAGGCAATGCTAGAGGGGTCTCCGATCCAACATGAGATTCTACTCTTGCACTTGAGACTGCAACCTGCAACCCTACATGACTCTTCATGACTCCTCTGCAGTGCCAGTAAGTGAAGCAGGAGAGGTCTTAGGAAGATCCTTCCCGAACAGCCGAGGTGCCAATGTGCAATGGATGCATTGACCAGCGCTCGGTCGCAAGACAGCCGCTCCCCAGTAGCAGGATTCAAATGCCGATTGCTACAGCAGAAGCACTGCGCGTTCTGAGCGGAAAAAACCGCGAGCTCCGCCTTCAACTCGTTGACCTCCATCAGGAAGTCATAGAAGCGGGTCGCAAAAGCCATGCTCACCTCAGCTTCGACTCCGGCGACACTGATGGCGCTTGAAAAGCGCGGTGGACGCACTTTTCCGGCCCGCGCTTCTCTTCGATGTACTGAAAATGAAGGGAGCCCCAGCAAAAGCAAACAAAACAAAAAAGGCACGGGCCCCTCGGCCTCGGCGATACACGCTTCGGACCGCTCAGGGCCCTGAAGCCCCTTACCTTTCACCCTAAACCCTAAACCCTAAACCCTAAACCCTAAACCCTAAACCCTAAACCCTAAACCCTAAACCCTAAGGATCCAAGAAACCAGGAGAAGCGCCGCAGACCGCAGGCCGGCGGCATTGTCCGGCATGTGAACGCGCAGCAACTCCAGTATCCAGGTGCAGATCGCAATCTCAGAAATCACCCTTTCAAGGGTTTAGGGTTTAGGCTTTAGGGTTTAGGGTTACCCGGTTTAGGGCCCTGGTCCTAGACAGCTTACTTGGGGCTTTTAGGGTTTTCGGATGGTTGTCCAGGGGCCTTCGAGCATCAACACCAAGCCTAACCCCCCTCCCCGCAAAAAAAAGTCTGAGGAGGCCTGAGGAGGCCTCACAAAAAAAACAAATCAAAATAAGCGCAACGGAGACCAACCTATACGCCCTCTAAACCCGACACCCTAAACCCTAAACCCTAAACCCTAAACCCTAAACCCTAAACCCTAAACCCTAAACCCTAAACCCTAAACCCTACACCCCACCTTCCCAGGATGATCGGCAGTAGCACCACTCTCCCCGCGGACTTCGAGTCGTAGAGCCTGGAGTGGTAGAAGGCGGCCAACTCGAAGCTGCACCTCCGTGGCCGGTGGCGGGGGGGGGGGGGGGGGGGGCCCTTTTCAGAGGCTTGTAGGGTTCAGGGGTTCAGGGTTTAAGGTCTAGGGTTTAGTGTTTGGGGTTTAGGGTTCAGGGTTTAGGGTTTAGGGTTTAGGGTTTAGGCTTTAGATAGAAGACCTAAAGTTGGTGTTCCTAGGGCTCAAGGTTGTAAACTTGAGCTTTAGTTCGGGTTTTCTGTTGTTTTTTTTTTGTTGGGCTGGTTTGGTCCTGTTCGGGTTGAGGGTTTCTAAGGCTCAGGTTTTGGGATTTTGGGTTTGGGACCCTCTTTTTTCCTATTCTCCCTAAGTGTCAGAGGATGTAGGATGTCATGGCATCAGGGTGCAGGGGTTGAGGATTCAGAGTTGCCCTTCCCAAAGGGGCTTAAGATGCATAAGACCCGGAACAGAGAGGCCCCCTCCATTCCCTCTAAGATGCCCATTTTCTGCCTGTGTTCGACGGATTTCTCAAAAGGCGACTGAGGTCCGCACCAAAGTCTCGTAAAGTATGTCCGGTCCCAAGCAACCAGCAGTGTGCGAGATCGATTCAAAATGCCGCCAATGGCGTTGATCCCCTGCGTCTTCCTGCAGCGAAACACGAGGAAAGCAATGAAAGCCAGAGGAAAGCTTGCGAAGGGAGACCCCCGTCCTTCGCTCGTCTTTCTGGTCGATGCAAACTTTGTCGAGGAAGATCGAGATTCTGTAGGACTCCAGGAGTGCACGCATGTGATGCCAAGAGAACCTGAAAGAGCCCAAATCATGTCTTTCTCACAGCTTCGAAACAGCTCACACTGGCACAAGTCTTACAAGCTCTTCTTCTGTCGCGCAGCAGCACAATGAAGAACAGCACAGAGCTTGGAAAGAAGCCACGCCAGCTGAGCACGCCAATGCATCCGATGCGATACTGCAGCGCGCACCACATCAGTCCTGTTGCCACGGCCTTGCAGCGTCAACTCTTCCCTGTCAATCGCTGCATGGCAATCATACAAAGCAGTTGCTATGAAAACATTTTGAAACTAAGGGAGCTAGGATGCCGTGATGGTCGCCGGCAAGGCGTTGAAGTAGTACAGCAACGTCAAGTACTTCATCCACCAGCAGGCATGCCAGCCTGGCATGTCAGGCTACGGCGTCCAAAGCTTCTGAAAACTAAGTCCTAAGCCCCAAGCCCTAAACCGTAAACCCCGAAACCCTGACCCCACATTTCACATGACCAAGCTATGGAAGTGAAACAAAACCGAGCAGCTGTGGGATAAGAAGATGTCCAGCTCTCCGACGACGTAGCTCTTGTCAAAGTCATTCTCACCTTTTCTGGATCTTCAAAGGGGTATGCGTCTTTTTGTGATAGATGAGCTAAGTGTACAAAGGCAAAAAAACAGCCCGAGGTGCCATCAATGACAGTGCCTGTGCCGCCCGTGGTTGACTGCATGATACACCCAAACTTGTTCAGGAGCACGGCAGACGTCGTGCCACGAAGCAGCGTCAGATCATGTAGGTGAGCAGTGCATCTCCGCATGTTGGAGATCCTGCCGCAAGGCCACGCTGCACCCAGTATATAACTATTATTAATATTATTCTTATTCTTCTTATTATTATTAATTACTACTATTACTACTATTATTATGATTATTATTGCTATATTCTAAGGTGCGGCGTCCTCTGCTCCACGACATTCTCCGATGCATCGCCATGATCCATGAAGCAAGCTGTCCCAGGTCCCGGCAGGACTCATAGTTTTCGCAGCGCCACCGGCCGCATCTGAGAATGGTGGCCCCGGGAAAGGGCAAGCGGCGCGCGCAGGACGGGATATCTGTGCTGCTATGGTCTAGGACTCTAGGATGATAGATTTTTCATGGCACTCTCAGCAATGTCTCCAGGACTGCGACGGTTCTGTGCAGGATGAATGCTAACGACATGGCTGATGAACCAGCTCAGGTTGCTGGCATCTGTCATGTTTGGATGCTGAAGCTGCGCGGTTTGATACACATGGTCAGGTAGCCAGGCAATGGTCTTTTGAATGGAGCCGGAGAGGCGGACAAGAAGAGACTCGGGGTCATGAGCGAGAGCTCTGTGAAGGGAACATCAACTGTCCGGATCTCAGCGCACGGACAACCTCTACAACGCCATTCCCCAAAACACCTAAACCGGTGTACTTACGTCATGAGTAATAATATTAATAATAATATTAATAGTCATCATCTTCTTCATCATCATAAGAGTAATGATAATAATAAGAATGATGATAATAGTCATAGCTTTTGAACCCAAGATCCTGTCCTAAAGCTCCTGCGCCCTAAGCCGTAAGCTGCGGAACACGCGCAGCTCTCCTGCGATTGACGCGGTCGGCGCCGTCACCGCCGTTTTGGCAGTCTGGGCTCCTGCGGAACAAAATATGCACACGACACACACACACTTACACTGTATATAGCCTTAAGGCGAAAGCTGGGGGTCCAAGGAAGGAGCAGCTATCGTCAGCATCACTATGCACGCGTAGCAGCTGCAGTGTACCTCTGAAGTAGCGGCCCGAAACCCTAAACCCTAAAACCCTAAAACCCTAAAACCCTAAAACCCTAAAAAACCCTAAACCCTAAAAACCCCTAAGGCCCTATGAGCCCTACCATGATGAGCCAGAAGCTCCGGTGGAATGCGGTTCCCAAGCATCGGCCTTCCACCGTCTGCTTTGTCGCATTTTTGGCCGCTTGGGCGGCCTTGGCGAGAAGTTTTAGGTTTACCGTGCGTGTTGGAGAAAAAGGTGGGAGTCGTGAGGTGGACATGTGAAAATGGATTCCGAAGAGCTTGCCGCCTGCTTGTGCAGAGGCCGGCAGGCCGGCTGCACCTTCGACAACACGCAGTGCAACCGAGTCCCGCACATCATTAGCCTGTTGAGAGAACTTCTGCACCTGCCGAAGTTGCTGGCAACTCTCACAAACCATAGATTGTGCACCCTAGGCCCTAAAGCCGAAAGCAAGCCTCTTGCACTTTCGCGTTGAAGTTCTTCAGGGCCTCAAACTTCAAGAGGGTGTCCTGACATCTGCAGAGCGGGACAAGTGTAGGGTTTAGGGCCACTCAGGGTCAGCATCCGTGTCCTCGGCGCCAGCTCCCCCCCGAGCAGCTGCCAGCGCCTTGGAGATTCATCACCCGACATGTGCAGAACCCTACTTGGGGGTTCATGGCACTTATTAACCACATATAACTGCACTTATACAGTTATAATTGGTTACTAAGTGCCATGAACCTCCAAGTAAGGCCCTAAGTCGCCCTGCCCCCCCCCCCCAGTTCTCTGAACCAGTTGAAGGGCTGCCCTTTGAGGTAACACGAAAGCAGCCGACACCAAGAGCTTCCGGGAGCCGGCTTCGGGCCCCTTCACATCTGAGGTTCTTTGCAAGGCTTGGGGGGGTTTACGATCACAAGGGACCCCTAAATATAGACCCCCGGAATAAATGGGATCCCCGTATTAAAAGGGCCCCCAAGAAGGTACCCCTATTCTCGGAAACCCCCCACTTCGTTCCCTGATGATTGCTTCAAGGTGTCTCCGGTGATCGTCGCCAGCCCGGAGATGAAGGCAGGGGCAATGGAATCTGCGGTGATGAACAGGGAGCCTGGGCTTCAGAGCCCCAGAACTGCAGAGGCAACGTGCTGTTAGTGGTGTTCCTGTTGTCGTCGCTGCTATACACGTCTTTCGGTTGCAGCTACTTCTCACAGAATGCCAATTAACAATAATCATAATACCAATAATAATACTAATAACAACTAATTACAAGAACAATCAGCATACCAACAACTTGTAGTACCAACCTCCCGTGGAGGATCCAGCCTCGAGGCTCCCTCCACTGCCTACCTTCACCATCGCCCCAAGCCTTCCCTTCAAAAGAATCAAGCCCATCCAGCAATGACATGGACCTTTACCGATTTGGTGTCAAATTTCTTGTTGACGAAGGGAGCTTGTCTGCAAGCATGCCACAGGAGCCGCACCGAACGGCAAGAGTTGCATTGCAAGCTCTCTTATAGAACCACCCAGGAGTGGTATCTCGTTGAGGCAACCGCAGTGCACACGCTACTGACAAACCTCCTTTCAGCGAGGCAGAAGCAAACCTGCACAGACAAAAAAAAAAAAAACAGCTCCCTAGCAACAAACTCGATGCCATACTTCCGATACAGAGACAATGTTGCATTTCACAGCTCCCCATCCCTTCCTCTGGATCAGATGGATTACTAGACATTTTTAGCATGCAGCATGCATCGTTTATTGCTTAATTCAGAACTGCTAGCTTAGTATTTTGAGTTGGTACTTGTACTAGTTTTCGTGATTGTGCTCGCACTCTGCACTTGCATCAAGAGTAGAAGTAGGACAGTACCTGCATTAGCAAGCATTTGCGTGTTTGACTCGTGTTCGTGGTTTTGGTTCTGGTATGTGCGTTCGTATGCGTATGTGTTTTCATCATCTTTGATTTGTTTATGCTCGGGAATCCCATAATGTCGTATCCTGATTAGTCTGGACCCCCTCAATAATGAAAAGTTTTCCAAAAATTATTCAGGAGACCCAATTTGGATTGCCCCCCCACAATAAAGTAAAGTTTTTCGGGCATGGGTTTCGGAACAGAGAAAAAAAGAGAAGAAGATGATGAAAGAAAAGAGCAAAAGAAGAGCAGCTAGGGGGGGGGGGCTGGCCTTCAAGCTTCCCGGGTTCAGGGTCTACGACCAGGCCTGAAAACAAGGATTCCTTATGACTTCGCTTATCTGAGGAGGCCTAGCCATCAAATTTTGAAGGGGGTAGTCCACGTGCTGCCCCGAAGCCCATTAAAAAAAAATTGCACCCCCACAATACTGTCAAGGTTTTCGGGGGGAGGGGGGCGGGGGGGCGCGCCTTCAAGCTTCCCGGGTTCAGGGTCGACGACCAGGCCGGAAAACAAGGATTCCTTATGACTTCGCTTATCTGAGGAGGCCTAGCCATCAAATTTTGAAGGGGGTAGTCCACGTGCTGCCCCGAACCCCATTAAAAAAAAAAAATTGCACCCCCACAATAATGTCAAGGTTTTCGGGGGGAGGGTACCTAAGTTTACCTGAGCTCTTACCTTTAGCTTTAATTACTGAGCTTACCTGAGCTTACCTGAGCTTACCTGAGCTGAGCTCATCTGAGCTTACCTGAGCTTAATTATGTAAGAGGAGAGGGAAAGGAAGAGGAGAGGAAGAGGAGAGGGAAGAGGAGCGAAGAGGAAATGAAGAGGAGCCGGTGGGGGGGGGCCCGGGGCCGAAAATTCGGGGGGGGGCCGAAAATTTTTGGGGGGGTTTGAACACTATTACGGGGGTGGATTTAGTTTGGGGGGGGGGGGGGGGGGGGGGCCCTCACACTAATCAGGATACCACATTACAATGCTCTGACGAGAATCTGCCCAGCAGAATGAAGGCCACTGCACAGGCGAACATGCCTTGAATCTGAAGCCGCCACATTCTGCACAAAGCACGCTCCACACATTCCAAGCAGCAACTTTCAAACTCGATGCTTCCCAGAAGTAATTTTTGGATCTTTCAGGGGTCAGGGGCTCTCACGACTTCCGATGCAAGTGGCCAGTGATGACAAGTGAGAAGAGCAGAACTTGGGCGTCGTTCAGTCCTCGGATTCTCGGATGCCCCTTCGGCCGAACCAAAAAAGAAAAACAAAGCGCCCACGAAGGGAAGAGACACACGAAGACCCATCGGATGCGAGCTGCCAAGCTCGGTCAAGGTCTCCTCCAGCGCCTAGCAGCATAGCGGCACAGGGCGCTTGGAACCAAAAGAAGACCGGGCACACGCAAGGCACGCGCAAGGCACGAGCGGCGCAGTCCAAGAAACATGTGCCCGGCCTCACCCGCTGTAGACGCATCTGACTGCGTCCCAGAGATCATGCTCCTATCAGGGAAAATCGGGGGACATCATGCACTCTGATTCATTTCGCAGGCTTGCAGGGGAGTTGAGAGATTCTCTGAGCAGAATCACGAGGCAGCACAGAGCAACTCCATCAGTTTTTGGCTTGCTTCATGACATGGCGGTACAATTAGAATACTGCAAGTGCCCAACATCTGAGACGCGAGCATGAGCTGAGCTTGAAGGTTGCGCGAAGACGAAAACACCAGCCTCTGCGAAGCATTTGGGCATCTTTACCACATCATGCTATGACATAGTACCATCTCTTTTGAAGCAAAAAAATCAATTTTCTGAAAAGATAAGCCTTCAACCAATGCTTAGCAAAAAATTATTGAACCGCAAAGAGCTGAACAACGACCAAGTGACACCTTAAAACAATGAAAGTTAAACCCAAAAACCTTGGTCCTTGAAGAATGTCCGTATTTCCTTGCTGCCGAGCAACTCTGCCGTGCGCCTTCCAACGTAAATCCTACAGGCAGTACCAGTACCGAAGCAGCACAATGTTTCCGTGTCACTGCAATGCTCGAAAAGTTCACACTTCTATGAACGCGACCGAGCCACGTCGCAATCACACCAATGAGGACAGGTGCAACTGTCTCAGGAGTGACGCACGCACCCAAGAGCAGGTAAAGAGAAAAGGCAATTCCTTGGACTCAGACGTGGCTACCCATGAACTGCGCTTCTGCCCAGGCATGGACTGCAACGCTACTGAAAAGTCTGCACTCACACGCTTCTGCAGGCTGCATGGTGAACTTGCCTGTTTGCCACATCCATGCACAAGCAACTGAGGTGAGCAACCCAGTGTGATGCTAACGTGCAAGAAGAACAGGAGGAGGAAAAACATGCTATCACCTTCCATGAAGCAAGCAACTATCAACCTTCACACACACATGCACTTCTGTAGTCTGTGCTCTGGAAGATGCTCACGCATTGAGCCAGGATACGGAAAAAGCGATTTGCCCGAAGGGTCAACCTTGGACCAGACAAGAAAGGCGTAATTGAAGATCCCCTCAGGATTCACAAGACGCCCGCCGCCGAAGTGAAGTTCGTTTCAAGAAGCAATCCACAACAAGCAGCTTGCAAAACCATGAGAAGCAAGATTTGCTCACCACCTGACATTGGCGTCCCCTCGCCTTTTACTGTATGGCCCGGGATCACGACTTCAGTGTTGCTCCCCTTTCTTGGAAGCAACCCTCGTGAATGGGATCTCAAGACTCTCAATCCTAGGTCCTCGGTTCCGACTCTCTTGCTGGAGAGGTGCAGACGCCGTCGATGAATTGAAAGGCGGCCGGCGGCCAACTGAGTCTGAGTGAGTATGACCTGAAAGTCCAGGGGGCCTGGAAAGGAAATATGCCCTCACATTTAATATATGTATATATATATATATACATATGTATATATATAGGTGTGTGTATATATATAACTAACATATACAACATGTTGACTGAGAGCTGCCTATGGTATGGCAATAATGCGCAGGCATTCTTTGGAAGCAGCGGGCCGTGTTCCACGACGTGCCTGGTCGATGTGCCGGCACAGATATTCAATGATGGTGTAGAGCAGCCTTGTGTTCGCACTCTCGCATGGGGGAATATGGGGGATATAGCGCTGCACTGCGAATCTAGAATCGACAGAGGGTTTGCTGCAGCCTGGCCGCATGAAGGCCTCTGTCGTGAGAATGATGATCCAGCCTGCCCCAAGACTGGCGGCATGTGAACCCTTTGCACTGACGCGGGAGGAATCACAACCACTCAGCCTGCTTGTGAAAGGGCGCGGCTTGAATTCAACTCCTAAGCGTCAAGAAGCCTTCACATGATGTACGCACGGGGGATACGGAAAAGCGTGTTCCAGGGGCACGGGCCCCAAGCAGCAGAGAAGAAAGGAAGTAGACCTCAGTTGCTGGACATTTGCGGCTGGGTGACTCTCCTCGGACCTCCACAAACCTCATATAACCTCATGAGATTGCAGCACAATTTATTCTGACCGGTTTAGGCCAAGTTGAAGCGCGGAGACCGTCTCACGTGATTGATGCAGCCTCGGCACTCCCTGATAGTCCATGACATTGTAGGAGTTCACTATCAAAACCACAGCCTGGATCGGCGGCAGCACGACTTTTCAGGTGGATGCGAGGGGGGGGGGAAGGGGATTCAGGGGCGGGAGAGGGGGGGGCGCGGGGGGGAGCGACCTTTTGAAAGGCTTTGAAAACGAGACTTGCTGAACTTTACCGACGAGCGTCTGCTGGCAACATAATGAGCTGCAGGATGCCAAAGTGGAGAACCACCAGCCTTTGCCAGAGAACTCACGTGACAAAGAATTGCGGATGCCTGCAGCCACGTTGCAAGGAAGCATAGACGAGGCCGTCTGAGTAGAACGACATGCCTGGCTGAGGCACAGTCACAGACGAAACCCCTGGTTTATTTTGTACTACATGAACTATATACTATATTTGGGCCCTGAATCCGACTCACTCTCAGGCAAAGGGCTGCCAACGCGTCGGAAGGCGATGCATTCCACAAATGTCAGGAGGTTGGCACTCCTGCCTCACCACACTGTATCTGCTGTCAGGGTTTTGGGGTATTTGGGCTATGAGGGTTTTGGGAGGGGCTTGGGGTTTGGGGCACATGTCGGCGCACAGTTGCTGCATGAGCCCACAGTTGGTCATGAGGCTCGGGCCAAGTAGGCCTTCTGCTCGACTGTGGAGGTCCTTTTCAGCCTTGGACATCTGGAAGTCGACGACCTGGTCCACGACCTTAAGTGCTTTGAGTCTCTGGCGTGCACTCCTGCGCATGGACCATTGCCACTTTGTGCATGACTTGTGCACTGCGGGGCCTTTGCTTCTTACCAGCTTCTTGCGGACGGGTCTCTTCCTGCATGCCATCCGCAATGGAAGTCAGGCTCTCTGTCGCCTGGGCTGAGGGCTTGGGAAGCCTACAGGCCCCGTGGCAGCTTTCAGCTTTGCTAGAGGGCATCAGCTTTAAATTTCTGGCAGGCCTCTCTACTCGCGCCTAGTATTACCCGCAATGTAAGGCAGATAACTAGGCCTTTGCAGCACAGCAGAGTACGAACAAAGTGGTAGCCAACTGAGTCGACTTTGAGCCCCCGACCATCCTGGCAAGTGTGGAGAGCAGGTCCTCACGCACCGCTGCCGAGGGCCTCGAATGCCCCCTACCATGGAGGTAGACCATGCAGTCTTAGGTTCCATGATGCACCAAAAAGACACATCCCAGAGCTGCTGCTACGACTGTTGCACCACTTGTCAAGGGGCCCTCGAGTCTGAGCAGCGGCCCCGGCTTCCAGCTGCTCTGGCTGCTCCGGGCCCGGCACGCTCTCGGCAGCGGCTTCGGCCTCGGATTCATGGGGATCTGGCCATCTTCAGACAGTGGTAGCCTGGTAGCCGGTATGGGCTTTGTGCCCAAGGGGCTTCGCTTGTGGAGCGGGCCACCTCTTCCATCTCACGCTGCTTCGCCTAGAAATGTTTGGCCACAGCTTCAACATCGCCACGAGGCAGATGGCACACACGACTCATGGCCGACCTGCCACAAGATGGGCCAAATGCGCCAGCCGTCTGCAGCCAGGAGCTTGGCTTTCTCAGCTTGGTAGAACCTGGTTTGACACGTCCGAGGTCTGCTGTATGTACCTTTTTCAACATCAGGCGTTCTTCTGAAGCTGAGTGCTGGGCCTGTGGGCCAAGATAGTGATGAAGATGGGCAGGACCAGACACACAATAATGGCAATTGTCGCCTGTGCTCTGCCGGCTTGCTGGGGAGTTCTGCGAGTTCTGCTCTTGCGCATGAGAAGGTTGTGACCCGAGTGACGTTAAGCCCGGCACGAATGCTTGGCTCCGTGCATCCATGAAAGTCCCTCGGTCACCGACGGAGTTGAGCGTCATCATGCTGATGACTCCTCGGAAGCCGTCTCAGCCGGCTTGCTTATCAAAGAAGCTCATTGACTCCAGGCTGAATCTGTCCGTCCTGACTGGCCGCTATACTGGAACTCCGAAACCTGAGCGATGCTTGCAGATGGGTGGATTCCTCAACATAGGTACCAGAATGGTTGGAGCACTTGGACTTTGGAAATTGCATACCATCGGAATATGCCGGAATGAGCCGTGCATTGCATGACGCTGGATGAAGCTCAGCAACATCCCCATCCGCGAGGCTTGGCAAGAAAGGGGCTGCCGCTGCAGAGGAGCGCCTTCACACAGAGGATAACTATCGGAGCTATCGATCCCTCTGATAACCAAGTGAATCCAAGGCACAGCTGGTAAATCCGGCTGGCTGTGCGGTTGCCAAAACTCAGCTCCTTGCCACAGGGCGTCCACATGCGCCGAACATGCTAGAATCCCCTCAAGACCGCTGGAAAGAAAAAGAGGGCTTTCGGATGTCAAAGCTTTGAGTCAAAAGCAGATGCAGGGAGAGCGACCTCGGGAAGCGCTTGCCCAAGCGCCATGTGAATTCCACCAACAGCATCGATGCCATAAATCCTGCCACAAGGGGCGGCACAAACGCTCAAAGTGCGCCTCCGTTCTTGTCACTTACAGTCGCGACGAGCCGTCCCCGAAGCTGGTAGTGGTAGTAGTGGTAGTAGTGGTAGTAGTGGTAGTAGTGGTAGTAGTGGTAGTAGTGGTAGTAGTGGTAGTAGTGGTAGTAGTGGTAGTAGTGGTAGTAGTGGTAGTAGTGGTAGTAGTGGTAGTAGGTAGTAGTGGTAGTCGTAGTAGTAGTGGTAGTAGTGGTAGTAGTGGTAGTAGTGGTAGTAGTGGTAGTAGTGGTAGTAGTGGTAGTAGTGGTAGTAGTGGTAGTAGTGGTAGTAGTGGTAGTAGTGGTAGTAGTGGTAGTAGTGGTAGTAGTGGTAGTAGTGGTAGTAGTGGTAGTAGTGGTAGTAGTGGTATAGTAGTGGTAGTAGTGGTAGTAGTCGTCGTCGTAATTCGTAGTAGTACTTAGTAGGAGTAGTGGCAGCAGAAGTAGTAGTACGAGGCGCACGTCTGTCAGTTGACGCCACGTTTTCAAGTGTACGGGGCTCGGAAACACTGCCTAAAAATGCTAAAAACCCGAGCACCCTAAGAACCCCTAAAAACCCCGAAAAATCCTTGAGGACCCTTAAAAATTCTGAAACCCCGAAAAGCCCTAAACGCCCCTAAAACCCACCCTTTCTGCCGAATTTGGCCCCGGAGCACCTCGAGGAGTCCGGCAGGCAGGAATCGCCAGGCGTCACCAGCCTCTTGAGGCGTCAAAAAGGGTTGGGGTTTAGGGTTTAGGGTTTAGGGTTTAGGGTCTAGGGTCTAGGGTCTAGGGTCTAGGGCTTAGGGCTTAGGGCTTGGGGCTTAGGGCTTAAGGCTTAGGGCTTAGGGCTTTGGGAATCGTGGCTTCCCTGAATATTGGTTTAGCTTGGCTCTAGGGACCCTAGACCCTAAACAAAGCCCTTGAGCCCTAAACTTCCAGCCTCAGCTCCCAATGGAGGAGGGTGTGGGGACTTGGGGCATGCCGAGCAGCGCAACGCTCGGAGTACACTGCGCGGACGTGAGGACCACCTCGACACTCGCAGATGTGTTAGGGCCTGTAGGTCTCTGAGGCTCAGGCTTCAGGCTTGAAACGTTGTCGCATATTGGACACTACTCAGTGCCCTTCGCTGTTGCCATTGCTTACACAGCAGCTGCACCACACTTTTTTAAGAGCAGAGAATGGCGTCATGGCGCAGCACCTTTGACACCAGGTCACGTCTGTCCGGCTCACGGTGGGCGCGAAGATGCTCAGCGTCGCCAAGTAGAAGGCGCTCAACGGATGCCAGATGTAGATGCTGCCATACAAAGAGTAAAGCCACTCCTCAAAAAGCCCCGCCCACCAGTTGAGAGGAGTGCGGGGCGTATATGGGCGGAGAGTTTTCAAGGACTGCTTCTGATAGACGACTTGAACATGGGCCCTTTCAGCACATCTCGGTCCTCCAGCTTCTCGAAGATTTGTCGAATCACAAGACCGGCTTGCTGTTGAGTCACTAGAGCTCTGGAAATAACTCTAAGTGCAACCACGACACAGACTCGGCACCAATACCACCTCAGTTAAGGTTGGCAGGTTCTGCCGCAACACACAAGTTCCTTCTGTAATCGGAGTAGTCGTAGAGAGGTCCCCTACCCCTCAACCATGGAGTCCTGAACCCCTAATGCAGGGTTTCGTAGAGTGCTGTGGTTCTTTGTGGCGTGCAAGGTTGCCGGGACAGAATACTTAAGTGGCCCGAAAACAAACCCCCATGATGTTCCTTTTGAGGAAACTGAAAGCTGAAACTGAAAAACTGGGCTTGGAAAGTGGAGACACGGAGAGAGCAGGGAGAGAGCCAGCCAGCCAAGGTTTAGACGTTTTAGGGTCCAAGAAGGTTCACGGCTCAGCCTTACCAACAACCTTGAGCTGTTCTTAGTAATAGCATTCTCGCAATGTTCAGGCGGTGGGCCGGGTGTTTACCCCAATAAACCCCAACTGATCCCAACCGGTTCTCGGCTTCAGCACTTCCAAGTGGCTGAGATCATCGTCAAAGCCCGGCGCAACCACGCGCAGGCGGAGAACTTGAGCTCCAGCCTTGGCCCTCCAGACATCCATTGACATCTAGCGGTTGAGGTGCTAGCTAGCAGGCGGGCTGCGGTTCATCACGAATGGGGGGGGGGGGGGGGAATATGGTTCAGAAGGGCAAAGCCGAAAACCCTCAGAGGGCGCCTCTGGGATGCCCAGACAGTGAAGTCGCTCTCTGCCTGAAGGATGCAGGGTGGGGGGGGCTGTTCAAGGTACCCCGGTCTAGATACCCTGCATAACGGGGCAATAGCTTTCCAAATTAACGCCCCTATGGGATCCTTCTTTTCAGGGAGCCGCACTGTGCAAAGGACCCGGGGCCCTAGTTTAGAAAACTGCCCCTGAAACTCCTCAATAAAGGTCGAAAGAAGGATGTGAATCAGGGAGATCCCCCCCCACCCATTCCAACAGAGATCGAATGTAAAGAGCACCAGAACCCACTGCACCCACTATGAATGCCAAGGCCCCAAGTTTGGAACAACCCTCCCTGAAGCAGTTCTACCCTAAACCCTAAACCCTCAACCCCTAAACCCTGAACCCTAAACCTCGTAAGAGGAGGATCCCGCCTGGAACCCGGCTGTGCCCATGGAGTCAAAAGTGTTCAAGTCGGCCAGGCGCTCCTGAACTCGTAGGGCCGGAAAGTTGCGAAGGCTTGTACTGGCACTAGGGGTGTACTAGGGGAAGGCAGGGCATAGTAGGGTAAAGCAGGATATCTATGATTTAGCAAGTTTCGTAGGATATCGATGACTTAACAAGTTTCGCAGGGTATCAGAGGACAGAGCAGGGCTTGCCGGTAGCAAGCTTTGGTGAAGCCTGGCTGGATTGTTGTGGAAGCTTGCCTACCTGCGTGGGTGAGGCTCCTCCTGCAACACGCCGCGCGACGCGAAGAGGGCTCCCAGGCTGCCACCAGCTCCACGAAGGATCCTGACAGCGGCTCAGGACAAAGTCATTGCAGGGGCGCCCGTGTATGTGAGGCTCAAACGCCGCCGGCTCGAAGCCACCAAGTGCCCACGGTTTTTGATGCAGTCTTCTGCAAACTCTCTGCAACCAAGTATCGTGAACTCTGAGGGGCTTGGATCATCTCCCAGAGACACGTGCCCGGCAGTCTCCTTGAAAGATCGGCAACAGAGCCGCAGCAAGGCATGCTGAAGTAGGCTTGGTGCATGCAAGGCTCATTCCAGGCCGGCGCACCCGAAGCATCGGACAAGCACGCAAGATCCTAGGGTAAAGCCACAGCGCATCTGTGCACAACCCCTGTTTAAGAGCACGTGCTCAAAAACCATCAGCTCTGAGGACTGCGCCGTCGACGTTCCCGCTGTCAGGTCGGAGCTCTTGGACTCAGAACATCCCAGAACTGCTCATCAGAATCGAACACCGAAGCACTAGCACTAGGAGACCTGAAACAGCTCTCGGCCGGGTGCCAGTCGAAGTCGCAAAGAGCTGTCTACACCAACTCGAAGCGATACCTCTCCCAAAGAGGCAGAGGTAGTTGGTGGGGGGTTTCGGGTTTAGGGCTGTGCAGAATGAACCGACGACAGGCTCTGAGACTCTGGCTGCGGCGGCCCCGACATCCAGCATTGCCGTAGGGACTTGTGGATACCTGGCTACACTGCGGCTACACTGGCACCTCAACACTGGGTTCAGGCAGGGTTCAGGGTTTCAGACGACTTGAAACTTTTGGGGTGGGGCCAAAGAGCTTGCTAGAATCCTCTCAGGCGTGCCTGATGTCCAGGAGTCCACTGCGCAGCGTGGCGAAGAGGTTTGGCACCGAGAGCTGTTCCAGCTGAACCAGTCCACGCTGCCCTACCTGCCGGAATAACCACGAATCTGCGCATGCGGATGCTGCGGACCCCCTGCAAATGCTTAAGCTCCGGGCCACGGTCAAGTTGACACCTGGGAGTTGTTCGAAACCAGGCAGTTTCTTAAAAAACGTCACCATAAGCCCTCTTGTGAAAAAATGCATCGCACAAGATGCACGAGGCAGCCGGATATTTAAACGCTGTTCAAAGATGCAGCATCATGCGACCACCGCCCACCACTGACATCGTAAGGCTGTGTTGTCAAGTGACCGAAGGCACTGCTGTTGCCACCGGTCACCAGCAAGGAGCTTCTGTCTCCAGGAAGGAGGTGAACAGAAGTGAAGGAAAGGTCAGCCTGGGCCCGACTTCTTCAGACACCGGCGATTCTGACTGGAGAGTTCAGACAAGTGTCCTCAGATCCCACCTGCCTAAGTTGCTCCACAAGTCGAAAATACAATACAAACACAGACCTTGCCGACCTTTGACTGAGATGATGCAACCAGTGGTGCGTGACTTCGGCCGAGTTGCAGGTGAGCAAGTACCTGAAAATCTGGCTCGGACGCGGGTCCACGGCAGCTGACCAGGAGACAGCTGCCCGTGTCCACCAGCGACACCTGAAATCATGGTAGCGCTGCAGCTCTACACAGGTGCTCGCTAGTCGATCTAGTCGTACAACCATACCATGTAGAAATGTGTACTTTTTGCATACATGTCGACCCGCACACGTATCCGCACAGATCATGCAAAGTCTTGCAACATCATCGCAGATCATACTAGTAGCATGTTGCTCTTCACCCAAGAACTCTTCCCTGCCTTGGAGGGCCCACTCGCTGTGAGGATGGTGTTCCGCCCAATCGACCGGTCTGTCAAACGGACAGACCTGAAGCGTTCCAGTCGTTACCGTTTAGGCTTCTTGGGTTTAGGGCATAGGGGCTTAGGGGCTTAGGGCTTCCAGGTGCTGCTTTGAAAATTCTCACCTCCCTTGTGACTTCGTCAAGATCTGCAAGGGGCCCAAACCATGAATGCAGAGGGGTCGCGAGCCAGGGACCACCGATATCTGCATCACACAGGCCGTCAGCTCGACGCGCAGGTGCCGAAAACTTGCGTTGCCCTGCGAGGCCAGGCAGACAAAGCGGTTGCAACGTATCTAGGAAAGGTGTGCGCATCACTTAGCCGACTTAGCCCTCATGTAGCTAATGCACTCTGAATCTTCGTGGCCTGGTGGGAGACTGGAAGGTTGCTGCCGTCGATCAGCACCAACTGGTGAATGACCTGACTAAGTTCCGCTCTCACTGCCGGGGTCGTTGGGCGCATTCCTGGAGTTGTCCGCAGTTTCAAGTGGGAAGAGCTCAGCCACTCTGAGGCCCTCTGCCAAGGACATGGCCACGCCATAGAGCAAGAGCGCCAACAGCAGCTTCCTTCCGTAACTGCGCACAACTAGTCTTTAAAACTTTAAGGCGTTGCCAGCGCTTTCCCAAGGAGGGTCATCCGTACTGGTCTACGCAGTCTTCGCACCTGTCAACTCTGAGTATCAAAACCTTCTCTGAAGCCGGCGGAGAGTGCGCTGAAGAGCTGGCCTACCTTGAACCTCGTGGACACAAAGCCCCCAAACTCCCTCAACCTCCTCAACTTGCGCTCAACTTGCGCTCAGCTTGCCCTCAACCCCGTTTGGCCAGATCATCTCGGCCAGCGGGGGCGGGCGCAGCAATGCATTCATCAGGCCGGACCATGCCCTGGATGACAAAAAAAAGAGGGGGGTTCGGATTGCAGGGGGGGGGGGGGGGGCATGGGTCTGAATGACACGATGCACAAGGCCTCCCGAGGCATGTTTTGGGCTCCTCCACCTCAGCTGACCATCCTTTTTGTGCTATGACCCCCCCAAGAGAGGGCCCATAATATAGAGAACTTTGATGTCCTTGGTTCCGTCCTTTATATGTCCAGGCCAGTCACGGGCGGCTTCCCAGACTGTAACCTCACAAAAGGGCTTCGTGCTTTCAAGGTGCGGCTGCAAGCAAGGCCCCCACAGAGATGCCAAGCAGGGCATGAGCACGGCAACCCCGAGCAAGAAGGCATGAGCAGTGCCGGCAAGTTTCGGATCCCCAGGCTTCTTCTCCTGGCCAGCAGTTCGTAGCAAAGCCCCACAAACCCATCAGATCCCAAGACCACTCCGGCACCCCTGACCAAGGAACAACCGCAAAACCTTGAGCTACTGTGAAAGTACGGCCTTGGCGTCCTCCACTGCTTTTGCCTTCTTGATCTCCTGCAGAGGAGCGGGGTCGACTGACAAGTTGATTCCTCTCGCAAGCGCCAATGGGAAAACGAGGAAAACGGGTCTGTCTCTCGCTGCTCAGCTTCATGTGCCGCACATCCACTGTGACATGCGTAGCACTTGGAGGTTCATGGTACTTATTAACCAATTATCACTGTACTTATATCTGTACTTGTAACTGTACTTATACGCAACATCTTATAACCATATTAGGGCAGGCGCTTGTAAGTGGGTTATGAGTACAGATATAAAGGCTAATAAGTACGATGAACCTCCAAGCATGTCCAAGCATGCTTTGGATGTCCATGAACGCGGCCTGATGCCTGACAGCATTCACAACGTCATCTTGGATGGCCTTGGTGAGGAGCCACATTCCTATGTGGGGGTTTCCGAAAATGGGGAGTACCCCTGCTTGGGATTACGAGAAACAGGATTATTGTATTTTGGGTGGTATTTGAGGGTGACCCTTTGTTGGGAGGTGCACATATGCGAAATGCCAACAAGGCCACTATGTAGATCAAGTGGTGCATGCGAAGTGCAGCTGAGTTCCACCACATGCAAGCTTCAGGGAAGTCCATGTTCATTCTTGTTCATCCGCAGACCCAAACATGCAAGCATTGGCAGGCTTCGTCATTAATAAAGAGCATGCACACAACAGCGCTGCCTGTACCTGCAACACTTCGCGAACACGCTACAAATTGCGGCACTGCTCTTTTGGATGCATCCTTGTATCGAAATCAAGGCGTAATTGCGCCACAAAACTCGCAGACAGACCCCTGCCATGCAAGTTAGCCAACCATGTCCATCCTCTTCGAAGTCGTCATTATTGTCAGGGAAACGGCTCAGGGAGAAAAGGGTGCTTATCTCAATCGATGACAGTAGCAAGGCAAGTTGCCTCCTCCCCGGCCTCTCCACCACGCTCGCTCCTTGTGAGAGCTATGACACTCTTGGGAAACTTGCCTAACCTCCCTTGCCGTCTGCAGAAGGCTGTCTGCAAGGATGCCATACCACATCAAGACAACACTTGCAGCTCAGCGGCAGCGGCACCACTGAAGCACCTCAGATCGCAAGCTGTGGTCACTGCCGAACCGAAGCAAGCTTTACCGAGACCGGGTCCCTGTTCAAGGAATGTGATACTAAGAGTCTTGCTGCCCATGGATGCTGCCTTCCATGCTTTCCATGGCATACACTGTCGACTTGAAGCAGTTTGCTCTCATGCACTGTCCACATTACTGCAGATGTTGTGGGTGTGGCTTGCTCTTGAGAGTTCTGCTCCGGCTTCACAATCCTCCGATGGCTTTTGGACTCTGACTCTTGAAACATGAATCTGTAGTTTATCTTGAGCCTTGACTCAAAGGCTGCGGCATGTTGAGTTTCCTCGGCGCTGTATGCCTGCATCTCTCTGGGCCGGGAGCAAGTTTGAATATCAACTTCGGTGCTGACATGTGCAATGCTTGCTTCAAACTATGCCAACCTCCCAGCAGCCCAGGTGAGGATCAAGGCGCTCCACCGAGTACAAGGGCTGATCCTGCTAACAGCTCTGCCGACCCCTCAGCTGCTTTCAAAGGTGCTGAAAGTGCACCAAAGTGCACCAGTATGGAGCTCAAGCTTGCGAAGACTGTTGCATGGCCAGCTGTTGGCGACGCTCGCGCAGGTGGGGTGGACTTGTACATCGCAAGTGGAATCAAGGAGACGCTGGTGAGGGAGGTTGCTGCCTTGTGCTTGTAGATGCATGTCTTCTGTTGCTTTGCATTCGCAGGCTTGGTGCAGAAAATCTGTTGCAGTAAGGCTTTAGGGCTCTTTGGCACGTGCTTGCAGCAGCTGGAGTTTCTTTGGTGCCCCACCCTCTGCCTCCCTACGGCACGTTTTGGGGAAGTTGGGTGCAACCCTTGGCATAAGGCATGCCACTGTCTCCACCTGAACGTGACCTGCCTGACAGAGGTTCGGAATGTTGCACCACCCATTCAGGGAAAACAAGAGTCGCGCGCTGGGTTCAGCATTCTGTGTGCATGCGCTTGTACCCTTGTCTACATTCACGTGCCGGGCTCTCGTCACCACGTTCTCAGATGAAACCCGAAAGGCTTCGTTTCTGGGGTAAGGATGCATGTGAAAATTCGAGCTTAGTCTCTCCTTTAACTGTTTTTTCGCTTTTGTCTTGAGCCCTTCGCCTCGAACAGCAATGCTGCTGTCTTGAATGCCAGAAGAATACAGTGCTTGTTGGCAAAAGCAGTTTCACGCAGGAGCTGCCGGCAACACGAGTCTGACGTTTGCAGCGATCAGAAAGGTTGTTCCCGCGCGCGCGCGCGCGCACGCGCGCGCGCGTCATGCAAGCTCCAAGGCATCCGGGCTGTTCGGAGCTCCTTGACACCATGGCCGCCCGCGACGTACAGCTTGCCCCCAACCCTGAGCAGTTCTCGCCAGATTTTTTGCATGTCGAGAGGCGTCTTGCGCTACAGCAATGGCGAGAAGCAGTTCAAACGAGTGGCACCAACCGCTTCCCGGTATCAAATTTGCACAGCGTTGTGCCCTCACAGGCCGAGGGCGCAACGCTGACATGGCATGTGCGGCCCTCGGACCTGGGAGGGATGGCAGCCTTCGCCACCTGGCCCCAGGATCGACTTAGGGTCAGTAGGCTGTCGGCTTTCAGGGTGTACTGGCGTGTTCGCAGAACAGCACTGAGTTTCAGGGCAGCAGAACCGCGACAGGCCAAAAAGAGCTGAGGTCGCCACTCCTTTGAGCCCATGGCGAGGCATTCTACGCCAGAAAGCACCTCTGGGAGCTTATGACCAGAAAGGCTGCACGCAGCTTCGTTTCGAAGCTCTGCCCGGCCTCCTCGCCGCGTCCGTATCCTCCAGCCACAAAGGCAATGTCTGCAGTGAAGGCAGCTGCCGATGCCCACCGCACGGTGCCCATCCTAGGAGGATGAGTCATCTTCAGGGGTATTCGCACACAATCATCGAGACTGATTCTTTGCATTGCCGCCACCTGGGAAAGGGGCGGTGGCAACGGGATCCAGCACCGCAGAGACGGCTGGAAGAACTCCACAGAATCCAACGTCGCTTCCTAGCTTCCGGTGCTTGCTACCGGTTGCTTTCGCAGATGATGCACACGGACACAAAAGCCTGTAAGGAATGATGCGATGATATGAGTTTACGAGAATAGGGGACCCCTAATATAGACCCCCAAATAGTATTCCCTTTTTTAGGACCCCCAAGAGGGTACCCTTTTAATTTTGGCAACCCCATATGAAATGATGTGCAGGACTTCAGGGCATGACGTCTCGATCGCCGCCAGCGACGAAGACTCCCCCCCAGGCACCGGTGGCCTTAGCAGCATGAAACAAGCAATGCTCCATAGCTCTCGCCTGATACAACAATCATAAATACGTAGAGATATACACATACAGATACATATACATGTACATATACATATACATACACATACACATACACATAGACATAGACATAGACATAGACATATACATACACATACACATATACATATACAAAAACACACACATATACATATACATATACATACACATGCACATATACATACACAGAAACATATATTCTGTTCTTGGGAGCGCAATTTGTTCTTGACTCCGGGCCTTTGCCGTGTTTGTCGGGCCTTGGCCACCTTATAGCCAGGGGGCTGCCACCCAACCACTACAGCTTTGAAGAGGTGGCGCCTCGGAATATGGAAGGCGGTCCTACATAATGTAGTGTGCTACCCACGTGCATGAGACAGAAGCTCGCACTGCAGGACTGCATGCTTCGGTCCGCACAGGCATCCAAACATCCTTGGCAGGGTAGTAGCACTCGACCTCACACTGGACAGAGCATTGGCAAAGCCTGTAGCTGATGATGGTGGGAATCGAGGTGTGGACACTACCAAGCGGTCCCTCTACGCCGCGCCCTGAGCCAAGGCCGCAATGTGCAGAAATGGCAGCCTGGCTTGTGCAGCTTGTGTCACAGGGGCCTCCTATGGCATAAATCGCGTCGCCGCAGGCCACGGCCGCGCAGACCTCGGAGCCACGGAGTCTGCAATCTTGTTATTCATAGATATTTCTCTCTCTCTACATATGTGTGTGTAGCAGTAGAAGTGTAGACACACACAGACATGCGCCTCAAGACAAGGCCAGAAACACGTACGGTCTCGCGATTACAAGAGGTACAGGACATATTCTGCGAAGCGCAGAGCACCGCAGCATTCTTGAGCGATGTCCTCGAAGCTTGGGCTTCTGCCAAGCACTGCACTAATCTACACGGGGCTGGACGGAGATCGGCATGTTGCCATCCGTGTGAGCCCCTAGCCACTACTATTTCGCTGCCTCACTGCTTCCACGAGACGAGGCAGCACCTCGCCGGCTTTTCCTCGAGTGACACAAAAAGGGGGAAGGCTCCGGAGCGTGGCTGCAAGACACAGTGTGGCCTTGCAAGAAGATGTCAGCCTCAGTGCCGCTAAGCCATCAAGAGAATGGAAAGGCCATTCCAGCAACTACCCCAACACAAGTCTGGGGCTTCGGCACTGGATGAGCCCGAGTGGTCCAGATTCAAAACGATGAGCCTCGAAAAGAGCAGGGGCCCCTTCAAGGCATCTCTGTATGTGTCTGTCCAGGGCAGGCACGTCCCCCAGCGCCACTTAACCAGACCTGGCACCATGTTGGCCGGCATTACCTCACATGCAAAGCGCGCCCGCGTCGACACACCACAGCAAACACGCCCAAAACCTCTGAACCCTAAACCCTCAACCCTAAACCCTAAGCCCTAAACCCTAAGAGTTCTACCCAGATCCTAGCCATCCCAAAAGCCGGGCAGCATTCAGGCCGGTCCCCACCACCAGGCAAACCGGTGAGCCCAAAACGGCTTTCCAGGACCGGCCAAGGGCTCCCGCAGGCAGCGCCTCTCCAAACATCCTTAGGGCGTTCAGGCACGTTTGGGGTTTTTAGGGTTTAAGGTTTAGGATTTAGGGTTTAGGATTCAGGGTTTAGGGTTTTGGGGAACGGTTTAAGGGTTCTCGGGGCTGAGGGATTTCTGGGAGGGCTGCACTTGAAGGGGGGGGGGGGGGGGGGCTGCCATCACGGTGCTGCTTAGTCCGAAGAGGCTCGTCACATCCGGCTTGAGAACACCGCCTGTCTCGGCATGCTTGGGGTACCACTTGTCCTCAGAGGCAAGCGAATGAATTCTCTGGGTGCTTCCATCTCAGCTAGAACCGTTGGCACACACACCAAGACCAATACCCATGGTTGAGACCAATGTCTTTCCAGTTGCGAAACATGACCCGGCTGGTTGACAGGGTACAATTGAAACTCTTGCAGCGAAGGCGCTGTTGCAATATCCGCTCGCAAACTACTGTCAGGCTTGCCTTCTCGCGCCGCTACCCACTGGCCTGGGCAGGCTCAGAAGACCAACACGAAGCGTGTTTGCAAGCCCATGCTGCAAAGTTGCGAAGGATCTCCGCTTGGGGTACCTGTCACGAGACAGGTCCCAACATGAAGCTGATTGGCCGCAGGCATTCTGCTTGTGCACTTCCAACAGGGAAGGCCTGCTTTCCCGAAGACATGCATGTGGCCTTGGCCCATGAGCAGTACACTCAGTACACTTTGCGAAAACAGCACTTCAGCTGCTCACAGCAACGTTTCGCCATGTCAGCACACTGAAATCGAGGATGCCACTGTGGCCATCGTGCCGTGGATCTCAATGACGTTGCTGGAGCCGGCCCGCTGGTGAAGCGAGTCAATGTTCCTGGGTCAGCTTCCGGACCCAAAATCTCCCTTCAAGCATCTGACCGCCAAGTCCTGACCGCCCATTCGGCAGCCCTTTCCAGCGCACGATATGCATCAGCATTTCCGAAGGAAGCAGACTGCGCTAGAAAAATAACAGCTTGCTGAGGATACGAGAAGATAGGACGATCAAGATCACCGAGTCTAGGAGGGCGTTGAAGTCTAGGAGGGCGTGTCCAGCGTGTGGCGTGCCTGGGACAAAACAATCTCTGCCCAGTGATGGCGCAAGCGTCCAGAAGCATGGGTCGCCTGTAATTTAGCCAAGTGCTCGAGTGGGCCCGCACGGCGTAGGATGTGGCCAGTTTGAGAAGGGGACACGAATTTAGGAGCATGTTCAGAAGCCCCCTTAGCCTAAACTATATATGTGTATATACACACCCCCAAAACCTGAACGGCCAAACCCTAAACCTAACGAAGGCTTCCAAAAAGAAGAAGCTGAAGCCAAGAGTCTGCGTGATAACCTCGGCTGCAAATGCCGCTGCAAGCCATATTCCACGAAAGCCCACAAACTCGGGCAAAGGGCTTTGTGGGGCTATTGGATTTTGAGTCAACCATCCTCCTCGCCCTCATGACCCGGTGTTACGCCCGGTGTCCAGGCTTGAGAAACTTCCCTGGAGAACCCCCTGCCACACAAGCCCGCGGAGAGTCCCATCGCGTATCCCGGGGCCCACATGATCGAAGTAAGCATTTCAGGTTTTAGCTTAGGGCTTTTACAGATCTTGGAGTTTCAGAGTTCGGGGTCTCGGGGTCTCTCCTCCTCTCTGGCAAGGCGCTGTCCGAAGCTTTCCCATGTTCTCCAGATCAACTAGTGCACGGTGGGCAGCATTCGGCTCAGCCTCCCGAAGCCCATCCTGACTCCAACGAAGGCGCATACTTCACGCACTTTGCATTGACACTCTCTGACATGTCAAGAATTCCTCTGGTTGTCTCAAGCGTAGGCTCTCGCAAATGATCGGCACCGCCGTTGGCAAGGTGCACTTCCAGAGCAAGCTCCCTGCCCATTTGCCAGAACAGGTGCGGGCTTTCACCTCATCAAGATTTTCCCAGAACAGAACATGCACCCATGCAAGACTTTGCTCATAGCCTTTGAAGGCCCTTAAATGCCAGGGCAACCACAGAAAGTGTTGTACTCGCAGTAGATGCCGGGATTGTATTTGGACCAAAGTCCACCTACAAGCCGCAGCAAGTCGAGTGCCCAAACTCTGGCAGTTTTTGGCCAGCTCAGCTCTCGGACAACTTCTTAAAGCATATTATGTTCTATTCATACTATACTTTACTATGTGATATTGTATTGTACTATGTTATAGTTTGCTATATTATGTTGTATTATGTTATATCATGTTATGTTATATTATGTTGTATTATGTTATATTATGTGATATTTCGCTATATTATGTTATGTTATGGTATATTATGTCATATCATATTATATTATATTATATTATACCATATAATATTGCATATACATACATAAGCTACACTTTTCTTGCAATCGCCAGCACCAGGAAGCTCTGGGCTCACCGAAAATTGTCACACAACGACTGTGGCCTGATCGACGTACTGGCAACCTTGTTGGTTTGTGCGGCGCGGCTTGTTCAGAAAGGATGTGAAGCCCATTTCCGAGACTTTCTCCAGCACGTCTGCCTCGTGCAATCGTGCAAATCGAGGGACATCCCGCGTCAGGACGTACAGGGACAGATATGTTGGGTCGGTTACGACAGCATAGTCATACTTTCCGTCCACCTGCGGCCCCAACGCCAGCACTATGTAGTTGGCCTTGTGGTACGGCTGAGGAACTTTCGGCGCAAGCCCTGGTGGACCAAGGGACACATCGAACACCCCCACACGATCCGGGCTTGGCACAGCAAACCCTCGGACACTCACCCTGTGTCCAAAGACCTGCACAGAGTTCACCAAAGAGATTGCACTGCTGTTGCTGATGGCTTCGTAGTCCACATAAACGCAATTGGCTCCCAGCTCAGTGGCGTACTTCACGGAGAAACTTCCGTACGTCTGGTACCAGCGCCCAAGGAAGGATGCCACGTCAAGCTTTTCGACCGGAGCTGGTCTCTCTTTGGTCGCCACAGCTGCCACACTCCAGGCGAGGATCCACGTGCAGAGCTTCATGTGGTCGAGCTCTCAGCTACAACCACAAATCTAGATTCTAAACGGCACTAGTCACTAGTACAAGCTACAGAAACTGAAGTGCTGATCTTCTCGCTCTCTCTCTCTCCTTGGACCGAAGTATCGGGTGCAAAGAGAACTCTCTGAATTGAAAGGAACACAAATACGATGCACTGAAAAGCGTTTCATCTTATGCCAATCAGTTGCAGCTTCATCAGCTCCCAGCCTGGAGACCTGAAGTCCGGAATACCAGATTCCACCGAGATACCTGCGCCTGTGAAGACGGTCATTGAGCCTCAGCACTCGAACAAGAACAACCACTACCAGGCGGATTTGTAAGCAATATGGCATCCCTCTGACACTGGGCACGGAAGCCTGCATCAGCAATCGCAGTTGCAGCTGCATTCAGCGATTGCTCCAGTGAGTATTTCGGCCTGTCGCGGTCATCGCATAACACGCTCGTTTCAAGTAGATGCAGGCATGCAGGTATGGGTTTAAGGGCCTGGTGGGATCTGCGATGTTACGATCGGCGGTGCCAAGGATGTTGCCCATGGCACGTCTTTGGCCAGCGTTACAGAGTCGCAGAACCTCTCAATGTCTGGAAACGATAAGGGTTCGGCATGCAGGTCTGCGTGCAGTGCATTTCTTGAGCCCACAAGCTGCTAATTGGGATCATGGGCCTTGGGCAGACATGATAAACTGTGACGCTGACTTGTTCCAGATTCGGGGTACGCAACAAACGTCACTTCTGAAAACATTCCGTGCAGCATTTAGCACAGCCCACACATGGTCTCAGTCTGGAGCACAGCGGGGCTGCAGCATAGGGGCGCGGGTGTCACATTGCCCCGTAGCTGGGCCTCATGCCGAAGCCATCGGAGTGATGTTTGTAAGATAGTTATATATATATATATGTATATATTGTATTGTAGTATATTAGTTAAGAGACTTTTTTTATACTTTCGAGACTTCTGGAGTTCCAAGGCAGTGGCTGAAGCACTCCAGCGTTCGCAGGGGGCGGTTTGAGACACTTCCAGCTCCACCTCTGCGTTACAAGGCTCTCTTGGCTTGAAGCGCATTCCATGTGAGATATGTGAGGTCACCAGTGCTAGGCCCCTCTCCCACAACCTCAGGATGTCTCAGGTTCCCCTTGAATTCGGATGTGCGTCTGGCCAGGCACAGGGGACTTGGTTCAAAGAAACACGCGTGCAGTGCGCGTTTGCGTGCGACGCCGTTTCCCGTTTCCCCTAGATCCTGTCACGACTCCCTGCTCTTGGGACCGCCCGTCATCTGTGACTTAAGCCCTTAAAGATCTTTCCTTTTTAAGTTTCCGGGGATGCGGGGGGAAGGGCAAAATACGTCCTGGTCAACTCGCGCGGCAAGAACCACATCCTCGAGCGAGGGGGTGGGGTGGGTTGGCAACAAAAAGTGTGAAACGCACCATTTGCAACTACCGCAAGTGCCGTTTCTGTGGACTGGTTGCGATTCCCTGCCAAACACCCGTCATCTGCGACTACACAAGATTGCCTTCGAAACGAAGGGATTCACATATGACAGAAGTGCCCTACGGAGAGAGACAGAGAGCACTTAACCACACCAGATGCAAGATCAGTGTGCTTCTGCAATCTTCGGCATGGTTCTGCACTGCATCCTTCTGCACTGCACCCCCCCTCTTCGCGCACCTACAACGTAGATGGAGGCCGGAAAAAGGCGATCCAACCTTGAAGCTGTGAGGGATCACGAGTGTGGCCCCTTTCACTCTCCCGCTTGTTGCAGCTTCTTCATCGCTGTTGAGCACCAGACTCCGGCGTGCAAACAGCAATGCCCCGAGCAGCACCGCGCGATGCCAGCAGAATCGGGCAGATGGACGATGGCCTCCGAATCTCCAAGACTGCGAGGATCCATGTGAGATGACGGTTGAGGCTGTCTTCGAAAGCTCGTCCGCCACTCCAGAACTCTAGAGCAGGCCCGCTGTAGCTAGCGACCGTCACCGCGAGCTCGGGTGTTCTTAGCACCGCCTGTCAAAAGCGCAGAAGGCATTCTGCCATGTTCTGCCATCACATTCTGTCAACGACTCTATCAGGGCCTCCAGGGTTGCTTGCTGATGCGTCTGTGACAGCGGGTGCCTCATCTTTGACCGTGACACTGCTATTGGCGTTTCAATGCTTTTCAAAGCATTTCATTTTTAAACTCCGAGCTTCCGGGCTGGCTGAGGACTCTCTGGAAGCGGCGCCGATGCAAGCGGCTCAGAAATGCCTTCCAGAACAAGGTCCCCTTAGGCTCGTTGCTGTCTTACACCCCAAAGCCCGTAGTGGCCCTCAGCAGGAAGCACTACATGGGGCCTGCCCGCAAAGAATTCCGATTGACTCGAGGCCTCGGCAGCCCATCACTTGCGTGAGCTCGGCTGCACGTGATGCAATGCATGATGCAACGAAGTATCCCACTTCGGGACAAATTTGAGGCTTGCTGAGATCCACGACAGTCGCGAAGCGCAGCATTCTCCTCAAAGAACACGCTCACTGAAGCAGGCGCTGCTGAGCTCAGATGTTTCAAACTCTACCATTGCAAGACACAGCCAGCTGAAGGAATGCTATCTTCACCAGTTCTGGGAGTTGTCTGGCTCAGGTCCCATTTCCAATTCTCCGAGCTCCGGACCTCGCTGAGTTCAGACTGCCTGGCTAACCATTGCCATGAAGACTTGCACTGGTCGTGGACAACCTGCAAGCCTGGCAACCCCGGAATCTTCTCCCTTATAAACCCCTCCCGCCTTCGGTGCAAGGCCTCCAAGCTCATGCGCTGCTGCTCCAGTGCACCCTGCAGGTCCTTCAGCGCAGACACCTGCACTGGGCACGTTAACTCGGGTTTTGGTGTCACTTACTGCGGCCAACCGCACTCGAAGCTGCCGGCCTCTGACATCACCATGGCTGGTTCGTCGCCCACTAATTACGGCCAGAGAACTGCAGAAGTAGCATTCGGGTGCTTACTGGGTGCTGTACTCTATCTCTGCCTGGATGCTGTGCCGAGCACTACGCTGGATCTGCAGCGCTGCAGCCAGCTGCGTGGCGGAACACACGTGCAAGGTGGAGAGCGGCACGTTCCTCTGAGTTCTCATGAAACTTCTCTTTAGCACTGCTTCACTGTGACTGCTACAGCCGTGAACTTCACTGACCAGCAGTTGCACGAGATGGCTTTAATGACATGCGCACATGTGGAAGCACAAATGGGCCAACCTCCTCCCAAGCCTCTCGAGCTTCCTGAAACTTCTGCTGCCTTAGCAAGCTGCATGAATGAACTCATCTAAAGCACCAAAATCATGATCAGAGTAGTTGCTGTAGATAGACACAGCACGCAATCTGAAGGAACCCCAACAAAAAGAGGTCTTCACAAAAACATCCCATGTCACTCAGAAACGTTGCTTGGCCCCCAGCTTGTACAAGTCCGCACCCCTCTCCTCCAGTTTGCAGACGGCCAGAAAGGGATGCAAAAGCACTCGAGAGCCGGGCCTTGGCAGAGATGGACAGCTGCACCTGCTCGGCCTCCTCGTTCGTCTCCTTCTGACCATCCTTAGTGCCAGCAATGCAGCAAAAGGACACCCTTCGCCGGTCGCAGCTGTCGGAACAGAATCCGCTTGCAGTGCAGGTACCTCTGTCGCCATTTCTCTCAAGCACTATGGCGCAGGGCCTGACCTACATACTGTACCGGCATATCGAAATCATCAAAGCTTGATTACAGTCATTGCATGCTGCGTAGAGTCCGGGAAGATGAGGGAGGTCTGCAGATTTCAACAAGAAGTTCTTGAAACTGCGATGTTGGGACCTTGCTTCTCGTGAGAGCGCAGAACACGCAGTGGCTGCGGAGAGTACGCTCTTCTTGCTACGGTTTTGGGCAGGCAGAGAGGCGTAAAGAACGGCTTCTATTCAAGCATCGTGCATGTTTACAATGCTTACTTGTGAGAGCCAGGCATCAGACCATGGTGGTTTTGTGATGGCTTGCCGGCTCTGCTCTTGGCATGTAGAGGAGTGACTTCACTCCACTTGAACATGTCTGCATGCACAGTGGCTTCTGCACTTTTTGCAGATTGGGGCCACGGTGAAACATCTAAACATGTCAAACTTTTTGAACACGCATCCACGTGATGAACTGCCGTTGCTATATGGGGTCAAGTTTTGCTCAGAGGCCAACGGCGATTGCAATCCAGTGGCGCATGTGGAAAAGCGAGCACTGCCCACGCAGCGTTTGCTGACGCAAGCTCATTTCCGATCGAATTCCAAGCCGGCAAATGATGCACGTGCTGCTGTCTACACGTAGCGCAAGAACGCGGAGGACTATCGGACTGGAAACAGGTCGCCGGGGCTAAAAGTTGCCCTCAGTACCCTTGCCAAGCTGAGATGCGTTACCTGAGGTAGGAGGGAAGCTGTCGCTTTCAACTGCAACCCCACTAGATGCCCCGTTGCCCATTGCCGTAGGGTGCAAGCCTGGCATGCGCCGGCATTTGCATCGAGCAAGCGTATCATTGCCTCAAGGGCCGCCTGGACAGTTGCGCACTGCGAGTTCCTCCCTGCTCTGTGCCATCCTGCATTTCTGCCGGTATCCTTGCCGGTATCCCTGCATGCTGCCTGAACCGACTCGGATTTCAGCAGAGACGGGCGTTGGCCCTCGGGCTCGCCCTGGCCGAGCAGAAGCTGCTTCGAAGGCGAAGTGTGCCGAAGTACCCAGAAGCCAACACACACGCTCCCTGGGATGTTCCCCCTTACGCTAACAATCCTTAATTAGGAACACAATAGGATCCAACAGGGGGTATTTACTATAATCCCTACGAAGGACTGCAGTATAAGGGGGAACATGGGGGGAATCCCAAGCTGCAAGCAGCACCTCCGCGGCCATCTCCTTCAGCAGCTCTTGCAGCGACTCGTCCAGCCTGGCGCTCACTTCGGGCATTCCCTGTGAACCGTGCTATTCCTGGGACTTCGACCCGAATTTGGCCACAACAGAGTATGTTCTGTATATATATACACATATATATATATATATATTTATTTATTTATTTATTTATATTGTTTTTTATTTATTGTGGCGGGGGGGGGGGGGGGGCAATTAAACAGGTGCTTGGATAATTTATAAAGCTGTATAGAAGGGGGGGGGCCCAACGCGGCCCGGTGCCTTGCATCGGCTTCTTCGGGAGCAAGCTGACCACGGAAGACACCGATGACCTGACAGACACCGCAACGGCGTGCGCAATAGCCGCTCAGCGATGCACAGAAGCGTTGGCTTAGGGTTTCGGGTTTGTTTAGGGTACCAGCGTAAGCGCTGTTTCTTCGAAGCCCAGGGTGTGAAGTGGTGTCGCACAAGCATGGGCGCAAGGGAAAGTGCAACATGGATTTTCTCTGGCCACTTTGGATCCGGATCTGAGACGCTGCAAAGCTTTGTCAGCGGCAACAAAGGACGATGAGGTGCTTTGACCAGGCTGCAGTGCTACGGGCACTAACTGGTTCCGATTGGGAACTGAGAAAACTGGTTTGCAGGTGGGCGCTCCACTGCGTCAGCTGCTTACCACCCTCACGTCTCCACTTCCATCTGTTGCCAGGTCAATGACCGTGCAGGCATGCCTGCCAAGGGATCGCCAACCACCATACATGACCTTCTGACTGTGCAGTGCGCGTGTCATGCTCCAGATACGAATCCGAGACACTGCAGTCCGGTGGCTCGGCCAGCATTCCTCAGCCAAGGAGACTGGACATGTCCTGTTTAGGGCCCTACCTGGCCTACCTGAAAGCACATAGCGTGGCAGCTTGTTGCAATAAAGTGTCGCATTGGCAGCATTTACGAAGAGTGTGCCATGCCTGCAGCATAGTGGCTAACCCGCCAACCCCCTCATTTTCCGCTGAGAAGTTTGAGTCTACCCAGACATCTCCAGCTGCCTGTGCTTATGGCCATGCGCTTCATGCACATGACCAAAGAGATGCACTCGAGGAACAGTTCTCCTTCACAGGGTGCACTGGCACTAGAATGAGCTCTTGCTGCTCGGATGCGTCGAATGTGTTCGTCGGAAAGGCATGGGCCGACAACTGCTCATCTCGCAGCTAGAAACGTCCTGCCTTCCGCCTTTTCTTTGCCGGTGGCCAAGCCTACCCAAGGCCCGCTTCAGCCTCACTGTCACTCAGAGCGTCCATAAACCTCAAGCCCTCGGCCCTTAACCTAAAGCCAAACCGGCGAAACCCATACTAAGCCCTAGCTGCAAAATGCTGCAAATCCGGATCTCTTCCAACTAGCATTCCCTTTCTGCTCGGCAAGATGCTTCGTAGATCCAATGTTTGCGACTCTGGTGTTGGAAGCAGACGCATAGTCCAGCGTGTCACGCGGTGGTTCGTGCCTACAAGGACAGCACAAACATGACAATCCACCACAACTGTCCTAGTTGAGGGTTTCATGGGAGACATGCAGACGGGCACGAGATCAGAAGGTCGACGCCATCAGGAATTTGCATGGATAATGCATCCTGATACCAACCTCAGCAGGAATCTGCAGTGGCAGCACAACACCCTGGAAATACAAAGCTTCCCTGCCATACCACATCATGCCCACTCTTTCAAAGCGGGGGGAGGAGGTGGGGGGTCGGGATTTCTTTTTGGTTTTGTTTGTTTGTTTGTTTGTTTTTCTTTTTTTATGGGTGGGGCCGTAGCATGGCTTAGAACGATTAGAGCGTTTGAAGATTGAGTACCTTTCAACAAATTGAGAGCAGCTGGGCCTTCGGAGTCATAGGGCACTCCGTAGACCTTCAAGCCGCCAACCGTGCGAGTGCCACGGAGGTAGCAGTCGCTGAGGGCCTCTTTCCACCTGCCAGATTCGAGTCATATTTGACGTTGTAGGGGGCTTCCAGATACTAGGGTGTTCTGTTGGGGCCGCTTATCCTCTATTTGGGGAAATAAGGGGTGCCACTTTCAAGGGAAACGCCCAATACCAATTCATGCCCCCGCAAGCTTGCGACTGAGGTCCGGACACTCGACCCCGCTCATGGTTGCCCTTCACGAAGATCTTGTGTCGAAATGGCATTGCCGAAAACCAATCGACAAAATCTCAGCTGCCACAAGTTTGCAACTCTGATTCATGGTGGGAGCATCTCAACTTAAGCCGCTCGCGCGCCATTCGAAACAGATCAAGCAAACCCTAAACATTCCTGAACCCCTAAAAAGTAAAATGGACAACAACGACATTGGTAAGATGAGACGGCCTCGGAAGCCCGACTTCCACGCTTGGCCCTCGCACTGCGCATCTCCGCAGTGGACGAGAACGTCCTCGGCAAAGTGTGCTACGTAGCAACCGAGAAATTGCAGCAGAGGCACCACAAAAAGGCAGGGAAAGAACATTAAGTAGGCTCTGTTAGGCTCCTGAACTCGTGCGGGCACTGGACGAATGTGCCTCCATGTCTGCATGGCCCGAATATGCCATTTTGCGGCGAGACTCACCAGCAGGCACTCTCAGTCTCCGATGGAAGCCATGTGTATCGCTCATCGCGACCACCCTCACAGCTGAGTCCCATTTGGAGGAGTCCAGTCCTGTCATACCAAACGAGGTTCGAAACATCGCAATCACACCGCCACGTTCAACGCTCCATCTACAGCACGGCACTGCATCAGGGCTCTGTGCCTTCTGCATCGGGGCGGGCACGCCGCTTCCATTGCCCACTGCACCCGCTGCGCGCACCATAGGCAACTGCTGCCAGAACGCTGCCGTATCTCGCGAGATACCCATGGTGTGCCTTGGAGAATAAGCATTGAGGAACAAAAGAAACTCAAGTTTGCATTAGAACAGTTTAAACAAGGACAACAAGACATACAATGTATTGAACAAAAAACAAGTCAGATGGAATTACAAAAATTAGAGACAGAACAGGTTATAAAGATATTAAAAAATATAACTCAAATAAAAGATGTTGGTATACAATTGATGGTGTAAACAAGCACAGAGCAGACACCCAATGGAATAACAACAGAACAGGAAGTATGCAACAGTCATTCCTACCCAACTCCCGCCAAGCGACAGGCCGTTTGCACAGCCTCTTTGGGCCTGCCTGGCTGCTTGTGCCGCGTGGCACCGGCACGCTTCGTGAAGCAGCGAAGGCGCAGGCGAAGGCGCCAACTTTGTCCATGTCCATGATGCTTCTGTCACACCATGCCGTCAAGTCCGTCAAGTCCAGCTTCTTATTGAGGGCTACTGCAACTGCAACACTTGTGCAGGGAAGTGCATCTTATACCGGGTTACAGAAGAGGTCGGTTAGGCACCAGGAGGAGATGTGAGTAATGGGTGGGAAACCGTGTGGGTACGCATGGCCCAAGCCGTGCAGATCGCCAGGCTGACAGCCAACAGAGCCACAGAGTGGAGGCAGTACCACAGTAATCTGGCCACACCCCACCAGAGCACTTGACAATCATCCGCACGCATGAAACTGTCGGCAAAGAGAGAGAGAGAGAAAGAGAGAGAGAGAGAGAGATAGAGACAGAGGGAGAGTGAGAGAGTGTGAGAGAGAGTGCGAGAGAGAGAGAGAGAGGGGAGAGAGAAGAGAGAGAAAGAATAGAGATAGAGAGAGAGAGACAGAGAGAGAAAGAGAGCAGAGAGCGAGATAGAGAGAGAGAGAGTGGAGAAAGAGAGAGAGAGGGAGCGAGAGAGAGAGAGAGAGAGAGACTGGACAACGTCTGCGTCTGCCTCGCGGAACTGCTGCTCCAAGTAGCTGGACGCTATGGCAACCGCTGGCCTGGAGAGTGCACCAAGCAGAGATTTCCCGAATCCCCATGCCAGACTCACTCCCAGTACCTTGCCTGCAGTGCTCCAGATCTTGGGCGAGCCGGTCCGCCAATTGCTGCACAGTCGCCAGGTGCACGTTCTTCGAGCCTTCCAAAGGGAACACTCCCTCACTTTGGCCCGGAGGGACTGAGTCTCCATGGTCTTCCGTTGAGTCTTCCCGTTGTCTTCACGCTGGGGCCGTCGCGTGCCACCAGCGGCTGGCTGTTGGAAGAGTCGCTGCCTTCGTCCTCTCACATGGAGGTTTCCAACAATTAGGGGTACCTTAGTGGGGTCATTATTCAAAGGGAATCTTACTATTTGGGGTCTATTTTGGGGGTCCCTAGGTTCGTAAACCCCCACATCCCAGAGCTCTGAGACGCGAAAGTCTGTGGATCCAAGGGCGCCGCAAAGGCACAGGCAAAGACGAGGAGCGACAGACACCTTCACTTTACGCACAAACTGCTCTGTTGCCCTGCGCACACCCGCTGGATGAATAGTGTTTGAAGTGCTCGGATATCGGCTCACATGGTGGTGGCCCAGACTGTGATGATTCGCCAGCCTCGTTTGCAGACTCGCATGACCAAAATTCTGCAGGTGATCAAAACCTTTGCCAGACCTAAGCAATTGGCTGCAGCTGTTGCCCGAAGTTCTGGCTGCGACCAGCGCACAAAGATTGTGCCACCAACAGGTACCTCATCTGCACAGGCCAACGAGAGCAACTTCAAGGCACGTGGCACATGTGATGCAGTGATGCACGTGTGGCCTCTGCCGGGGTCTCCAGCAGCTGCAGCGTGCTTTCATCCAAAACTCGAGCTTTGGAGTACGCCTGGCGACCCACAGGCAACTGAGGCTAGGAACATGGTGCAATTGACGAAGCCCGCGCACCTCACAGCACTGTGAGAGCGAGACATGCAGTTGATCCTCAGCCGATGCAGCACATACAAGCCGATTCGGCACAACGGCAAGTGTAAACGCGCTCAAGGACCGGACAGTCAAGAGCCTCATGTCCAAGAACAGGCTTCCAAACAAGTCACACTCGCGGCGTAAGGCGAGGGTATGCCTGCACAGGACAAGAACGCCACTTTGAAGTCAAGAATGAAATTAGATGCAGGCCCGCCTCATCATGGACCTGTACAGGATCCTTAGATTTGCGGAACATCGGTCAGCTGTCTCTGCAGAAACCTGTGCTGACAACGCCCCCGCCCGCTTTTGCAGATCAGCGTCTGCTTCTTGGCAGCTTCCAATGCCGAGCTACCTCATTGTCTGAGCCACTCGTGCTGCAAAGCTGCTGTCCCTCTGTACTGTCCCTACTTTCTGAAACATCGGGACAAGCACCGAAAGGTAGGACTCCCAGGCAAACATCTTATCAGCTTGGCACACGGCTGTATGCCAACGCACCCTCTGCCGCCTGCAGTACTACTTGTTACTTCCACGCAGCTCAACGTGAGCATGCGTGGCATCTGCCGGAGCCGCTTCAAGCATTACCCTGAGATGAGCATGCTCAACCCCTTCTGCTGCCAACAACGCAGCATGGCAGACATACGGAAAAGCACCTATCTTCCAGCCGTTGCTACAACAAGCCAAGAGAAGAGAAGCAAGAAGCGTCTGGCGGCTGAATGGTGCTTGAGAACAGCATGCAAGTACCGGCCTGGCGCTGCAGGTGTCGCTGCAGGTCCAGCGCTATCTGTGCGGCTGCAGAGGACATACGAGTAGCGAGAAAAACCCCTAATACGATCCTAATGTATCACTTGCATCTCCAAACCTTCGGCCCCTAAGTCTTGGCTATGCCATGCTATAAGACTTGAAGAGTTGCTCCTATCGGCTCTGCAGGGAGCACATCAAAGCCCTGACGGCCACAAGGCCACAAGCGCCCGGCTCTCAAGGGGAGCTTGTCCAGATCGACGGCTGGAGGTCCGGCAGCTCCCTGGCACATGAAGGCAAAGAGTCAGGGTGCCATCATGTAAGGGCCATTCATTACTCTATTAATGAAATACTGTTTATGGCCCCTTTAAGATACCAGAAATTATATTATAACTATATAATTATAATATAGTTATATCATGAAGGATGTTGCTGAAAGAGGTCTGCGAACCGAGGCTTGCCTTCGGAGCGTCCTTGCCAGGGAAAAGCAAAGCCTGGGAGATTTCTTCGGGCTCGGAGCAAAGTGTGGCAACTGGATTTCCATTCGAGTAAGGCTTGCCTTGCGGCTCTTGGCGATGGCAGAGAAGCCTCCCCGTTCACTTTGCATTCTTTGGCTAACTGGGCTTCTTTGCCTTGAGATAAGGCGGCGACATGCGAAGAAGGGGTAGATGCGCTGGTAGCCAGGCGTCCGCTCCTCAGCTAAACTCCCTTGCGCCCGCCTATGAAGCCCCAGCCTGCGAATTGAGTCAAGCACCGGCTCTCGCAAAAGCACCGCCTGGGACAAGTCATGGATGCATGTCTCTGGAGCGTTGATCAGCGCATGTTGTTCCAAGTTGCCTGCCTCTACTCGCAGCACCTCCTCCAGGCCCTCATCTAGAAGTTCCAACAGCTGCTGAAGATCGTTGCCACCTCAAGGCGTCTGGCAACCCGCATTCACTTGCTAGATGGGCCTCGTTGAGGCTTGTGTTTCTGGGCGGGGCGCCTTCCTTCAGGATCATCTTGGCCACGCCCATGAACTCCTACGTACATGAGGCTGGGGGAGAGGGCCCTGCTGGGATTTCCGAGATTCTGCTCGACACTTGAAGGCGCCTGCATGTACAGCTGCAGCCCCTCCTCTGGCTGCCGTTCGTATGGAGGGACCTCGGCACGCACACCTTGGGCCTACGTCATAGGTTCAAGACGACAGCCGAGTCTGCAGCCCATTCTGAAAGGACCACAGTCTGTGGAGCCTTCACCCGCTCCATAAACCTCGGTGTGAGTGATAGGATAGCTTCGCGATAGCTTCTTCCTTCTCCTCTTCCAGGCAGAGCCCTGTCCTGTGGTGAAAGTGAGCTGCCAACGTCCGATACAGCGGCGAGTCGGTTGCTGGGCAGATGCCGGTCGCAAAGGTCTTGGGATCGCGATACCTGCATCTCATTTATTCAGAGGTTGGTTCACACGAGTGTTGCTGAGTACGCGAGGCCGTGACAGGATCGCATTTGGCGCGTCCAGTGGAGCAGATGTCGTTGCCAACCCCAAGCGGTAGGTGAGCTTCCTCCACCTGATCCGATCCACAGCAGCACATTTTCCAGGTGAGGCCGGTTCCAGTGCCTCAGCTTCAGCTTGCAGAACTGCACGTAGTTCCAGGGCACCAAATAGACGCACCTGGACCAGACAAGCAGTAAACATGGAGGCAGCCAAGACTAAACATCTTGAGCCACTCATGCCCACAAAGCTGCCAGGCCTTGTCATGCACAGCTCCGCATCCTGCAGCAGCTGGAAGGCCTGCACCATGAGGCTAAGGACAAACGCGCGCCCGCACTTTCTGCACAAACTGTCCAACAAAAGCCCATCCGGCGCAAGAGAAAAGGCGTCGAACATCTGCGAGTTCTAGGGCAAGGCACAGCCCAACGCCCAAACAAACACCCAAACAAGCAAAAACAACCCTGAGCCTGAGCAACCCTAAACCCTCAACAAGCCCGAGCAAGCCGAAACAACCTTTAAACAACCTTTAACTGTTAAACAACCTTGAAACAACATTTACACAAACGTTATACAACCTTTAAACCACCCCCCCCCCCCCAAAAAAAAAAAAAAAAAAAAAATAGATAAATACTAATAATAATGATAATGATAATGATAATAATAAGTAAAATAGTAATCACAATAATAATAATCTAAACGGCCCTCGGCCTCCTCCATCTCCCCCAAGTCCAACCGCAGCGATGCGAGCTCCAGCTGGCAATGCAGCCTCGGCTGATTCTGAGGGGTTAGGGTTTAGGGTGTAGTTAGGGTTTAGGGTTTTTTGGTTTAGGGTTTAGGTTTTAAGGTTTAGGGATTTTGGTTTAGGGTTTAGGGTTTAGGGTTTAGGGTTTAGGGTTTAGGGTTTAGGGTTTAGGGTTTAGGGTTTAGGGTTTAGGGTTAAAGGTTTGGGGAGACAAGGGTGTTTAAGGCAAAGTGTGCTTAGGGTAGCTTGGGGTTCTGGGCCTTCAGGGAATCTACAAGGGCAGCTTGAGTGGCTGGCTATTCTGCCCCCCCCAGATGCCCTGAACATGCCAAGGGGCCGAAGTGGCATGAGCTGCAAGTAGATGTTGGGCCTCGAAGGGACGGAAGGAAAATAATCTTCAAGGCAGGAGCCCATGGAGTGCGCAGCACTCCCCAAGTCCTTCTCATGGCTCAGAAGCTGGTGGCTTGTTTTAGCAAGCGAGTCTCTCTGTGGCTTTTTCTGAAGTACGAAAGCCCTCGGCTAAGGTGCCCAAGAGCCTCATTGCACTTCACTTCACCCTTCCCCGACGAAGGAGCCGATTTTGCATCCTCTGAGATCAAGTGAAGCCAGACATGCGCAAATCCTGAGCGTCGCACGGTTCCCGGGAGTCATTGTGAGACAACTCACGGAAGCCTGAGATGTAGTAGATTGCGAAAACAGGCGCGCATCAAGAGTGCATGCTTGGGCAGCTACGTGCTTTGATCTCCGGGAGCAAAGGCGGATCAGCAGGCGGCTTGAAGGCCTAGCTGGGCAACTACAGCTAAGGGTAAAAGCATGACATCTCACGATATCTCACGTGAGTTTTTGTTCTACTCTCCACGCCCGGCCTCCTCCCCGCAACTGTCAGGGCCGAAGTCGCAGTAGCTGTTGACGTTGCGTGGGTGCAGGTGCGCTCGCTGCACCCTCAGAGCAACTTGCCGGCTTGGGCAAGACAAGCAGGTGCTTGGTGAAGCGCTAGGCCCGCTAGGCTCTGGACCCTTGAACCTCCAGAAGCTTCTCCACATCACTGAGACATTCGGCAACCATGTCCTCGGTGATCTTGAGCAACGAAGAACGCAGTGAACGCAGTACCGACACTCAACCATGAACGCTTTCAACCATTCCCGAGGCCGGCTCTGCCAACATCTTTTGCAACTCGTGGAAAGTCATCTTCTTTGTACCCTGCGCATATTGCCCAATTGCTGAAGAAATGAGATTGCTAATGAAGTCTTAGGATCGGAGAAGGCATGGCCTTCTTGTTCTCTTTCTGCAACTGCTTCGCAATGGGCGAAATGATAATGGACCTGCTGCATCCCAAGTCCAACAAGGTCTCATGTGAACAAGGGTTCCAATGTAAGGCGCCCGCCCTGCTGCTTCCAGAAGCAACATCTCGCTCGGATCCACCTCCTCAGAAGTGGATCGCATGGCGCGCAAAATCCACATGCAGGGGCTGAAACCGGAAAATGTGCCCAGCACAACCTCTGTGAAGCTGCTGGAAGGATCATCCTCAGGGAGGCACCTCCTCTTCTGCTCCGCCGGTTGCTTCCAGTGCCTGCACGTTGTTACGTGAGTGAGATGCGCCGAGGCAACTGCTTCCGCTTGTGCTGAGTTTCCAGCTTCCGCGCTATCCTCTGTGCGCTTCAGCTGTACCAGAGATGGATTCTGCTGCAGCCTCAGAATGCCGTCCCCAAGTTACTTGCTCAAAGGTAGTAACGGCAACGAGCCCTGAGTTAGCCCAAGGGCTCTATCCAAGCACACAGATTTGAAACGCGGATCGGTCTGGGATCCTGACATGTTGAAGAGCATCATCCGTGCGTACACAGCGCTGGGAGTTGGTATAGGCAGGTTCCTGGCAATTTCCCGGAGGTCCGAAAGCAGGCTTCTGAAAGCTAGAGAGACCACAGCGTGGCGTGACGTGCGTGTTTTGTCTACATCACGGCAGCTGCCTTGCAGCGACCGCCAAGCAGCACTCCGCTGCAGGGATGGCTCCGAGGTGGCGCTCGCCCTGAAGCTCCAGCAGCCGACCCGAAAGCACCTAAGTAGGCCGGGGGGGGTCGCTCTCTGCCAAAGTATTGCGGATGACCTGCTCTCATGAGGTGCTGTTCTTTGCCCATTGCGGTGCCTCCATCTTCACTTTTGCCATGAGCAACTCCACTCGTGCCACGTCGTGCTGCGTGACCTTGCTCTCCTCCAGGCCCTGGCAAGGCAAAAACCCTGGAATCTAAGGACCGAAGACTTTCTAAAAGACCCAAAGCCTGAACTCAACTTCCCTCAACTTCCCCCCCGTCCCCAAACATCCCCCCCCTAAAACCCCCCCCCCCCCCCAGCTCATGCAACGGCAGATGTGTCATCCTCTCTTTCGGCTCTTCTCAGGTGCTCCGGGCTTCCCGGCTTGCTGGATGTGGGCCGCCGCAGCCTGGAGTCGGCCCTGACCTTGAGATCCCAAGAAAGCATGAGAAGAGATTTAATATGAATTAAGAAGTACGAGTGTGCTGATAAGAGCAAACAGAAGAAGCCCCACGTCATCACTACTAGCGCCGTCTTTTGCTGACCTGGATGCTTTCAGACGTTCTCGTCAGTTGTGGTTTTGCTTTGTTGCCTGAACTCCGGCATTCCCTTGTGCAATGGCCCCTTTATCCTTTGAAACCTCCTGTCCTCATTCTGTTGCGCGCTGTTCAGCCCGCTTGCTGAGGCATCCATGCATGGCTTTCTCTTGGACACAAGCCGAGGCCCTGGCTCACCAGCAGGTTTACCATGTACGATCCTGGGGCAATGCTACAAGCTGCAAGCGGTCGCAATCTGTCCGCAGCTTCAGGGCCCCGTGTGCGAAGCCGGGGCCCGTGCGCAGACGCATCCAGCACTTGGAACCAGGATGCGCCCGAAGCCTTGGGCCAGGATGCTGCGCCCAAAGGCTGCTCTGGCAAAGACACTTTTAGATGTGCCGATATACCTTTGTCTTGTGCCCGAAGCCTGCTGGAGCTGGCCGCCCCAAGGTTGCAGTCCTCCAAGGTCCAAGGTGCACGTAAAGCTTTCAGCAAGACATCCTAGGGTCCTAAAAGTCCTATGTCTGTACCTAAGCTTCACAACTTGCGTGGCTTCTGCGCCCAGGTCCTGGCTAGCTTTCGTTCCAGCTACGGCCAAGCGCCGCAGGAACTCCATTCCATACAACACCTCACTGTTCCGCGAATTCACCAACAGAGCAGGCTGTTGATTGGATCAAATTGGAAAGCATGATCACACCCGAGGGCTCTGCCTCTTGGATGGCCTTGCCAAGGTCACCTTTGCCTTCCTGCACCTGCCACGAAAGAGACGCTTTCAAATTGCAAGCCGAAAATCAATCAGAGCGGCCCCTACAAGTCACAAGCAGGAGAGAGGGTTCCTGTGCCTTGGCTCGCATGAGGCGTACTTCCGCACAGAGCTCCCCTTCTTCCTCTGACAGTGGCCTTGCCAACATGAACATCACCCTGAGCAGCTGCAGCTGTGTGCCTGCATCGACACCTCGAGGGCTCTTGGAGAGTCGGCTCCTCCCCGCACTGAATGACAAATTTTGAAGCCTGATCTTCTCGGAGTGTCACAAAAACTCCTCTGCACCAGATTCTCGAGAGGTGCGGCTTGCAGTAGACCAGGCCTTGTTTGCGGCTCCAACACACCAGACCCCCCTCCCCGCCCCCGAAGATCCAAAAACTCACAGTTTGCGTGCGCACAACATTCCTCAAGCCACAGCTGTTTCAAGAGTCATGAAGCGACAGCCTCTCTGTCATCGTCATTTCCTGTGATTTCCTGTCAGCAAGAAGGGTGCCGGACCACCAAAGTGCCGCTGACCTAACGTGCACGGCAAGCCTTCCAAATCTCTACCAGCAACGCATCAGCTTTGTCAAGCAACGCCACGCGGTCCTCCAGAGCGCAATGCAGGGGATCAGTACGACGGCTGCTCGAGCACGCTGCTTTTCATGATACTGATGATACTGAGACCATCATCATCACCACCATCAGCAGCAGCAACACCACATTCGTCATCATCGTGGCCATCGTCAATGATAACAAGTAAGACAAAATCTACAACCATAATAGTAATCATGATGAAAAACACTCCGCCGATGAGTATCGGTTGCCGGAGTATCAAAAAGTGTCTCAGGGAGACACCGCCCCCCCCCCCCCCCCCCCCACCGCATTCCCCCCCGCACTTTACTTTGCATCACCTCTGCGAGGGATCTCGATGGGTTCACGGCAGGGTGCACCCGCAACTTCTTTTCTTTGACCTGGTGATTCTTCCGCTCGTAGGAACCCTGCAAATCCAAAACCACCCCAGGACTTGGGACCTCAAGCAGGGGCCCCGACGCACAGCGAAAATAGATAACACGAAGACCCCTAATGACAATCATGCCAAAAATTATCAATAGCAGCAATAAGAGCAATAAAGCCCTGACAACGACCAACCACAACACCAACAACAGCAATAACAATAATGGCAGGAAGAACACGAAGAACCATGCCACATCACAAAAAACAGCAATAGCCATTCTTGCTATAAGAACAGTGATGGAACTGACGGCAACAACACCAGACAAAGAATGCGCAGAAATAAGCATCGTAACAATAGATTGATGATGCGGCTGCTGAGGCGTGCTTTCCTTCTCCTGGGGCTCGTTGAGTTTCGGGAAGACCCGCTGGTAACTACACACCTGACCGCAAGACATCGAGATCACCACACACTCTCCTAGGCATCTAGCCCGAGGCCGCTGCAGCGATTAGGAACTCGGCCTTCCCGCGCAAATACAAGCAGCCCCGTTTTCTCACTTTCTGGTAAGGGTTACGAATATTCTCATGCTACTATTAACAGTAGTACTTTTTATAGTTTATTGATATTATTCATATTGTTAATATTATTAATCTTATTAATCTTCTTCATCTTATTAATCTTGTTAATACTATTACTATTAATAATATTAATAATATTATTAAAACTGTCAATATTATTCATGTTGTTAATATTATTAAGATTACTAACATTATTAATACTATCAATACTACTAATATTAACAATATTATGAATATTATTAGTATTAGTAGCATTGTTAAGATTCTCAACATGATCCATATTGCCAGTCTTACTAATCTTACTTATATCTTTAATAAGATTACTAATCTTACTTATATCTTTAATAAGGTTACTAATCTTACTTATATCTTTAATAAGATTAGTACTAATAAAATTTGTTAACGGCAGGCCGCAGCTCCCTGGGCCTTGAGATGCTTGAAGAAGCGCAGGTTGTAAGCTGCAGCTCCGGTTGCCTTGCGCAGGGCTTTCTCACAGCTTTCAACAGGTTTTTCGTTCTTGAGCCCCGAACTTAGGGTTTCGGGTTTAGGGTTTAGGGTTTAGGGTTTCGGGTTTAGGGTTTAGGGTTTAGGGTTTAGGGTTTAGGGTTTAGGGTTTAGGGTTTAGGGTTTAGGGTTTAGGGTTTAGGGTTTAGGGTTTAGTCCCAGTAGCCCTCCCGCCTCAGACTCCATTGCCCCCGCGCCCTGCGGTGTCAGAGTCAGCTCCATAAGCTGGTTGATGGCCTTGCAAGTTACCAGCTGCCAACGCAGATGCGACAGTACCTGTACCCAACCATCCCTGACATGCCCAGAGAGAAACCCAGAGAGATGTATCTGCAGACGGAGACATACATCCGGGGACACACACACACACACAACACGGGAGATGCGGAGACCTGGACGTTCGACGCGGATGCCGGCTCCTCGAAACAGCGGAATGGCCTCTGCAGTGGAAAACCGAAAATTAAGTGAAAGAAGAAAGTGAAGGAATATTGGCCAACGTCTCCGCACACCGGGATCCCAGCTGTGCAGCTGTTATCTCTTGTGCTTCCGCAACAGCGATGTCCAAGGCCTGTAGATAACAAACAGACCGCTCGAAATAATGCGGAAGCTGCGACTACGTCTGCATCAGTAATACACACTCAGACAAGTAAAAATCTGGAACGGATACCTAATCGAACACCTGCAGCAACCTCTGCACGTTGCCATCCCGTGAGCTCCATCTCTCCCTCGCTGGCCGAAGCTCTGCAATTCGTGGGGGGGCCTCGCTGGCCATGAGCCCCCTGGGCCTGGCAGTATGTCAGCACTTTTCGGCTGTAGATGTCTGAAGACACCACGAACCACACTCAAGTTGCCAAGGTGGCTTGTCATAGCCGCGCGACACGGAGTGCAGAGCCAACCACGCCTGAGCCAGGGGAAACCTTCCGTAGGTGCAGGATGCGTGACAACTGCAGCTCCTGCCTCTGTCAGGGAGCAGCAGCGGATCAGCGAGTGGACTGCCATCAGCCTCGGCGACGATTCCGGATGGGCTGCTTCATCTAACTCAGATATTCGTGGCCCGCGCCGTCCTTTCACCGCAAGCGCCAGGTTCCTGCAAGCTCATGAGCCAGCTTTTCTCCACGAAAGGTAACACCCCCCGAGTCTTGGAAGCTGTGGCAGCTGTCCTGCATACGTCAGTGGCGACGTAGTTGTACAGCATGCAAATGGGCAGGCAGCGAGAGGGCTGATAGTCCGTCACCTAGTCAGAACGTATCTTGCGGACGCGGAGTAGCCACAGGCACGATCGCCGAGCGCGCTGCCAATAGAGTGTTTTGGAAGAAGCCCAAGGCACCAAGGAAGTTTGCACCATCCACGCCTCGCTTGTCATCAGAAGGGACCAAGCGCAAGCAGGACTAAAGCCTTGCTGAGCAGGCAATTCCAGCCCGACTCGGATCATCGATGATCAGTAGCACTCAGTGCGCGACCACCATGAACGCTGCTTGGCGAAAGTATCATCCTGCGGAATATACGCACGATGATGCAGAAAGACCCAGAGTTGAACTCAGTTTCATCCCTTCTCGGGAGTGTCTCTTGCAGTGATACAGTCTGGTCGCAAGGAGCCAAAATTCAGCTTCGCAATGTTGTTGCAATGCTTGGGCAGTGCTTCCTCGTCTCACGCAGGCCGAAGAAAATCTCGCGCAGCCGGTGCCTCAACAGCACTTGCAAGCTGCGCAGCGGCGTGCGCTCTGCCAATGGGAAGACGATACCTCTCCCGAGCTCAACATGTTCAGGGAGGCCTGCCAAGCGCAAATTGATCCCGGCGCGGCGGATTTGGCAAAGCTGTGGTGAGGATGGCCTGCACACACAGAGGTAGACCAAGAAAGAAAGCCAAACATGGGCAGCGAGCTGTGCAGATTGTTGGGAACCGCAAAGCCTCTAACCGTTGGCCTGAGCCTTAAATCCTCTGCGGCCTCGATGATGTTGGAGGCGAAGAGTGCGGCATTGAGGTGAGATGTTACATCCTGCTCCAAGTCTGTCTCTGTGCAACAGTTGTGTTTGAAGCAGCTGTCTGGGCAACTGTTCCAGAGAGCCACGACAGGCTCTGTGACTATATGTGACTATGGCGTCCTTGGGCTTGGTAAGGCGGGCATGCTTTGAGAGAATCACCACCTCGCCAGAAGAAGAAACCTCCCTCCCTAGGCTCTGCGCTTGAAGCCTTTTCACTCGCACGCCGAACTCTCAAAAAGACTCGGCCGTGAGCGGTAAGCAGCAGGATCTCCACTCGAGAAGCATCCTGGAGTTTATCCCCTTCGTGCCATGTCGTGCCCATATGCAATGCTCTGGGAGCTACAGTTACAGCACGCTGCGCCAGGTGTCCTGTGGCGGGCTGAGGCTGGCATCGATGCACTTGCTCCAGTTCTTGATGGCAAAGGGGAACTGGAAGACCTGAGTTACACAGGAAACTCGACTTGGCATGGACCAGGTAACACATGCGAACGCTGTGGGAGAGCCAATCCGCCACCTTGCCGGGGCCCAGTCCGTGTCCACTGCGTCGCTCCATGCATCACGGGCCTCATGGGGTGAGGACGTTCAGGGGAAAAAGGAGGGCAAGCAACATGAAGAAACATGACTGAAGGACGGATGACTCCTTTGGGCCCTGCCCCGCCGGCATCGCCCTCGAGCCTTGGACCCCACAGCTGTCAAGGGCAACGCTTGAATTGCTACATCGGGCTACAGCTGCAGTAGCTACAGGCAACACGCAGAGAATCGAGGCCTTATGCGCTCAAGGACTTTCGCAAGTTGTACACTGAGGTAAGCTTGCGGCCAGAGCAAGTTGCCGAGTTCATGGAGGGCCTTCTGCCGAAGGGGGTCAAGGTGGGAACCATGTGAACTCATGGAGCCATCAACAGTCATCGTTAGATTTGTACAATGGCAACGTGGCTCAACGCGGCTGCCTGGACCACCTGGTCCGACATCTGCCGCTTCCGAAGCAGCTCCACTGCCTGCTGAGATCGGCTCATGCTGCTCAGCTTGTCATGCCCAGCCACACGTACTGGTTGCCGGGCCTTGCGGTAGGACGACACCAAAGCTGTGGCTGCAAGCCTGGCGGGCTTTATGTCACATTGCATGTGCATCCTTGGCCATGCCATGCGAGGCCGCGTACATAATCAAAGCGCATGAACAATACAGAGCGTGGAGCAGGGGGGGGGGGGGGGAATAGGGGGGCCCAGGCCTGAGCGGCCTCTCTTTCATGTCCCTTTCACCGTCGACAAGCTGCCCTCGCTGGACTGCCAGGCTGAACCTGAAGCTTGGCAGAGCACTCAGGCCGCGCTCATGCGCTCTCTCGCCCTCGCCCTCTCCCGCTTTAGTTTGTCCCTCCCCCGCTTCTTGTTCTTCTTCTTCATCTTCATCTTCTTCTTCTTCTTCTTCTTCTTCTTCTTCTTCTTCTTCTTCTTCTTCTTCTTCTTCTTCTTCTTCTTCTTCTTCTTCTTCTTCTTCTTCTTCTTCTTCTTCTTCTTCTTCTTCTTCTTCTTCTTCTTCTTCTCCTCCTCCTTCTTCTTCGTCTTCTTCTTCTAACACAACGTCCCCGAAGACCTCCCCCGTTTTCTATGGTCTCTCAGCAGCTTTTCTTTCTCATTTTAGCTTCATCGTCGGCGCTCTGCTTGATGCTTCTGCCGCTGCTTGACAATGCTGTCTCTGTCAATCTGGGTCGTCCGGATCGACTGGAGGCTACGCGCTGTGGGCCTTGCTCAGTGAACTTCACACCTGCCTCTCAGGGCCTGGCGCCTCGCGATCCTGCAAGAATTCTGCGAGGAGGAGGCGGCTCTTGCGAAGCCTAACAGCATCAGCAGAGCAGTGGAGCGGGTGCTGCATCAAGACTGGTGTAGCCATCAGTGAGTACATCTTCAGAGCTTCTTGGCCAGCCCCACCATCACCACAACAACAGCATCAATGCTTCAGAAAGAAGACGCACCTGGCTCCTGGACTACATGTGACGTTCACTGATCTCTTGCTCAGGCATTCGCTGTTCCATGGCTGCCGGTACAGCACGAGATGCAAGGTTGTGGGAGTCCTCGCAGCGCTCAGCTGTCGTGTGAATGGCCGAAAGGGGTCTGTTGGCTCAGCATTGCTCAGTCTTGTTGCCAAGATTGGCAGTTGAGAGGAGTGAGAACTGAAAGATCCTACGCTTACCCAGGTCTGTTTAAAGTACTGAGTACTGCGCGTCGCCCGGGTCACTAAGAAGCGGGAGCACACCATGCTAGCATGGACACGCGCACAGTCTCCTCGAGGGCCTTCAGCAACGACCTCTTGAGGGTTTTGGGAGTTTAGGGTTTAGGGTGCAGGGTTTAGGACCTTGAGAGACACATACTTCAGACATACGTTTCACCGGCATGGCTTTGAGGCACTGGCGACCAGACTCCATGCAGCTTCTTCTGTCGCTTTGCGAAGGCGTTGTAGTACTCCGCCCTGACATAGACAAGGCATTGGGCAGATCCCAGCTCTGACCAGCTTCCGCAGCTCGGACATTCCGCACAGCAGAACCCTAAAACGTGCTCACACAGCTTTTCAGCAGAGGAAGGCTTCCTGAAATCTCGCAGGTCAAAACCTGCCACCTATGTACAGGCACCATGCAGGTGCGAATCAAAGCTTCAGGGGCTGATGCTAGCTGCCGTGGCAGGAGCGTGCCTTTGCAGCCCCTAAGACTCTTACAAACTATTCCTTGCCCGATGGCATCTTAACTGCAGGATGGTGGAGGTCCGCCACTGGGGGCATGTCAAAGACCACAGGAGGATGCAACGGCCTCAAACCGATAACACTCACATTCATCCGAACGCATCCGGTGCATACCCCGCCTGTAGCGAAGAGTGCATGTGGATGCATTGATGAACAGCGTGCTACCATCCTCGACCCAGCCGTAAGCCTCAACCAACAGTCTGGCTGTGGCTGCGACAGCGGTACATGGGGCCGTGGTGCAACAGCAAGAGCCTCATGGATATGGCCACAAACCATCACCGGCAGGTGGCGTTTCCTGAGTGAGGGGTGGTGCAAACCTCCCCTGCAAAATGTGCTTCCTTTGGGAGACGACCGCTTTGCTGCTGTCCAGCTGACTCAACTTGAAGCGATTCGTCTTGCCGCCTTGCCCGCCACGCTTCCGTATGGCTGCCAAGAGGTCCTCGCAACCAGCATGAAGCCCGTTGAAGCAGAGGTCCAGGATGCCTGACAGATGGGACCCTAAACCCTTCAGACCCGCTTGGGTGCACCCTCTGCCTTGCGCCGGGCCATGCGTCAGCAGGATGTCGGTGTCATCTGGAATCTTGGACCAAACCTCCCCACAGTCTTCCCACAACTGACGTGTAACTCATCCACAGATTTCTACAGGACCCTGGTTTTGGCGTGGTTCCGAAGGTCTTAGCAGAGCTCGCCTGGGCGAGTGGCTCACCTCTTGGCAGGTTGAAGGCCCAGTCGCAAAATTCTGGCTGCCAGGGCGAGCCATAAATCTTGTACCTTCAGTCAGGGGTTCACGGATTATCTAACTTTCTTCGGGTCTTCTAAGCCTAGACTTCTACAAGGTCGAGGCAATCCGAAACAAAAAAACATACTCCGACTTACTTGTTTGTGCATGTTGTTGGCAGTGGTGTGTTGAAGCTTCAGCAGTAGCAGTCTCGCACGTGGCCGAGAAACTGTCCTAACACGCATGCAAACACGTCACTATAGACTATCGTCACTAACTAAACTGTCCCGGCAAACCAAGCATTCAGGGCCGGCACACCCGAAGACGTCGACGACATCATCCTCCAAATATTTGCAGCCTTGCACTGCCCAGCCAAGAGCCACATGGGCCACATGCCAACTGCTTCAGGTTTGAGTAGGGCTTGAAGTATCAGAGTGCTGCCGGAAGACCTGCCAACGCACCCTTGGCCTGCTCACAAACTGCTGGATCCCGGCCGTGCCTTCGCATGAAGTCCTGGGCAGGGGCTTGCTTCAAGAGCCAAGAGCTCCGACTTCTGGGCAGCGGCCCGCCTCTGGCATTCTGCAGCTCTTTGCAAAGGTGGGCAGAGTTTGGGGGGGCGTGAGACAAGCATCCGGCTCGAAGGTCAGGTCATGGTTGCCGGCGATGACAATCTTCTCCCGCGCAGGGTATGCTTTGAGCCACTCAGAGAAGCTTTCGACCTCTGCACTTTGCCAAGAGAGTCAAAAAAAGACTCAAACGAATAGTCTCACGAGAGAGAGAGAGAGAGCTGTGACGTGAGACCTGGCTGATCTCCCCTTTCATGGTGAAGTCGCCTGCGTGGAGGAGAACCTTAGAGGCTGCTGGAGGCTGGGGGGGGGGGTTGTTTTAAAGGCAGCCGCCTCACTGTCCTTGCAGCCTGTGTGCATCTGCTTCCGGGCAATGATCCGGAGGAATGTGGCCATGCCTCCCGTGTGTATCCTGAGTTGTCTCGGCTTTCGAACGGTTTTTGTCAGGAAACTTCCGTCTTTTGACTGAGCATCGCTGAAGCAAACGAATCGGGTCCAGCCCTCCGGCTTTGGCTGCCTCAGCTGCCATGCCCTGCTTGTTATCCCTAGCACACCAGCGCTATGGAATCTGGAGGAAGGGCTGGACTGCACCATAGCACGACAGCTGGCGTGATGCAAAGATGTGCCACGCCACGAACTCGGGCCGGGCACAACTTTTGCAGGTATCGGCCGCAAGCCGCCATGACCGGAGCTCATGCGTTCCTATTGCTTCGTTTGCTGCGCTTCCTGTCTAACAACAAGCTCGAGGCCTGAAGGTGCTTGCATAGCATGTTCATGTGATGCTGCAAGCTGCAAGCTGCAAGCTGCAAGCTGCAAAAAACGGCACGTGACCAAGATGCGAAGTGCGCTCACCAACTCCTCAACCCTGAAAGCAAGCCTTAGACATCCTTCAGCCCATCCAGGCCTCTTCCGGAAGAGTTGCTCGGGTTCGCTCAGTTCACCCTGAAGGGCCAGTTGACGGAGCAGCTTGCGCGGCCTGAATGCCAGGTTGAAGGCTGGCTAGGGAACTTGAGCTGAATAGGTCCGGCCCGGGAAGCGGTCTCGCGAAGTCGGCTTAAAGAACGGGCTGAGCCGCCGACAACTTTTTTTGCTGCACCTGACGCGAATACCCCAGGATAGGTACAACAGCATACATCAACTAACATAAACATGCTTGAACTTACAAGCTGCGCAGCCCTGCGCAACACCCAGATGCATCGCCTCGAAGGTCGCCTTTGACTCCGCAATGTACCGCTGCGTGTTCGCCTCATCTTCCGGAAGACTGAACATATTGGGCTCTCAATGTAAGGCTCGCTAGGGCCTCCTTCTTCCTGAGAATCTGGCAAGAGCACGATTGGACAAGTTGCAGATCTCCTTCTGCGCCTGCGCAACGTGGGAAAGTCATGGAGACGCAAGCCACGCAGCGGCTCGGCTCTGAAGCTGAAAGACAACCCTGAACATGAAGACATGACATGACCCATGGGTCGGCACCCCGATCATCAGCGGTAGGAACGTTGTCGCGTAAACAGAGCACGTGGCGTCGTTGAAGCCACGACCTCACTAGGAGGCGGCGTGAGCACATGGAACTCCCAAGAAAAAAGTGCTCGTGCTGGGCAAGCAGCATAGAACAATGATGTTGCTCCAGCGCCTCTCCGACGTGACATAGCAGGAGCACTGTTTCTTGAACGCAGATAACAACGTTGCACAGATTGGCATAGGATCAGCCGCTGCACCTCATGTGATAGAGGCAGAGCACGGAGAATGCGACCAGCTTGGCCTTGCCAACATCAGGTTCGAAAAACTCGGAAGCGATGGAAATCTCCAGAACAAGGGCGGGGAGGAGACCCACCTCTAGGGCCCAAGCTACACTTGCGACATCCAACTCTGGCACCTTTTCGAACCAAACGTCATGGAGCTCCTCGTCCACAGCCTGCACGTTTTGCAAAGAACGGCGGCTGATGCCAGCGCGGTATCACACGGTACCACCCAGAAGCACCTGCAACTCCTGGACCGCAATCTGGGCTACCAAGGCAGCTCGCTCCTCCTCACACGTTTGTCTTCTTCGAAGCTGCATGAACGCTATCAACATGTATTTGAACAAGTGTAAGGTTCATCACGTTCATCGACAACTGACCTCGTCCAATTCCTCGAGCTTCTTTTGAACCGCCTCAAACAGGCTGTCACCGATCTCCCGTCCACCAACCCCACCCTTGTGCGCGCGCTTCCCATGCGAGGACCGGCCCCTGTTTAGATGCAGGGTGTTTGGGAGGCAGGTAGAGCCTCTTTCCTGATCAAGAAAAGATTACAACTGCAGCAAATACTCATGGGTACACTGACACCTTCATTCATTTGTCAGCTCTGACGCTGCTCCCTAAAGGGATTTTCCAAAGGGTAAAGCTGGAGGGTGATCGTCGGGCTTTTGGACATCTGAAGTCAGAGGCTTTAGGTAGCTTCTCGGGATATTTGGGGTTTGGGTTTTACGTTCCCACGCAGTTTCTTGTGGGATTCGGGCTGATTAGGGATTGGATCAAGGTTTGGAGTGCATGATATATTGGATTCGTCTAGGGTAAAGTCTAGGCTTCAGGATTTGGGTACACTGGATTAGCTTTTGTGGCTGCTGTCTTCTTTCCTGCTTCTTCTCATTTCTCGAGTCTTCTTTCCCAGCTTCTCGAAACCTTATCTGCGCGTATCCCTCGTCGGTGCGCTGCAGCTTGGAGTCCGGCTAAGGAGTCGTGGCCGGCTTTCAGCGGATCTGCTGCTGCCTCGGCTGGTGTTGCAAGAAGCACTTTTGGGCTGCGCTGTGCAAAAGCATTGCTAGGGATCTTGCCCACTTGCCCTTCAGCCGCAACATGGCCTTTACGGCAAGCTCTGCCATGACCTCGGCGATGAAAGCTCACACGGCTGGAGACCTCAAGGTGAAGTCAGACCTGAGGCTTGCACGGCTAGGCTCAACCACACATCCGTCGCTGGCTCCTGACATTTCAGGCACGGACAGAAGCGCAAATGACGAAACCACGCCACTCAAGCTACGGCGACCGAGCCGGGGCTGTGAATGAGCCCATCGATGCACTCGATGCACTCCCGTTTGGCCTCCGCTGGCTCCTTCTCCTCTCCATCCGGTTTAAGGTTGGCATGTCGCTCTTCGGCCCGGGACTGGTATTAGACAGTGTAAGACATGTCCCGGACAGCAGCAATACTTCTTGGTCCCTCAACTCCGCCTTCTTTCCAAACTCAGAGTTTTTGGGGGGATTTCTCCCAAACCGGCCTTGGCCTCTTCAGGTCCAGCCTGTGCCTCCTCCGCCCCTGCCAGTATAGGGCAAAGTGGTCCAGTGCTGGGCTACCGGGGCCTCTTGTGGGGGTGCGAACTTCCATGGGGGTTGCACACAGGGCTTCACCTCTCTGTGCTCTGGCCTACATGCTGGTCGGGATCGATGTCCATCGGGTTCGACTTCGGACCCGTTGGAACGCAAGCTTCGGGAGCTGGAGCGACCAAAAGGAGGGCCTCCAGTCGAAACTCGCTACGCGAGACTGCTGAGCTCTCAGGGGTGAGGGCTTAGGCTACTGAGAGAAAAAATGCCAAGTTGCGTTAAGCGCAGATGCCAGAGACGCCAGCAGCAGTTGATCTGCATTGCGGGCAGCAGCATAGCCAGCGGCCCGTGCCTGAAGCTACAGAGATTAATCTTGTACGGGCCCTGAACTGCAGAGAGCTGGGAATGGTCCGTCTAAGCATGCAGCCAGCAATCGCAACAGCTCCTGAAGAATCGAGAAGGCCCGAGTTTGTGCCTGAGAAGGTCAGTCGCGGAACAACGCACGGCACTGCAGAACGCCTGCTGCTATCCTCTCTTGGCCTCCTTGTCAGCTGCTTCTTCCTTCTGCCAATCCGTGAGCTCTGCCTCTTCTGCGGCCTCGGTGCGAGGAGGGCTGAACGGCTTCAAGCTCTGAGTCGCTGTGGGGTCGGCTTCGCCGAAGCCACAACCAACGAGCTTGTTCTCTGAGCCAAATGCCGTCTCTGGGTCATCTGCCAGTGGAGGCTCCTGCGAAGCACGTGCCAGCAACACCCCTAGAGTCCGCGAGAGCACGGCGACTTCCAAGCTTGCTCTTGCACAGACTCAGCTCGCGGCTTCGATTTCCTCGTAGACGCCTATGGAAGTCTGCGCTTTCAACGTGCAAACGGCAGAGACCTTCCTTCGATCTTCCAAGCATTATTCCATGTTCAATACCAAACCTGAATGGAAGAAAGTACATATGCGATGCCTTGATGTCTGCACAGATCTCAAGCATGGCGATTCCACATGGGCTTTCTGCCCCCCTTGCCTAGTGTGGCGCCATCTGGAGAGAGCAGGGGAACGGCCACCTTCCACAGACGGGCAACCCTAAACCCTAAACCCCAAACCCCAAACCCTAAACCCTAAACCCCCGGTTTTCTGGGCACCTGCTTCAGGTCGAAGAACCTGAACCTCGAGATGTCGTGGCCTAAGTCCCAGGGGCCATTTCTGGAAGGCCCCCCGAAGCAAGAGCAACCTCCTGCTCTCCCCTTTTGCCGTTCCAAGCCAGAACCTCTCCTGAGCTTTGGGCGCTTCCGCTGGATGCCCGAGAGGTCTTGCATCAGGGCGGCGGCGCGGCTCAGCTCCAGCCTCAAAACAAGACGAACTTAAGAAGGGGGCTGCAGAGTGGCTTTCAGCTGGGCTGCCAGGCAGAAATTTAATTTCGGTTACCACTATAAGGCAACCACTGTGTTTGCTACATTCACGTAACATACCTGAGGTTAAGTTCCGTAAGAGGAACCCGGTCAGGCTTCCAGACTTCAGGGCTTCGGGATGGGCGAGACTCGGCTAGACTAAAGTTTGCGAACTGACATGCCCGGCAGCCAGAGACTCTGGGGCAGAAGCTGCGACAGGAACTCACTGTCCAAGACATCTTCCAGTTGGAGTGGAGGCACCTGGTGCCCTAAACGTATGTCCCCCCACACAACCTTAAGCCACAACAGTATGTAGAGTGGGTTTACAGGCTTCCGCTTTGCAGCTTGGCTACCGCCTCCGGTGGCACTTCCTCCGCAGGTTTCAGCGTGGCCTGCGAGGGAGGGGCGCTGAAAACTCAAAGACCTCAGAATTGACTGCCTTAGACTCAAAAAGTGTCACTAGGAGCACTGAAGCCATTCCCCCCCCCCCCCCCCACGACCCCCCCCCCCCACCATCCGAACACAGCCTCGTCATCCTCCGCAGCAGCAGCAGCATCGGCAGGCGCGTCCTCCTTGGGGCAAAAGCAGCTGCCAGGCTGCCAGCTCTAGGCCGTCTGCGCAGTGTCCTCCACTTCCTCTGGGAACTCGAGCCGCGCGGGTGGAAGAGCCTCCGAGTCAGAGCAGTGAGAGCAAAGTCCGATCTGGAACAAGCAGATGAACGAAGTAGAAGCATCGAGCTCTGCACTCGCAATAGGAAGCCATACTTCTTGTACTCCTGCACCATGAACGTTTGGAGAGCACCCACAGCATGCATCTCCAGTGCCTTTGCTTTAAGTTTGAAGTGCATGTTTGTAAACCAGAGAACGTGGCCCTGCCCCGGGCCATATTATAGCTGTCACTACCAGCTGCTGATTCTATCTCATTATGCACTGCCCTCGGGTTGCCCTGAGCGAGGGGTACATTCTCCAGCACATGAGGTTGGTCTGGATTGCTTCATCTGGGCGGATCGATAGATTGGATAGCCGTCGCGGAGCAGGTCGCAGACCCATCGCGGACTTTCGAAGAGCTGCGCTGGTGCTTTTTCGTAGTCTAGAATCCGCTTTGCAGAATGGAGAAATCTCGGGCGCATCACGACCCTGTCACGCGGGGCTATCCTAGAAGACATGGCCACTTCAGAACAACGCCCAGACACGAACCTTTAGATCAGCATTGACACATGCAAAGTGGCTATGCCATACATGGCTGACAGCACGAGATCCACCCTTTCATGGTACGTCAAGCCAAACCCGAGGTTTAAAACGTTGCAAAAAGACTTTGCCATGCTCCTCCTGTCCGCGATGGAGTCGATCATCCAATACCTGGTGTCGCACTCCACTACGAAGTCACAATGATCGCGATCAGCTTAGAAGCTCTGGAAGCAAACAACAGTAAGCGACTTTGATAGCAGCTTGATTCTAGACCATTCGGCACCGGCATGTGACGATCCCACTTCAGAATGGACGACATTGAGGGACCATGTAACTTCCCTTAGACGCCGATCACTGCGCAAACTCTCTGCCCCTGCAGCATGTTTAAGTGGCTGCCCCGTGCCTGGCAGCAGCGGTGCTTTGAGAGGACCGAGGAAAGGCTTTCCGAGAGCTCCTGCCTGTCCATGTCAAGAATCGCCCGCGGGCATGGCATCGTGTAATGGCAGCGTGGAACCCCTGATGCCCTCAAAATCCCCTCGCCACCCCTCAATGCCCTCACCATGCCCTCAACACCCCTCAACCCTTGGAGAGCCCCCCCCCATCAAGGCCCCCCAGAAGCCCAAAGAAGCCAAGGCGCGGATCCCCTCGCGAAGCTGCAGACCGCAGCAAGGACAGGGCAAACAAGGGCCTCCGACATTCGGCTCATGCCGAGTGCTGTCAAGGAAGAAAAACAAAACGGCGATTTGGGGGTGCCTCTCCGGCTCCTCGCGAAGGGCCAGAGTCACTGCTTCCTTCACCAAGGACACGTAGCTCTTGTCCGAGAGATCCTGTGGCAAGTGGGACAGTTGACATCCGCAGGCCATTTCGAGTATCAAAGCACAGGAGTTCCGAAGCCTTCAGAAGCTTGAGCAATACCTCCTTGTCTGAGGAGTCCTGTGCAAAATCATGGTCAAGGAAGCAGCGTCTGACATGTCGACATTTTCGCTCTGGCAAGAACTCACTCACACTGAAACGACAAGCCAGGATGCCTCTGTACAATGTCACTCCCTTGAGAAGACGTTTCAAGCTCTCCCTGGAGCCAACAAAACCGACACTGAAGCGGATAGTTTGGAATCCGAAGGCCTAGTTCTTGGATTCCAGGCAACGGGGGGGGGGTGGGGGGTAGGGGGTAAGGGGTGGGGGAGACCGCGGCGCTTTGGAGGAGTGAGGTTCCAGAGGTGTTCAAAGATTTTTGAGGTTGGGGGCGGGGGGTGAGGGCAGGCACCGCAGGTACCAGGAGTGGGTAAGGGAGGGCAGGGGGGGCTTGTGGGACGGGGCGGGGTGGCACCGTGGCGGGGCGCGGGGTAGGTAAAGCGCAGCAACTGGGAGCATCGTGAGATGTCAATCCGAGATCTGCTCAGTTGCGTGCCTTGAGCGCCACTGTGGCCTTCTTCTCTGCATATTGCCACTGCTGGCTGCCAAGCAATGCCAATTCAATGGCCTGGTGGGATAAGCACTGGAATGTCGCGTTTGGTAGTGAGAGTACATGCACAGCATATGGCTTGCCTGGTCCAGCAAAAGCTTCTGGACTTGCGCCACTTCCGCCGAGTCCGCGAGTGGATTGGCGGCGTAGCGCTCGGGCCTCAAGTTCCGGACCAGCAGGAATTGCAGCAGAATCATGTTTGCTTTTTGTTATCTCTTGTACCCATTGCTGAATCCTGAAAACCATCACAAGGGTCTTGCAGATCCTGCTCCAGCGCCTTCGTCAAGAAGCTCACCTGCGTGCAGGCTCTTTGCAAGCATCTCATGCTGTCCTTCACAATGGTCCCAGGGAGGGAGTCGCCTGCCGAAGCTGCACCGACATGACCGTCACCTGAAGAAATAGTGAGCAGAAAGCGGTCTTGGCCAACGGGCCAACAGGCTCCAGGACTCACAGAAACCGAAGAAAAAGCACAAAACAGCTGCGGTCCATGGCCAGTGCTCGCCTGGTGCAAGAGGTACATCACCATTCTCCGAGCCTGGCCGGTTGATTCATCGATTCTAGATGCGAAAGATGCGAAGCCCCGGCATCGCAAGGCAAACTGGCACCGGAGACAGCCAGAGCTCCTACCTTGCACATTAACCAAGCAATCTTTCCATGCCTTGGAATGCCACGGAAGCTGCCTGGCTCGAGTCACCAGAAGCAAGCTCGGTGCACTGGGAGACACATGCGGCCTCTCGGGCAGCGGGAAGGCTTCCAGGCACGTGACGCACTTGGCGAGCGTTGAGAAGAGAACCTGGGGCCTGCAACAACAAAGAGTTCCCGCAGGCTCTGGAAACCACAAAGCTGCGGTGTCCCATGCTCTCACCGCCCCGCTCCTTGTGCGGTAGCACAGCAGGTTGGCCTCGCAAGTCAGCAGCGTCGTGCGCGTGACGCTGCGAATGCTGGAGGCTTTGGCATTTCCAACTCTGTTAGTTGCAGTATTTCAAGGCAGCCGACAACTGAACATATTGGAACATATTGGAACACATGGGAACTGCCAGTGCTTGTTTGCTGTCTTGGTTGTCCAAACCCGCGCTTGCTGCATTCAAACAAAACAGAAAGCAACATGCAGAGAGAAATATATACACAAAACAAGAGGCAAAAACCCACACCTCCAAGCCTACGGAACCACAAACGCGAGCCCCTTGTAGGTCGATGTACGGACAATGAGAGGAAGTGAGAATTCCGATCATTCTGCCATGGTATGCTGGGTTATTTAGTGAATCAACTTCACAGAGACCGGACTTTGCAGGTCAAAGCACTGCAAATTCCACTGGTTCGGGCATGCTCTCAAGCGGCATGAACGCTTGTGACTGCGCCTCGTGTCCCCGAAACATCAAACATCCTTATCCCGTATGTTGCAGCAAGCAAAACCGCTGAAAACATTATGCCTCCCTCCCCCCCCTCTTCCCCTGGCTTCCCGTCTTGCTCCTGCTTCTCCTTCCCTAGTCATGAACCACGACTGAGTGCTTCCTGAGTTTGATTCCTGAGTTCAGGGGGCCTTAACTCTGAATGGACCTACCTCCGACCTCCGAGGCTTCGACTAGCAGCTCCATTGTCAGTGACACCGCTTGGCAGCTCAGAAAGCAGGATCCGGCCCTTCGCCTGCGAAGTGAAAGGCATTTGAAGACATTAGACTCATAGACCTCCCAGCTTTAGGCAACCTACGCAATTCTTGGCACTCTTCTGGGCCATGGGCGCGCAATCGACTGCCAGCACGCACTCGTTCACGGCCTGCAGGACTGCCTGGAGGCTTGCGGCTTAGCTTCACACTGCAACAGAACTTCAATCAAGGCTGCAACCCGTTGTGCCGGTTTCGTGCACCTCGAGCACACACCAGGATTGTTGGGCTTCTCCCAGTTTCCGTGGCTCGGTGCGGCCAGGCAGCGGAAAGGAGGAACCATTCCCTGCCACGGTCGCCTTGGTGCATGACATCCTTATAGACCACATGGCATCATTACCAGACCATTGTGTTCTCGACGTGATCCTGCTGGAGATGCTGAGGCATCTGCTGACACATTGAGCCGATGGCGCAAAAGCACCTTGGCGAACAGAGAGGCTTTTGGTCTCGACGGCGATTGGACGGCATGCGTCTCGCGCGGAGCTCCGCACCAATTCTGCAAAGGCAGCAAGGACTGCCGGCGGAAAGCGATCGACCACATCAAGCCGCAGCCTGGTAAAAACTCTGCTGTGCTGCTCCCTTGTGCCCTGCTGTGCCCTGCCGTGCTGGGTGAAGGGAGTCAACATGAGTCGACACATTTTGTTCAGGCCCGTGCTTGAATGCTCGCAGGCCATAGGAGTCCATCTCCTTGCGTGCGCATTATGTTGCGAATATTTCTCCAAAGCGTTCTGAGTTCGGATGGGGGCCTCATCTGGAGCACTGCGCTCACAGAAGGAATCGAAGAGTGGTACCCAAGCCTTCTTCCTGACATCTGTCATCTTCATGTTCAGACTTGAGGGCTCACAGACTGAGGAAGATGCCAAGCTTGCGCCCCCATATCGCCTGCAGCCAAGGCGGCCTCAAGACAGGGATCATGATCATGATGATCATGATGATGATGATGACGATGATGAGGAGGAGGAGGAGGAGGAGCAATTTTTGGCATACATCATCGGATGCACTGCAACTCGGCCGGCTCGGCCTTGCAGATCTTTATTCTGAGAATTGCAATCGGCAGCGGGTAGTAGGATCCAATAGGCCTGCAGAACGAGACTTTGGTTTTCTTTCTCTAGGCGCCACGACAAGGCTGCCAAGAGGAGGACGGGCTTGTCGCACTGACGGAAGAGAGCGCACTGCGGTTTGCCTCACACAGCAATCGTAGGCCGTAGCCGCCACTGACCGCATCAGAGCTGAGGGACACCGGCTCCAACCCTGCAAGTAAAAAAAATCACGGCCTCAAAGCCCTCGAAGTACCTGTCCGATAAGCGTGTTGCATCATCGGACATCCAATCCCATTCAGAAGCTTGGCGCACATAGTGGCGAAGCAATAGTTGGTGTTTGGCTTGAGGCCCGTGACCTCCACCAGCTCAAGGCCAGCATATCGAAAGCCTGCACGTGACGAAACGAATTGCCACGTACAGATTGAATTTACAGATTGCATTTCGAAGGCCAGCAGACGGAGCCTGTTCCATGAAGGTCTTTGTGCATTTCGGAGACGGCCGTCCCCACACCAGCAGACTTTCCAAACAAGGTACCTCGCTGTGCACCGCATGCTGTTAAGCAGCCGCCAACTAGCTTGCAAAAGCAAAGGGCCGGGCAGGTCATCGCGGTCTGCGAGGGCGAGTGCATTCCCAGCCGCTTCGAGTGGATCGATTCTCGGTACTCCTCGAGACAGGTGCTGTGGGACTCCCCGAAAGGCTCCACGAACCTGACTAATCCTCACTTACCTCCAAATGGATGATTTGGGTGACCAGCCTCTGGCGCCGGGTCCAGGTCGTGCGATATGGGCACAAGCGGCCTCGGCACGGCCATGGGTCACATGAAGTCACATGGCAAGCTCTCGCGCCTGGAGCGGTCCCCTTGACATCATCCCTTCACATCTCCCTTGAGGTCTCCCTCGGGGTCACTGCGGTGGTAGCCCTCCCATCAGAGGCGGCAGTCGCAGATGAATGCAGCCTTCACCAGGTACGGGGTGCAAGTTCTGCTTTGCAAAGCCCTCTCCTCAACACATTGCGCGCCTGGCATTCGAGCCACAACAACCGGAAGATGCCTCAGTGTCGACATGTCCTTCAAAGATCCTGTTGGAAGACTTGCAATGGAACCGAAGCCCACTTCATGAGATACAAGGAAGCAGGCGAGCGAGGCTTCCGTTGCATTCGCCCTGCCCTCCGGAACTCCTGTCGAGAATCTGCGAGTCGAGTGGATCAACACCATCACCATCCCAGAAGAACGCGCCAGCAACACACGTTGACATGCTTTGTGTGTTATGAACTGTTGAAACTGCCGAAGCTCCTTACAGAATTGCTCGTTCTTTCGAGCACCCAGCTGCCTGCAGTGGCAGGAAGATGCAGTAACCGTGAACCAAAAAGCCCTGTGGATGCTGTCAGAGATGCTGAGAAGGCTGCTGTCGCAAGAGCTCCTCTTCTTGCTGCGCCCACAGATTGCGCTCCTGAGCTGGAGTGAGGCAACTTCGGGCCGCCACGGAGCAGGGGTGCATCCAGACAAGCTACGCAAGACTGGCTGAATGCGTAAAGTGATGTAAAGTGTTAAGATCTCCCTTTTTGATGCTTGCGTAGACCCCCAGACTTCTCAGCCGACATGTCAGGGGTTCGCTTGCCAGACTCCCCTCCTGAGACACCGCCGAGTCAGCTTCCATGACTGCCTTCAAAGGTCCCATGTGTCCAGCTTCACTGTGCATGTTTTAGGAGCTACTACATTCTGCCATGTTGTCCAACCTTCCGTGCACTCTGCACAGCCGTCACAGCCACCACAACCCTCGGCCCGCTAGGGCCCTCTACGTCGGCTCACATGTGGACTCCGGCGCCTTGCCCAGGGCCGCGCTGGCCACCTCGGGCCTGCTCTCTGCAGACTTCCAGAGCAGACTGCAGACCGAGTTCTATACGAGGCAAGAAGTGAGGCAAATGGGAGCCTTCGGCTCGCAACGGAGACAAAGAAGAGGCATCTGAGATAGGGGTTCTCGCCTCGGGCTCTTCATGGCTCATAATTGCTGAAAAGGTTCAGAATGGCTCAAATGGTCTGTTCTATAAGTTTTTGCCTCTTGGGTTACGATTACAAGGTGGTCCATAGAATTAAAAGTACCCAAAAAGGAGCATCGTTTTCATGACTGACCGTGCTGCCCGTCGTCTCACGGTAGGGGCAGGGCCAAGCCGTCCCAGAACGCCGGCCTCCTGCGAGCTCATAGCCAACCTTTGCTGCGAATCCCAGGAGGATTTCCAGGGCATTTTGCTCGAATGCGCCAAGCAGAGCTAGCTACCAGGTGCAACTCAGAGCTGTCAGGATTCACTACGGCACTACGATTCGGGGTGATTCAATGAGTTCATACTGAGCCACTGCAGGCAGGGAGCCGTGTGGAGCTGTCTCCCGCCAAGCTTGCCTGGATCGGCTCCTCGTCACGAACCTCATTCGGGCGCAACCTTAGTTTGGTAAAACAGCGAACGAATCCAGCGATCAGCCGAACTGGAAACTTACGAGGGCAGGGCTTCTTGCGGACGGGCGCCTCCGGATGGCGCAAGTGGACCACCAGCCTCGCTTCCCACATGGGCGTGCAACTGAACAAAAATTGCGGGTCTCAAAGGTCAGCCTACGGGATGCCTCTGAGCCGCCTACGAGACCTCGATCCAGCGGTCATAAAGACGGCCAAGCAAACAGAGCCGATCCTGTCGGCAAGCATGACCCATCTCAAAGCTGTCGAAGCCCTACAGGCTCCAAACCATCTCGAACAAGTCTCCAATTAGCCTGCGAGCTTGCAAGGGGTGCCTGCTGCATGCGTGGCAAGCCCTTGAGAATCATGGCGGCCTGAACTTCAATGTCTGAACGACTGTTGAAGGACATTCGGGGCATGGAAAGCAGACCGACGCTGCTTTAGGGACGCGAGGGCCCCACGTTGAGGGTACGCAAAACAATATTGGTAGCTTGCAGCGGTTCCCAAGTACATGGATTGTGAGAAACGGCCAGCTCGTGCGCTGCACGGCCGAGCACTCGGCACTGTCGCATTGACGTGAATCCCCTGAGGTCGCGTCATCCACATCGACCATGGCTTCTCGTGGGCTTAACTCCTCCTTTCACGGGAGCATCTTCATCTCACAAACACGCAGAATAGATCGGCTCACTACCAACCGAAAGCAGCAAGCGCTTAGAGCCCCTAGAGGACCCTAGGACAGCAAGCCTGCGCCCGACTCGACGGGCTGCCAGGGATGACCGGGCTGCCGGGGCTGCCCGGCGTCTTTGGCCTCTCCGGCCTCGTTTCTCGGGATGTTTCGGGTGGTTCCTCGATGTTCCTCTCGCATCACTGCTTGTGTAGAGAGAAGTAGAGGGTGCCAGGATGTGCGAGGACCGACTAGGATCCGGTCTCTTCATCTCGAGCTCCTGGATTTAGTCAGGCGGGAGCAGCACAATGGGAAGATATCGCAAGATCAGCTCCTTGCTCCGCTGGACTCGCCAGGGCCTTGCTGAACAAGGCAAAGCCTGGTGGCCGCAAGGATGGCGGGTCAAAGGACCTCGGTCCCAGCAACCTTTAAGACGTGAGAGCGCTCAGCGGGTCATGAGAGAGGGTCGGAAGATGCCGGAGGGCCGGAACCCGTGCTAAGGGCAGTGGCAAGGCTGCGGCTGTCTGTGCATCGAGCCTAAGTCGCGAAGACTCGACAACTGCGAGAGAGCTGACGAAGCTTACCCGTGGCGGCTGTAGCGGACACGCGTCTGGTGCATGGATCTTCAACGCATCCACGGCGCTGCTTTTGTGCAACGGGGGCCCCAGCCTTGCTTGCGGGCCAGCCGTGGCCACTTTGCCGAGCTCACGCTCCAGTCGAATGATGGCGCAGCCTCGACCCATTCAAAAAATTCTGTAAAACATGCAGTTCACATGCTACTCGCGCGTTTGTGCTTCAGTGTTTGGACCATGTGGGCCGGAAAGGCGCACACAGGGCAATGCAACTAGCCTGCTAGCAGCGAAGAGTCTACTACTCCCAACTTAGGCCCGTACCAAGCTCCTTTTGCGCATTGCGGCTGTCGCCTTCCTGCGAATGCTCACAAAATTTCGTAATGCGACAAGGAAAGGTACCAGGGAACCTGGGCACCGTCTACGAGCCCTCAGCAAAGTGGAGAATCGTTGAGAAATTAGTTTGGGATTGTTTGCTTCAGAGGAGTTGTTTCCATATTTGTCTGCTACACGGGTTTACTTTTGGCTGTATGTGGGCCTTGATGCCCGGTCTCCTTCATGTTTCCTCTTGCTGACTAGCTGATATGGCATGCGGTGATTTACAAGGTGTCCGGCCTCCCAACAGTGAGCTACAGATGTAATTTACAGTATCTTGCTTGAGTTGTGGAAGAACTGCGAATGCTCTGAAAATTACTGCAAGCACACAGACGACAGAACACACGTACTTGATGCACCTCCCATGGAACATGTGAAGGACGTCCTGAAGAAACAGTTGTGCCAAGGCATAGCCTGCGCTTCCCAACGTGAGTGCGTCGACTGTCTGCACCTTGCGAGGTGAGGCAATACACAAGATTTCATTGGACAAGCCTGTGAAACAAACAGCTCGTGCCCATCTCTTACAGCGACTTGCCCCTTGCCTTTTCCAGGGTGCGCAGCAGGAAAGGGAGCACCCTGCGCAAGTTGCACAAGTTGCACGCTGCTACCGCCAAGACGGTTTGGCGGCCCCCCCTATGCGAATGCACTTTGCCCGCTGCGACCTTCGCAAGACATGTGACCACTCGGAGATGTCATTCTTCTCCCTCTCATGGAGCACCTTCACCCGAAGATGCGTGCGTCCGCAACATTGTGCGGAGAGTCTGTGCAGAACCCCAAAACACATTGCGAAAGCCCACCCCGTGCGGAGCAACGCTTCAACATGCAGGCAGCACACGCTCCTTCAGTTCATGCTGTTGCGCAATGTCCTGCCCGCACGCAGCTCTCATATCAGCACACGTGCAAGGCATGAGCAGCACCCTCCTGCATGTAGCATATCTTTGGCCACACAAAGGTCAGGAAGACATAGGCGCACAGATCCTGAAGCAACAAAGAAGCCAAAAGTGTTCTTCCTCGCGAGGGCAACGTTTATGCTTCGACAGTGGCTTGTTAAGTGATGCCACAAGCTGCAACTTGGAAAATCTAGAGAGCCTCGAAAGAATCATGAACAAGTCGCCGGCCTCGAGTAGGTCCGGAGCAGACAGCAGGAACCTGGAGCTCAAGCTTCCTCTCCAGAAACGTCCATAAATCCATAAAGGTCTCACAGAAACACCCTCAATAACCCCGCAAGAGCCCTATCTCTATCTTGAAATCTATCTCTACCTCTAACTCTAAGCCTAACTCCAACTCCAGCTCTCACTCTCACTCTAACTCTAGCTCCAACTCTCTTCTTCTTGTTCTTCTTCTACTACCCAGCGAAGAGGCCTCCGAGGGGAACTCCTCTCTTCCCAAGCCAAGGCGCAGCTGGCCCTGGGAGTCGCCGAGGGTCCGTTCCAGGCAGTCGCTGAGCTCCAGCAGCCGATCCATGATCTGAAGCAGAAAGAGAGAGAGAAGAGAAGAGAAGAGAAGAGAAGAGAAGAGAAGAGAAGAGAAGAGAAGAGACGAGACGAGACGAGAAGAGAAGAGAAGAGAAGAGAAGAGAAGAGAATACCCCTTCATTCACGTAGATGTGGGGGGGCTCTGAACTCTCTCTCAAGCAGTTCAGGTCCATCCCCAGATCCACCAGCCTCCGGACGCTTCCACCTACCTTTGGGCGATGTGGCTCCGGCTTCCTGACCCGGCCAAATGGAGCGAAGATTGCAAAGTAAGGCCAAGTGACAAGGCGAAATCAAGGAATACGTTCTTGTGCAGCTGCCTGGTCAGGATCCTCCCCCACTGGCACCTACGGCACAAGGACGCTGAAGTTGAAAGCAATTGGCGAAGTGTCGGCTATCCGTGTGCGTACGGCTGCTTCTTCGGAGCCGAAGAAGTCGTCGCCACCAGTCTGCCACGTCAGCACTTGATTCCGGCCAAAGGAGAAAAAAACACGAGCTCGCAGAATTTCACACATCATTGCCCTTAATCGCCCGGCAAACCTTGGCCTTCCACAGGCTATGTAGGGCCTTGCGTTTGGCAGTGCACGAGACAGAAAAGGGCGCTACGAAACATCAACTTGCCAGCAGATCAGCTGACTCTACACGGCGCTTCCTGGCATCTAGCGGGTCGGATAGGCATCAGACGATGTGAGGAGATGGGGAGAGTCTTCCAGGAGCAAGCCTTCTGATAACCAACAAAGAGGGCAAGCGGTCTTTTTGTAAAGCCCGCATCACTTCGCTCTGCAGCGGCGTGGTCATCCACAGGCAGGATATTAAAAGCCAGAGGTAGGCAGATTCGCTATGCTGCTCGTATGTAAGTGTCTGCGAAATAATATGCTGTTACTGTTGGCGTACCACTGAAATGGTAGCGAACAGCCAACAAACCCTCTTGCCAAAAGCCTGGTGAGCCTTCGCTGCACCACACGAAGAACAAGCAGGCCACACGAGAAGAATGCACGTTCGATTGAACGAAGCCACCTTCAGTTCTGAAGGATCGGTGAAATGGAAAGACCCAGGAAAAGTCCAATGCCTCCAGATGGCTGCACAGTTGGATCGCTTCTGACCGATCTGACCTGTGATGGCTTTTGAGCATTTTGTCTGTTTCCGGTCAGCCAGCCTGGATCCCTGGCACTGGATGGTTTGCTCTTTCAAACTAGCCATTGCGAAGGACGGCATATTCGGTTAGAGACCCAAAATAACAAAATGGTATGTACGTGCCAACAGTTCGAGCTCTTGTCTTGGGATGCTGGGAGCGTTTAGACTGCTCAAAGCACCCTGAAGCCCGCTGGACTCTTCGAAGGCTTGAAGGCACCTTAGGGGTAGGTCCTTGTTCTAAGGGAATCCTACTATTTGGGGGTCGACTAGGGGTCCCTTACATTCGTAAACTCCCACTTCTGAGAAGGCCTTCTCCCGCTTCAGAGCCCAGCGAGCTCCAGGGTTGAATGAACCAGCAACATTAATCACTGGAGAGATCCAGGGTATGGGGGGGGTGAAACGGCGTGCAAACTCTGCCTGCTCTTAACAGAACTGCTTGCGCTTGCGGAAACTTTTCGCACATGCCAAGAGTGTCTAATCAGCAGGGGATAAGATGTAGGGAATTGCTGGGACCTCCCAAAACCGGGGACGGGAGGTGATCAGATGCGCCAGCGATTTGACACGCTTCGCTTTTGGCAACCGTGCCCGTCGCGGCACCTTCACGCTTCACCTGAGAATCACAGATGCTTCGCATCGGTAACGGGAATCGAAGTTGAAAGCGTCCGTTCGGCTTGCCTCAGATGACAACACTGAAGCGTTCGGCAGCCAGGAAGTTTTTGTGGCTTGTGTACGCGCTCGTGGCAGCAAATGGGTAGAAAGGTCCTGGAACAGGGAAACTTCATGAAGCTTTTTTCCCTAAACCCTAAACCCTGAACCCTAAACCCTTGCATCTTCTGCCAGGCTGCCTTCAAGGAGAAAGTTCTGCAGTGGCAGCTTCGGCTTCCATGCCGACAAACTTGTGGGACATCCTAGGCTTCGCAACTTGACCCTTCCCGAAACTCAGGGTTTGGGGTTTAGGGTTTAGGGTTTAGGGTTTGGGTTTAGGGTTTAGGGTTTAGGGTTTAGGGTTTAGGGTTTAGGGTTTAGGGTTTAGGGTTTAGGGTTTAGGGTTTAGGGTTTAGGGTTTAGGGTTTAGGGTCACCGTTTCTGTACTCGTGCCAGGCTGCAGTTCCATGGCAGATGGTCGATCATCTGGGTCCTAGACAGCTCTGCATCACGTATGGAACTCATAGTAATAAGAATGGTAGTAATAACAGTAATAATAGTAATAATAGTAATAAGAATAATGATTATAAGCATGTGTGGCACAGCAGCAACTCAGATGACCACTCCACATACACTTGGGATGCGGCACGATGCGGAGCGAAGACAACAGCAATCTGAAACTAATTGAGAACTACAGCACATGAAAAAATTGTACTCTAAAGAAAAAGGTGAGAATCATGCGAGAGAAAGGTGACAATATGAACGACGGCGCATCAGGAACGAAAAGAAAAGGGAGTGAAGCAGGGGAACCGGTGCCGAACGTAGTGACATTAAAAAGCCAGCACAGGCTTCCTCAAATGTTTCCAGCCAAGCATCCAGGTTCATGGCCGTGCACACATAGCTTGCCAGCTCTGTCCTGCAAGCTGAACGAAGCAGAAACTTGATCAGCAATCCTGCACTCGTGGCCTATGTCGGGAATCTTGCTGGCATCCAACAATCTTCAGTAAGACTTCAGCATGCCCACGGACTTCCACGGACTTCCACGGACTTCCACGGACCAGGGATGCCCCCGGGGTCTTCGTCTCGTCCCACTTGGTCTCGTCACCAAGCACACAGGCCAGGCCCCAGGTCACCGGCCGAAGCTCCTGAGTCGCAGAGGCAGAGGCATGGAAAGATAGAGAGAAAAAAAGAGAGAGGAAGAGAGAGAGGGGAGGAGAGAGAGGGGAAGAGAGGCCAGGAATCGCTAATGAGCCCCCGGTGTCCTTGAAGGTAATGTTGGGCGCGATGCCAAGACGCTGAACCGGGAAGTACGCCGGCGAGGGCGTATACAGCTGCCCTGAACAGAAGCTCGTGCGCCGTCCGAACTCACCAAACAGTATAACGGAACACCGTAGCTTTCACCCAGCAGAACCCAAACGACGGTTCAAGGGCTGGGGTCATCTAGAGGCTGGAGCCAGGGGGCTGATGTCAAGTGGGCTTCGTCGAAGAAGCTTCTCGGGCAGTCCACTCTTGGAGTTCACGAGGCCAAGCGCTTGTGCCAGCATGTACTCCACCTCAGGGGTCCTAAACCCCTAAACCCTAAACCCCAAACCCCTAAACCGGATACCCAAGCTGCTGGACACAAGCCTCTTGTCGGCGATGCCTCCTAAACAATCTTGCTCCCCTTGCTCCAAGCCACAGTGTCTTCCTCCTCGTTCCACATGTTCCCTCAGCATCGGTGTGCTGATAAAGCCCGCCCCTTCTAAAGAGAACTGCTACTTCGAAGTCTGTATAATCAACTTAGAGTTGATCCGAAGTTATGTCGCAGAGACGCTGCCGTTAAAGTGCTTTGATCTTGTGATGGCCTTGACATTTGAGGCGAACTGGATTCAACCCCCCCGAAGCTCCGACGACCCCTGAAGCCTCGATGACTCAAGACTGTGAGACCGAGGGTCGTCCGCAGTACAGCTCCAGCAGGGCGACTGCATGCCCCCAAACATCGGCTTTGTCCGTGATGGGGATCCGCAACATCATCTCAGGCGCCCACTTCCCGATGTGGCCTTGATTGCTCTTAATACTGTACATCTCGCCAGCTCAAACAGGCGGTTGGCTCCAGCCAGCAGACTCAACCGCAATCTGAGGTCTGGTCCTGCACCGCCTTCCGCAAAACTCCAGTTCCGCCCGCTCTCCAAGCGGCTGTCCAGACGAGAACAACCTCGGGTTCAAGGTGTCTGGAAACCTTCATGTTCTGCTGGGAAGCTTGGGCAGTGTGCCAACTGGGGTCCAGACCAAAATCCACTATTCGGACCGATGGCTCCCCCTCGCCGGTCTTCGTCCACATGAAGTTGTCCGCCTTCAACCACCGGAGCAACGCACCGCTAAAATGCACCGCCCACGCGAGCTGAATTACATGCATTTGCCCTTTGCATCTCCAGCTGCCTTCATGTCACAGTGTACTACGCCGGCTTCTGCAAGAAGCTTTAAGCCGCGCAGACATCCGACGGCAACAACCCGAAGATTGTCCAGGTTCTTGAAGTGCATGGGACTGGTTCGACAGATTTCCTGGGAGCATGTCACAAGGGTGCGCAGACCACGGCTGTCAACTGCATCCAATCTTATAAACACAAAAGTTTTCCAGGACGGTTCCATGCCGAGGCACTGTGCAGTTCCGCCCCTCGAATAAAGTCTCTACGGTGTACCCCACCTAAGCAGATCAGCAGATGCTCAGCATGACCATGAACAACGCATGACACAACAGCTTGGACGAATCCGAGGCCCCATGCCATATCGAAGAAAGCCTCGACCAGCCTGGCACAGAGTATGCAATGCGCGTTGCCCTGGCAATCTGTGGCAAACTCGCACCGCCGCACAAGGCACCGGCCTGGAAAAGCATTTGAACTCAGGGTCGACGGATTCGATCCGCCGGCCAATCGTTAGCAGATCCTTCGGACCAACCAAGCTCTTCAAGCTGCTCCAGGCCTCTAAACGTCTAGAAAGCCCAGACCCCCGATAATTCGCAGCCCCCGAAACACAGAGAAGCCCCTTGACTCCAACCCGGAAGAGACGTCCGTCAGCAGCTCGACGGTGAGCCCGTTGTGACGTTTGATGCAAACCTGACTTCCACAAAGCGCGCGCCCTTCAGAAGCGCTTCGATACCCTCTCAGCCCTCACGGCGACCTTCTGGTTCGTCTCCACGTCAGTGGCGAGGTACGCACGTGTGAAGTGCCCAGCGCCAATGGCGTGCTCGATTTTGTACCTCTCAGAAGTGGGCCAATGATGTTCAGGCTGTGCTCTTTGCAAGGCAGGTTGCTACATTCTTTCTCCAAGAGGTCAAGACAGAAAGAGAACCCCGGCCTCTTGCGCATCACTTCTCCAGGGTATGGCCGATACTCTCGCGTGCATTGGCGAGCCCACTGTCCAACTAAGCCAGGATTCACGTGCACGTGCACCGGGACCTAAGTCACTCGGGAATGCTCTGCCTATGGCCCTATGGCATCTCCTACGTCATCTGCTACCAGCCAAGAGGTGAGCATTGACGCCTAAACTTCTAAGTAGGCCACAACAAAAAGGTAACTCGAGGAACTCCGGTACCACCACCCGTAGGGCTCTAAATCAGGGGCTCTCAGGATGACTCAGTACTGACATGTGACTCTTCTCCTTGGCCACAAAGCCTCTCAAGAGGCTTAGTTGAGGCTTTGGGGCGACGCATGGCTGTCCGAGTCGTTTGCCACCTTGCTTCCAACTGCACCTGTTTTAGTTTGGCCGCTTAGCACCTGAGTCTTCGAATTGGGCACCTGACCTCCAATATCCCCTCTGATGTTTCAGAATTCATAGACTGTAGACCCTTCAATCCTGAGGCTCCATCCCACGCATCGCCAATGTTCGTCGGATCACCTGAGAAGGTGTCCCAGGTCGTACCCATAGCACCATGGCACCATGGCAGTAGAATGTCTCTGTTGTTTCAATGCGTCGGGTTCACCATCGGCTGACACTGGTCCGCACGGTGGCATTCTCGGGGGCCATCGAGGAATGGGATGAGAATTCCATGCCTCACAGAGGCACGCAAGGCAATACCAAGGGCAAAGCGAGAAAAAAGGATCTCACGCGCTGCCCACCTGCAATAGGTCCATCTCCTTCCACCTCTTGCCCTCCTTCACTTTGACAAGGCGGTTGCACTGCATGAAGGAGTACCTGCCAGGCATCCGTGCAGTAGGGGCATGGGCCCGAACGAGAAAGATGAACGAGAAAATGAGACGTGCTCGCAAGGCACCCGTCGTCATCGTACCAGCTAAGACTTGCAGGATCCTGGTCGAACTCGACTCCCTTTGCATCACCATCCTCCGGTTCAGGCATCTCAAGGTTGTGAAGGTCTTGAGACGCTTTCATGAAACTTGGTGCGCCAACAACTGGCAGGGCTTGCTCTGCTCTTTTGGTGACATTGGTGGCAGCAAAGGAACGTCGGAAGCTCTGACTTCGTCTGCTGGCGTCGGCAAGGTCACAGTTGAGTCGTCCTCCTTCAGCCAATCAGCTGCTTTCGACGGGTGTTACTTATCTACAATTTACCAGTAAAGGCTCTGTGTCCTGGATTCCTTCTGCCGAGGCCGTCGTGGCTGTGGTCGCCAAGTTTGGATCCTCCTGGGAAAGTATGGCTGCTCTACTCGCATCTCAAGCCGCTCCCGACTCACCAGAGATTGCAAGAGGTTGCAGCAACCCAGGTAACTAACCCTAAACCCTAAATCCTAAACCCAAAACCCCCTCTCCTCGGGTTTTGCTTCGCCCGTCCCTTCCTCTGGGCCAGGCTCGGCAGGCTTCTCCTCGGTCCCATTCCAACATGTGCGCTTGTTGAAATCTGCTTGCGGAGGCCATGCAACATATGCCAAAACAAGTCCTCCGAGACATCTTTCTGCCCTTTGGCGGAGGTCTCTTCCGCTTCTACTTCTTTGACTACCTCATGAGGACAAGGACTCCCAGCAAAACCAAGCAAAGACACTCACTCTCCGGGCCTTGCCTCAGGCTCCTTCCGTGGCTTCTCGTCTATGTCAGGAGCACTTTGCACCTTTGGTGTTTGTACTAGCGGAGGCTCCTTGGACGATGCTTCGGTCCTTGGCTGAGCATGGCTGCCCTCCTACCCAAACCTCCCTCCCCCCCCTCCCCTCCCCACTCCCCCCTCCCAGCAAATGGAGCCTACGTATACTTAGAATGCATTCGGGGGCGACCTTGGAGTGCAATGGCCCACACTGACCAAGCCATGCCACGGTTTCCCTGCGTCGTGCGCTTCAGCACCACTCGCCTGCAAACGCAAGGAGGGCTCCCTGCCAAATGTAGGACGTAGGGCATGTAAGGGTGCATGAACAAAGAACGAGCTGTACACTGTCGGGTGAGGCCAGATGTAATCCACCGAGACCCCGAGCCTCTCGCTCCTGGAACTAAAATCTTCGCGTATCCCTGCCCAAAGAGCCCTTCGCACGTGCAGGACCTTTGCACACCTTTTCAGGCATGTTGACAATAACACGGTTTCCCGAACCCTCTAAAACCCGTCTAGGGACCTGCAAGGGACCCAACCCTGGTGACCAAGGAGGTTCGAACACTTCCAACCCACAGACGTTTAGGGACACTCTGTGGGGGCCACCTACACACTGTAAGCCCCTAAACATGTAAAGCTGCGGCATCTTTGAGGGCCCACCACAAGGACCCTTAAGACTCCAGGGACATGTGTGTCCTGCAGCGGAGCTGCGGCGCGCGTTGTTGCATCAAGAAGCTCTACTTAAAGTCGTGTTAAATGTGTTAAAGCATGCTTTCCAAGTCGGCCGCCAGCATGCTCAGAAGCAGTGCCTCTGAAGTCTGAGGCTGCTCAGCAGAGTCCTAGCCACGGGCACCCTGCACCCTAAACCCTAAACCCTAAACCCTCTAACTCACACAAGGAGTAACGTGTGGCATGGTGTGGCCTCCTTTGTGCCGCTCGCGGTCGCGGGCGACTCCACGGGGCCACAGAGGACATCCAAGAAGTTCGTGACGCCTTAGAAAGACCACATTTGCAAGCTCCATATGAACAGGGGCAACTATCCTAATTACATTCATTTATGGTAATTCATGGTAACTCATGAAATGATAATTAAATGGTAATTATGGCAATTAATGGTAATTAATGGTAATTAATGGTAATTAATGGTAATTAATGGTAATTAATGGTAATTGATGGTAATTAATGGTAATTAATGGTAATTAATGGTAATTAATGGTAATTAATGGTAGTCAATGGTAATCAATGCTAATTATGTTAGTTATGGAGCAAGTGCCATGCAGGCCATGAACGCGTAGGGACCGGGCTTATCTGAGCCTCATGTCGACCTTCGCATACACACTCTGTGAGCAGCGCGTTCGCCTCCTCGAGGGTGCCGCCAATCGAAATAAGAAACTCCACGCAACCTCGGAGCAAAACACATCGGAAGCGCAGGCTCAGCACTGGCCATGGGTTTTTTTTGGGGACAGAAAGACGAAGGCATGCAGAGACCACATCGCCACATCGACAAGGAGCTTTCTCGCACGAGGAGGCCGTTTGGGTCTGCCAAGGTGGACCTAAACATCCCCTCGACTTGGTAGCGCACATCCTCAGGCACACGGCTCATGCAGACTGTATATGGGCTGAGGAGGCGAGTTGCGCAAAGTTGCTGCACAAGCCATGAGGAGCGTGTAGGCGCACGGCAGCATCCATGCTTTGCACGAGCTGAAGCAACTCCTGAATACAGGGAGATGTACATGACATGCACACTTGCACACTCGGCAACCTGCGACGATGAGTGCATGCCACCGGGTCCTGCCGAGCCGGTCTATGCCGCGAGTCTAACTCGGGATTTGGCAACCTTGGCCCATGTTTGGCTTCATTGGCAGCACAAACGCACAAACGATCATGTAGGACTGAACATGGGCTGAACACTGCGATCGCTGCGCGCTCTCAAGGTGCCCCCTCCCAAGACATGGAGGGGAATATGTAGGGGTACTGTAGGGGGGGGGGGGGGGGGGGGATGAAGCTTCTTGAGCGAAGTTCGTGCCGCCGAGGCACCAGGCCGGACCCCAGGCTCACCCATTCATTGGCGAGCAAAGGTTTTCAGAGACGTATGGCTGCGGAAGTGGATGTCGGAAGTTGGCACAGAATCAGCGCAGGAGCACACACCCACAAACGCTGACCACAGCAAGTCTTACCAATCAGACGTGGCAATCACATGGATGCCCTGGCTCTGGGAAGTATCGGCGTAAGGAGCATGTTGGGCCCTGGGCTCGAAGAAGCCGCAAGCGGCGGGTTACGAAGGGTGGGCAAGGCGCTTCCACAGCGGCACTCAGCATCACATAGGACCTGGAAGGAACAACGCAGGTGCGCACTGCACACATGCCAGGATCCTTGACATGGACGGTCATGTGAGCACCGCACTGGAATGGCTTGCCCTGGAGCTGCCCAGGTGTCTGCCGCAAGTCTGCCCTGATGGTCACGAACTGTTGCTGCGACTGTTGTTGCGAGCTTTTGGCAGAACAGCATGGCATGACGACATGCCGAAACGAAAAAGACACTGGAAGTTCCTGCCTGAGCAGCGCATTGAAACTTGCATCAGGCGGTGATGCATGTAAGTGCTTGGTCACCTGGACAACTTGCCCAATTTCTCAGGGAGCTAACTGAGCTGGTGGTCCAGGACAGCTGCAACGGCAGTCAGATCAAGCAGGTGGTGCGTGGACATAGAAGCCTCGGCAAGTCGCAGCATGGCTCTGCATACCTTTTCAGCCCCTGAGAGACTGAGAGGAGGACCGAATCCATCAGGGGACTCCATGGCGGAAGCAGCTGCTCACTGTTCGCCTTAAACTCTGGTCTCATATGTTTTATATATGCCTCACATCGCAAGCTTCCAGCCTTGGGCTTCTCCGCGGCAGCCTCTGCGAAGCTCTTTATGCAAAGCTCTATGCAAATCCATACGGAAGCGAGGCGCAGAGGAGTTTTACAGAACTTTTTCGAAGACTCAGCGGAGCTCCGACTGGGCCTCGGGTAGAAGTGTAGCATCATCGAGGACGGGTGCGGTTGCCTCCATCCTGATGCATGGACACTCCATCAAGGCTCAAAGCCCCTTCATATGTTGAAGAAAGCATGCAGCACATGCAAGGTTCAATCGGCGATTGGGCTCTCTGAGAGCAAGTCTTGCATGCTTTCCCGTCCGCAGACCAAACGTTTCGCCTGGGGCCAAAACACAGCCAGCAAGGAACGGAGCAGTTTCCGGATCCTAGGAAGCTTTCCAGGTATCACCTCAATGCTTACTCTCGTGAAGTGCAAGTGTAAGCAACAGGCTCATCATAGACGGAGAAGAAGACATAGGGTACAAGCTGCTTTCCTCACAAGCTGCTTCTGTGAGTAGTGAGGGTTGTAAAATAAAATTGTTTTCTTGATGTGCTGCTGTCCTGAGTTGCCCGGATGCGGGTCCACGGGGACTTCCAGCACCCTGGCATGGAATCGAGGACTACACACAGCCCACATTAAAAGTGCCACGCAATGCGCACCAGAAGAAAATGGTCCCGCAAAGACGCGCGCGTCAGGTGCCTGTGGGTGATCAGGCCGCTTTTCGTCAGCTGCTTCAGCATGGCCTCCACACCAGGTTGGTAGCGTCCCCCCGCCACCAACTCTCACCCAGATGCCACCTGTCGGATCTCCTCGGACTCCTCGAAGACTTCGAAGCCTGACCCACAAGGATCACAGCAACATGCAGCCCGAGCTACTGAGAGCTCGGGCCTGAAGAATCACCAGCACCTCGCAGACTGTGGTTGTCACAATTCAAAAACTGTGCACCACAGAAGCTTGCAATAAATGCGGAATTCGGAAGACGCACGGCCAAGTGAAGCCGGAGGGTTCAACCCCTGCAGCTTGTCCCGAACCGTCCCCCCAACCAAGAATGAAAAGCCAAACGGGCCCTCGCCCATTTGTCTCTGCAGCCCTGCGCTTTTCTCCGCTATGAAGTTTGTCATGGTTTTCCCTTTTGCCCGTCGTTTGCTCTTTGCAACTGCATCTTTCGGAGCTCGGAAATGTTCATGGGGGGAATGGAGTTGCTGTTGAATTCAAGGGGGCCAACGTGGCCTGGAAGTGGCCGATGGCCACTCGACAGCCACTCTTGACGCCCTCTTGCAACTGCCCACCCCCCCCCCCCCTTTTCTCCCATCCAGCCTGCACATCTGTAAGGAGCGCCCATCCAAGGATCCACGACCTGCCAAGTACGTCGGGGGCAACCATGCAGCAAGAAGCTTCCGCCAGAAGGTGTTCTCAATCAAAAAGGCATGCTGCTCTCTTCATACCCGCTGGACTGCCTTGCCGTCTATCTCACTCGGTCGAGGCTCATGTATGCCGATCCTTCCAAGCACAGGGCTTCCAGAAGAGTAAGAGCACAGCGAAGGCAACATAGAGAACGGGAACAGAGTGAAGCTTCCAACTTGGCAGCTTGTAACATGCTGGTTGACTGGCTGCCCGACGCATGTGCAGGAGCTGCCCTGTTCGCCGCTGGGGCACTGGACATCTGGCATGCCACAGGCGTGTCAGTGTTGGTTTTGTCTGTCTACGCCTACTTATTCTCTCAGGCTATCTCACAACGGCGAAGGTCTTGCCGGCAAGGTGCGAAGGCAACTTTGAAGTCACACAATCGCCGGATTGGCACCGGATACCTGTACATACCAAGCTTGCCTGTGAGCCGCCTTGTGATGCCTGCTTGCGCTCACTCTGCCGTCCAGTTCTCCCACGCATCAAAGCGCTGGCCCATGACGTAGACATGTTTGCCTGCCGCAGTTTGCCGAATGGGCTCATTGATGTGACTGTACGCAAACCTTGGGAAACGTGCCAACACGCATTGCCAGCCTCTCTTTCGAGTCAGACTTCCTGTCTGCAAACAGCAAGTCCAAGCCGTTAGGAAGTTGCGTTCTGCTGCTTGTGAGTCTGGCTGTGCCTGACTCATCCACATCCGCCGTTGCTCCAGGTTGGTTCTGCCTGACATGCTGGATGGGTGTCGCCGACAGCTTCATCTAGCTAGGCTCACATGCCAAAGGATACCTACAAGCCTGAGAACCTCACGGGGAGAACTGGTTTATGTCACCAGACAAGAGCTCGTAGAGCTCCGGTAGTCTGACCTAGTAGCACCGATGAAAACAACGCACATCGCAAACACATCTCGCAAAGTCGCAGCAAGAGGCCTTTTCTGGCTCCGGCTCGCTGCAAACCAGCACGTCAACCTCACCGTTGACAGCAAGTCCACATCCGACATCTTGCAACCACGCATGCCAACACACGTGCTTCAAGGCCCGCTCATCCACGAGCGGTGGTCGCAAGAAGTGGCGATAACCTGGTTGCATCATGCCCCAAGAGCTTGCTCACCAGCGCCACAAGGCGAACCGCATCGAAACGCCAACCGCAGTCCAACAGGGCTTCTGGCGTAGTCGCAGCGCGAGCGTGCGTTCTAAGAACTCGAAGGCGCCCTGCTTGCAGAAGCGGCAAGAATAAATTCAGCCTAACATGCTGGAAACTCAGCCCAATCTACTTTCTTTTTGGGGGGTGCCTTGATGCCGTCGTTGCCCCTCATCTCCTGCAAAGCCATGCCATGATGGCGTACACGCAAAATCGCCCGAGAATGCGGTGGCGCCCGTCCTGTCGCAGACTTTGCTCCGACAGCCAGATGTGTGAGGCCAACGGCAGGGCCTCCACAGCTCTCAGCTGCGACCCCGGGCATCCCAAAACACCACACAATCCACGCTCAATCCCACACCGCTCCATACCATCCCACGGTGGCACTATGCTGGATGGCTCAGCGACCCACCCGCGCCCCTGCTGTCCCGCGTCCAGAACTATTTAGAACGTGAACGTGCAATGCTCAACAACAGAATATGAGCGGAAGCCTCTGTACTGGCGAACATCAAAAGATTTACAGGTACAAGTTGGCATGACATGCAAGGACCTTACAACATGGCATTGTAACTCATCAGCACGGTTTTATCCGGCGCATGCTTTGAAGAGATGCGTGCACCTTCCATGAAACCAACATCAGACCCAAGAAGGACAGAGGATCTGTTTGCTGCCCCCTCCAGCCACATTGGGCCTCTTCCAAGCCGTGCATCTTCGACCCTTTGGCGAAGCCCAAGCCCTGGGCAAGGCCAAGAGACGGAGAAAACTTTACAAACTGAGGAGCTGCAGAGTCTATGCCCTCACATGGAGCAAGGTTAACACAAGGATACCCTTCTTAGGCGGGCTCCTTTCATATTTGGGAATCTAGAAGAGGACTTGGGGAATAGTAGGAGGTCCCCTGCTTTTGGGAGAAGACACCCTCCAACACAAAGTAGCACAGGAATCTCTTGCCTCCAGTTTCTCCGGGTCAGGTCCGCTGGGTCGCGGCTCCTTGTGCCCAGAATTGGCACATGGGCGTAAGTCTGATGGACATCAGTCATGCCATAGTGCCATCTCCGCACCATCGCACCCTCAAACCCTCTAAAACCACGCAAAAACCCAAACCTCAATCCCCAGGTCAGGCCGAAAAAAAGCCCGTGCCAAAGCAGGAAAAGCGAAGGCCCGGACTGGAGGCACCTCCTCCCCGTTCTCATCCACCTGCCAAGGTCTGGGTTCGGGGTACCCTGAACCCTGAACAAAAGTACCTGGTTTGGACCCACTAAGCCCCGCCCTTCCAAACATGAACTCCCCCACCGAAGCCAACCGAAGACAGCGCACAGACCCCATGTTCATTCACCCTAAACCCTAAACCCTAAACCCTAAACCCTGGAAAGCCGAAGCCTTGGGCTCGTCAGTGCGGGCCCGCCGCTCGGCTTCCGCCTCCCACTTCAGCCGCTGGACGGTGTGGGCCTCCAGCTCCTGGATCTCTTCCCTTTAAAGGGGGGGGGTTTCAAGGCTCCAAAGGGGCTTTGAAGGGGTTTCAAAGGGGCTTCAAAGGGGCTTTAAGGAGTTCAAGGGGCGTTGAAGGATTCCTGGCAGAGCCATCCCCCAAAACCGGCAGAATCCAATGCCTCGGTTGCAGCCTCCGCTTTTTCGGCCAGTGGTCTGATGAGATCCACCTTGCAGACTTTGTGCCATTTGTGCCACTCAGGGCAGACTCTCCTTGATTGGGAAAGTTCCTGTGTTAAAGGGCTTCGATGGCCAACAAACAAGTTGACATTTCTCTCAGAGGGCCAGGCTAGCGCAGCCAGGAGATTCACCTGCTTTGCCTGACCAGCGACATCCACATCCCCCCCCCCATAAAACGCACACGGGTCGGCCCACAAGAGGCTCACGGGAGGAGCCTGGACTTCCTTGTTCGTGTAACGGGTGCACTCGACTCCTTCAGGATCCGCCTTGCCCTGGCATGAGGACAAGGTCTAGGGACGGTTCTTGAAGGCTCCTGGGCAGTGAGGAGGATTAGGAGCTAGAAGTGCTTAGAAGTACCCTCAACAACTTTGGTTCGCATATATGTGTGTGTGCGTTGCTCGACTTGCAACTTGACTCATTGACGACAGCCCTGGTCTTCGAGCCTCCTCGACGGGAAGACCGTCCAGTAATGCAGACTTGCAGGCCTCCAAAATCTTGAGGTCAAGGGGTGCAGCCCGGTTGCGAAGCAACTGATACACCCTGCCTCTGCACCGAAGTACTGGGGCAGTCCATGCAAAAACTGCAGAGATTCGACCAGGGAGGACCTCATGTCAGCTGGTTGACTAGGCGCTTCGCAGTATCCAGGTGCATCTCTTACCTACGACTTCCACTCGTTCCCGCTCCCTTTTTTGCTCGCATTCCTCCTTCTCCAGCAGGGCTCAGCAGCGGTTCTGGAAAAGCGTCGTCTGCTTCATGGTCCAATAAAGCCAGCCAGCGCCTCCCAGCACAGATGCTATGATCTCTTCACTTGCTCGCTGCCGCTGCTGCAATATGTTAGCTAGCAAGAAGTGATAGAATTTAGGTCAAGACGCTCATGCTCGCCCAGAATCCCTCGGAGCTCCTGCATCTCACACTCAGCACATGCCCTGGAAACAGTGACAACGTCAGCTGCTGCACGACATTGTTCGAACCACACGTCCTGCAGCAGGCCCTTCACCCCTTCACCGAACCGGGCCGAGATGGCCCGAACAAATAGAGGTGAGCCCCGGCCTTGCAGGACTCAAAAAAAAAAAAAAAACGCGGCGTTCTTCGTCTGGGCGGCGAGTGAAAAGAAGGAGTGAAGAAGGGGCATCCAAGCTCCGGACCATAGGCATCTGCATCCTTGACCAATCGGTACAGATTGTCCTGCTTTGCACTGAGCAATGGCTGTAGGCAAAGATTTCAAGCTACTTCAAGCACGGGGACACCCCAAATGTGACAATGTACTTGAAAAGCAGCCCATATGCCAAGCGTCGACTTTGGGCAACGTCTGCTGAGGATCCAGATCGCACTTCGTGGCTACCACGGCGCAGGGTTTGCAAGCCATGCTTGGAGAAAAGACTTCGACTTCTCGCTGCAAGCTCAAGAAATCTGAGAAGGGATCCGAGGATCTCGCGCAGTCCACCACGTAGAGCAACACTTTGGTTCTCTCTAAGTGGCGCAGGAACTCATGTCCCAAACCTGCCCCGGTGTGAGCCCCTTCGACCAGCCCAGGCACATCAGCGATGGTTATTGAAGAGCCATCCAGGAAATGGACTTTGCCAACGTACGGGGCAACGGTGGTAAAAGGATAGGGCGCAATCTTCGGACAAGCGCGACTCACAGACCCTAAGAGGGTAGACTTTCCAGCGTTCGGCATGCCTACCAGACCAATGTCAGCCACCATCTTAAGCTCAAGCTCGACTTTGCGCACCTCGCCAGGCTCACCCAAGGTAGCTTCATGCGGGCGGGCCATGTTGTTTCCTCGGCAGCAGGTCTACGGAGTCAGTCAGAAAGTGGCGGAGAATTCAAACGCAAAGACTCGAAAGGCTGTACGGACGCGTGCAACGCAGAGTCTCCGAGACCACCCCGGCCCCCAAGCGCAACCACAACGGAGTCTCCAGGTTTGTCGAGATCAGCCAGTAGCTCACCACGCACAAACTTCGGTGCCTGTTCGCTTGGCTCTTCCGGCTGGACCATCTGGCGCACCGTGACACCTCGAGGAACAACGATAAAGCAATCCCGACCTGAGTTGTCCGGAAGGTTCGGAAGGTTAGTCTGAAAGTGACAGGTCAAAGGTCAAACTGCAAAGATGATGCCATCTGCTGTGGGCCTGACCGGTGTCGCCATTTAGATTCCCCTTTCGGCCAGATTCTCCGCTTGGAGCTTGCACGTGCCCTTTGAGGTGTGCCAGACTGTAATGCGCACCGCTGGCCTGGGCACTCTAGTCAATGGTCTATAAGGGTGGCCTACCCGGGCCTACCCCCTGAGAACAGCTGATCACCCCACTGATACTTGAGAGCCACGGGCTGGGACGAAAGCTCTAGTAGGCCTAGGACTGGGGACACGGAGCTTACAGGAACAGAGAGGCCCCAGCGAAGCATGTGGCCGCACGATACGGCCAGCATCAGCAGCATCAGGCACCACACCCAGGCATCAGCAGCATCAGGGGGGCCCCGCTTCTCCTTCGAACGTCTCAGAAAAACACTTAACAAAGAAACCCAAATCTAGCCCAAAACAGGCCCCCTTGGCAACAATGGTTTTCCCGGCACCAGACCGGGGATAGCCGAAAAAACCCACCAAACTCCCCCCACCCCCCCCCCCCGCACCCACCCCGATAACCCCAGGCTCACTTTGTGAGGTATTGAACGAAGCTCCCACAGGGGGAGCTTTCGTGACTTGCGCAGAATCATCCAGAAGTTCTCTCATGTTGCTTGTCAATGCAGCAGTACCAGTCAAGAAGTGTGGCCAAGAAAGCACAACAAAGCCATAAGTTCAAGAACTTCTACTTTCGGACAACTTTCTTCAGGTTCTGCCCAGGCACTTTGACCACAACATCGCCGCCTTTGCCTGCAGCAGACGATGCGCCCACTGAGACAAGAGTCCACCCAGCAGCCACCGAACAGAACCCCCTTGTGTTTCATCTCCGAGATGCCGCCACTGCCGCCACAAGGCCATCCAGGTCCCAACCTCATGACTCATGACCATATGTGACCGTGACAAAGGCTCATTAAATCATTGTAGCTCCTGACCATCTGCAAATGCCCCAACCTTAGCCGCCAGCATCTTGTGCTTGGCGTGCTTCTTGTAGGAAAGGGCGCCTCTCCAGTCCCATGTCAGTGGCACTATGTGGCACTGCTATGATGCTAGAATGAGGAGCGTGCCCGCTCCACCGAAGCCGCCAACCACGTGCAACACACGGCGGTCGACAAGGTGCCTAACAGAGAAACCACCACTGTCTCACTCTTGAACCCTCGGTCCATCTTCGACCCTTCCCCTGGGCCTCGAGAACTGCATCCCCTCGCCACGATCCACAAGGCTGGCATGGTGCCGGCCTCCGGTCGGAAAAACCTCACCCTAAAATCACGGGCCCGGGGGCCCACTGGCCCTCACACCGCCCCTCCCCTTTTCTCACCGATTCAGCCACTGGGTCTGGTCTACAAGCCTGAAGGTGGTCGGCTGGACAAGTTCCAAAGATGATCCCTGCGGGATCTGGGGCCTATAGGGCCTAGGGGACATATGGGGGGGGACATTGCACTCAACAAGGGATCTGCTGCCGGCCACGGAAGATGCCAGGCTCACAGGCAAGGATGGCCTTTAAACTCTGCCTATGCAGATTCAGGAGGATTCGAAGCCGTGTTGAGCTCGAAGTAGTTCCACGGCTGCAGCGAGAATGATACACCGAAGTTGGAAACAAGCGGAATGTCTTCTTGACGGACGATGTGCTCCTGGAGCAGTTCGCAACCATGCGGCTACCAGTACCGTTTGACAGAATTGCGCCCCAGCAGGTCCTTGTTCAACCCGATCCAAGCAACCAGGTCTTCGTCCATGAGCGACTCCTTGGCAAGCGGACCATGCCCAAAATTCGTGCAGTGGCGCACGCATCCGCTTGCAACTGCCACCAAAACCAATCCAAGCGGCATTGTTGCTCAAGAAAACATCTAAATCCTGAGCATACTGATCCTTCCATGGCTTCAGGCCATCAAAGTTCCTGAGCTCATCTTCTGTGCTACTGACAAGCATGTGCGTCGCGCATGTTGTGGAACAGTAGTCCCGGCTGCTGCCTAGCCACACGTATGGCGATGAGGGTCGGTACTCGTGGTCCTGCACGCTTCACTCAAACTCACGTGCGAACCAATGCCAACGCATGTCACGGAGCCACTTGGGGCCGCGCCTGGTACTGTGTGACAGCAAGATGGTACTTGGTCCACGGCATCGATTGAACGAAGGGATGCGTTGCCGAGTGCACCTGGCCTGTGGAGAAGCCAAGCAGCTCGATACGGTAGCCACGAGGATTGAGAGCGCTCTTTTCAGGGCTCGAGGAGGTGTTGCGGTTGACGATGGCCCAGGCTTTGGGCACCATGGGATCTGCAACGAATGTTGAACGTCCCGCGCCCTCCCGATCCACGTATCGCTGCTCCAGGATTTTGGTGGGAAAGCGCTGTTCATTGGGATCCGCCTTCCATTCAACTCCAAGTCCAGAGGATTCATGCTCACGCACTTCAGTGACCTGGAGGGCATTCTTGCTTCCAGCGATTTCCAGGTCTACCTTCCAGGCAACACTGTGGGTGTGAACAATTCCAGCAACGCCCGGACGGACGATCGTCGAGAATCTTGATTCGCCCACACCCGTGAAGCGGGTTTCAGGATAGCCGGCGAAGCGGGTTTCCACATTGATTTCACCATCCTCACCAACAGGCCGTGGGGCTAGAAGCCGCTTAGGGCTTACATGGGTTTACCTTGGCTGTGCTTACAGTAGTGGCCCGGTAGGGTCGGGTTCCGAGAGCTTGGGTCTTTGAAGGTTCCGTGGCTGCAAGGTGCTGTCCTCGCGGAACTTTACATCCATGATGTAGTCGTAGTTGCCAACAGTGGCAATCGACCTGACGAGAACCGTCTTCCGGACGTATCCACGCGTCTTTCCACCATCCATATGCCTCCAGATTTCGTGGTCCTCATCCCAGTGAAAGACGCAGATGGGCCAGAAAGTGTTGGACTTGCTCGGATCCGGAGCCTTGTACATGTCCGGGCCCATCCAGTTCACTGCAGAGAGGAAGGTCGCATCCTCCGGGCAGTCGACGCCTGGCTCCAAAGACGTGCTCCACTGGGACATCGTGTAGGCCGAGTCCGAGTACATGAACTGATCCCTGACCGCCCCCCCATAGATTGCCTGGGAATCCATCACAGCAAGCTCATAGGCAATGCGCTCACCACGGAACTTGATGTCAGTGATGGCCACACCAGTGGAGGGACGCTGCGTGACGGAGAAGGTCCAGGGGCCCCAGGCCACGCCCTGGTCTTGGCTCTGGCTGCGCGATCCGCCCTTCGCAGGCGACTCCTGCTGAGGAGTGTCCCAGTCCCCAATGGCCAGCTCGGGGTGGCAAACCTTCAGCTGGCCTCCAGCATGGGCCGCCAGCACCTCGACGGTGGAATTGAAGGGGCCTTGGCCGCAGAAGGTGATGTGGCTCACCGTCCACTCCGACACGTCCCAGGAGGTCATGTTCACCTCGAAGTCGAAGGGGATGGGATACAGCCACTGGGCATCAGGGCGAGATGGGGGTGGAGGCTGCAAATTGCTCTTAACGCGAACCCGCCGGGTTCCGGCAGGAGCGAGGGCATCATTGCGCGGCAAGTATCCAGCAATGCCTTTTCCAGGCACATAGCCTCCCTTGCCCTCCAAACACGGCCAAATCTTGCCAAAGGCTTCAATCAGCAAGCTGCCCATCCCTTCGACAGTTTTGTTGTACAAGCCACCAAGAAGATTGGTCTCTTCAAAGCCCGGCCGCTTGGAATATGGGATGCTCCCAGCAGGAACAAGCTCCTGGATCGTGGCGTTCGGCAAAGGGCCGGAGGGGCCCAGCGGCCCCACCTTGTACTCCACCACGGTGGACTTGGTGTTCACGGTCACCCGGGCGAATCGGGGCGGCTTGGGACCCTGGCCATCCAGGTAAGCCAGCGTGGCCTTCTTGGCTGGGCGCAGGAGCTCTACGGCGGAAGGCCCCGCCAGCCACTTCTCGACCGATGGGTCGCTGCGGGCTGGCTTGGCACCAGTGTGGGCCATGAACCATGATGACACGCCCTGCACCTCTGCCAAGCTGAGTTCTCCGAGAGCCTCGCTGGCACGAGAGCTGTAGAAGCGAACCGGGTCCGATTGGTTTCGGCCATAACGGTTGCATGAAGGTAAGCTGCCAGGGTGCACCACTGGGCTATTGAGGGACATCACCAAAGTAGCGCCCAGGGCAGCAGAGCATGTAGCAAGAAGAGCCGACGACCAAAAACGAGACGTGGGATGACAACTCGACTTCCCGGCCTCAACTGCTTTCTCTGCAACGGGAAACTCCATCAGCGGCGGGCGCTCAGCATCTGGAAGCGGAGATATATCCCTTGCCTGTGCCATCATGGGCAACAGCTGGCCAAACCCTGGCTTGACCCAAGCTGGCGATCACGACCACGTAGGTGCACTCACATGCAAGCTACATTGCTGTTGAGGTTCTATTGGCACTCTGCGTCAGCACACTATCCCCAACACAGGAAGAACCTTGAATGTGGGCCTGATGCGAGCAGCACTGCTCGGCCAGATCTGCAGGTCAGGCTCCATGGCTTCATGCGTCAACCTTTTGGTGAGGCCTGCTTCTCAAGCCTTCGGAAGGGCCCTGTTCAACTCTTATGACTTTTGTAAGCAAACTACAGATGACCTTGCAGTCAGCATTGGACAAGTCATGCTCTCATGCTGGGAGATTCCGTTATCTACACACAGACAGAAGAGCCGTCCCACAAACAAACAACCAGTCTGCCATACAGCATGAGGAGCCATGTCCCCTGATGCGCGCTGAAGCCGTGACACAAGTATCGGCACGTCCGGGGACAGCTCCTGCATCGCATTCGTCAAGCGGCGATAACACTGGAATGACAACAGCGAAGCCACACAGGTAAGCCTCATGAGCGCGCCCGTCCTTTATGCGTGCACTGAGTTGGCTCACGTCTGGAACCTTCCAGGAGCAAAAGGCCGGCACAACACGGGCAGACGGGCTTGCTTCGAACTACGAGCAACACCTTCCCAAGCCAGAACTCGTACTTGCTCTTCAGCAGCTTGAATCGCAAAAGGTGAACCTGACAGCAGCATCGGCTGAGGCTTCAGCGGCTACATTCCCTGCGCATGCGCAGCCACAGATCCCAGGCATCATGCGCAGGACTCCCCAGGACCCTTCCTTTCTGGCTCAAGCCCATCGGCACTGCCGCCCGGCAATGGACTAAACAGGGCCACGGAGACCTATCTCAAAGCAGGAAAGGGTGCTTCTTCGAAGATCCCCTTTCTCTGCAGGATGCCCCAACTGAGATTTTTAGGCTGCATCAACGTGAGCCTGTCTTCCTTTTTTGTTGGGGGGGCACTTCTTTGTGCACAGCTTGGCTGTGTTTAAAAGTCTGCTCCTCAGAGCCGGATGGGCAGGCTTGTAACCTGCATATACAAAATGCAAAAAACAAAATGCCAAAAAAAAAACGCTTGGCCTCGGATGTCAGCTCCCGCACGCTTGCAGGCGCGCTAAGCTACGTCACCACCAGGCCCGTCAGCAGCGCAGCGGCATCGTCCCATGGGGCACTTCTTGCTCACCATGCCTGCCTGGGGCTCGAATCTCGAAGCAAGCAGTGACAGCTTGAACGACAGCTGAAATACCGTTGCCTTGGCAGCGGACGCCCTTTGTGCATCTGTGGGGGAGGGCCTGCCAAGTCCACTGTGATCTTTCTTAGCCGTAGCCTTTTCTTCCCTAAAGTTGCCAGGCTGCGAGCTCAAAGAGATACAACCAACTGGGCACCAGGCTGCCGGCGCTAACGCCGTTCTCGGAACTCATCGCAAGGAAAGGGTTGGACCAAGTGTGCTCATGCCGCTTGCCTGACCCAAAAAAGCCAGAATCAATCACCTGTAGGCTTGCCAGAAGCCCGCCAAAATCACGTTAAGAGCCACGACCGAACTGAACTGAAGCGGTCCGTGCATAGACACAACATGCGCGGAAGTGACAAGACCGTGATATGCCGCAAGGTCGCGTCCGCAAGGCGATGGTGCAACGTATGGCGCTTCATAGAGCTTCTTCAAGTTGCGCCCAGCAGGCGTGTGCAAGCCTCGAAGTTGTAAAACCGACAATTGTAAGGAACTCCCAAGTTGACCATGGGGGGCACCCAGGATCTCTTGTAAGCCCGAAACCGAAAACTCTCCAAAGCTTGGTGTTGTCCACATCCTGAGAACCGGAATGGCAGGAAGCGCGGCATCACGGAGCCACAGTTTGCAACTGCAACTCAGGCAGGTGCTCTTCTCCACGACTCCTTTCCAGGAGTTTCATGCTGCGTCCTGAATGCTGGCAAGCATGAACGTCAGCAGTTGTGTTGAAATTCCTTTGAGTTGCAAGGCGTGCGGCCAGGGTTCAGCCTAATCAGCGATGCCACACGCTTCTGGCTGCTGCATCGCATGGGCTTCTTCTTTTCCAGAACTGCAGGGAAGTTCCAGCGAAGGTTCAAATCTCGGCAACTGTGCCAGAATATCAGCATTTACCAGCTCACTGGTTCAGCGCACTTGGTTACTATTGGTTACTATTCTTTCCCGCGGCAGCGCAACAGACTCCTGCGTCTGGAAGGTTTGGGCTACGAAGCCCAGGCTACATTGAGGGAGGACACCAATCTTCAAACGTGTTGCTTTTGCATTACTCCGCACCTGCCGACACCCCCGCAGGATCCAGGCCCGTCAAGCTGCAGCGCCTGTAACGATAACACCGTGAGCTTTGTCGATATGATAAAGCGAAAGAAGCTTGCCATCTTGAGACTGCTTTGACTGCTGCAAGCTGAACTACTGCTGATGCAGCATGGCTCATATGTTGACTCGTGGCTGATCACTGCTGTTCACTCCCATCTTCACCCTGCCACACAAGAGCTCTTCAAGCCGACCTCTTCTTTGCAGAATCTGCGAGGTCCTCCGCACACACGGAGTCAGCAACATGCTGCATGTACCTGAGTACTGCGAGCCGGCCAGTCCTCATGCCCTGGGGACTTGTTGTGCGACTCCGGATGTCCTTGCACAAGCACCTGCCCACAAACAGCATGTGCCACCTCTCGAGGCGCAGCTGGACAAGCGCTGAAGGCCAAAAACTGAGTGGCTCACAGCATTGCGGAGGATTTGCCTCTTGACGCCTTTCCTCTCTGCCAGAAGTTCCAGCCTTCATCATGTGCTCATCACGTGCTCATGATGTGCCTTTTAGGAAGATGTGGAGCGTCATGGAGCATCCACCGCTTCTCCGGGTTTCCGACGCTATCTCGAACTGGAGGAAGTCAATGTTGCGTGCCGAATGATCCTTCTCGTTTGTCTTACTTGCTTGCTCCAAGCTGGACGGGCTTCCACACAGGCTAGGATTCTTGTGCAAGCAGCTCTGCCTTCACCCGAGAATCAGAAAACACAAGGTCCACCTGATGGTGCCATATACGCCATATGACAGGTGACTCGAATGGATGTTGGCACTCTAGCTGGGCTGGCTGCAGATGCCGTGTCGAGCTTGTCATCCAGGATGTGGCAGTCCTACACACAGTCCTACACACACACCGTATACCAAACAGAGACTGCGTGGCAAAGAGCCGTGGTACTTGCCAAATGAACCTTCAGCTCTCCGCACAGGCCTTACAAAGCCGATGGAAGTTGGTGCCAGACAAATCTGCCTCGCAGAAAGCTCAAGGAGGCAGAGACCAGGTAGCGGTTCCCTCCTCTGGCAGCTGAAAGGTGCAGCTTCGCGGCATGCCCAGGGCCGCAGAAGTTGTAGAACACTGCTTCGAGGCCATCACCATCCTTAAGTCACCATCTGCACCAGGTGTGCTCGACTCAATGAAGCCAATTGTGTTATTGTTTTGGCCAAAATAGAAATGCCGAGTAGCACTGGGGGCCAAGATGGCCTTGGCCTTCAAGACCTCCTTTCTCCCTTTGCCCGCATGGATCCAGGTGCGAAACCTCAGCGATTTCCGAGCCATGGCCAAACTGACCACCTCCCGAGATCTTGATAACACAATCTGCTCTCCTCTCTTCGCTTTCTGCTCAGAAAGCCACTCCTCGTATGAAACCGCGCCGTCGCCGCTTTTGTCCAAGTCATCACCTCAGCTGACCGAGTTTGGCCGATGGCACCCTCTTGCAGCGATGGCATCCAAATCGTGAGCATTTGTTGAGAGCTCTTAGGGGCTCCGGCGGACATGGCGCACTTCGTCGTTTGAGAAGCTTCCCAACACCTTCACTCCCGCAAGACTCTTGCTTCATCCCAGCATTCTAAAGGTCCACCTTGAGGGCATTGGTAAGCTCGCCGATGTTGAGCATGCCATCTTTGGTCGAGTCGTATTTGTTGAATGCCTCGGTGTCTTGTGCCCGAGTACCACAGTGCAGATCACCTATGTTGCTGTCCACCGCACCTGATGAATCCGTGCCTCTCGGGCTTTGCCTGACAGCTACGCAAGCATGCGCCGAACGAGTGAGTCAAACGGCCCCAGGCTTCTGGCCTGTTTCTTTCACGATCCTTGGATCACGTGGGAAAATCAGTCTGGCCACTTTTGAGAAGCACGGGTTCCTCCAGCAGCTCTAAAAGATCTTCCGGTCACCTTGGTCTTGCACACGGGAACACTCTTGTTTTCGTCAGCTCTTCAAATGACTCTCCGCTGCTGACATGCTGTACATGATCCGCAGCCGCCGTCCAAGTTAAAAGTTCAGCTCACGGCATCTAGACTACAAACTGTTACAAACGTTTCGACTAACGTTCAAAGGAACATTGCGGTGCCATCTGACTAGAGACAGCAGATCAGGGTGCAAATGTAACTTTGCAGGAACACCATGCAGGTATATGCAGCTTAATTTGCATCCAATTCTCAAGCCAGGACTGCGATGTCCGGCTTTGACGGGCCAGCAAACATTGCACACACCTTGAAGAGTACAGTCTTTGGCCAGTTCTGCCGCTGAGCAACCATGAATGCTGTTTTTACCGTAGCGCGGACTCCAGCAGGGAAATGCTTGTGGGTCTCCGGGGTCCACTCTGCTCCCAAAGCTTTCTTCAGATCCTCATGGCCCTGGCACAAATCTTCGCAGGACATCATTGATTGGCCCCGCTTCCGTTGCAGGCTGGGGTCTGCACCAGCACAGACAAGCATGGTCACAAGGTCGGGCTTTCGCTCCACAAGTGCAATGTGGAGAGCAGTCTCTTCGACAGGCACGCAAATGACAGATGAAACGAAGTTGTCAGAACGCGGATCATTTGTTTGAGATTGCACTCCAGAGTTCTCGAGTTCAAGCCTCTTCCGCACAGCGTTGACCTTGGTATCACCAGCATCCATCACCACACAAACTCAAGTACACTCACGGACTCAAAGGTCTTGAAGGTCCCTTTTGCTACTCTGAAGCAGCCTTAAGAGATCTCAGACAAGGTGCACTGGCGCCGCTGGCCAGGAGCGCTGTGCACATCTCTACAGCACAAGTGCTGCTGCTGGAAGCCCGGTGGAGAGCCGTTTCTTCCTGGAGCACAAGAGGCAACGGCATGGAAATTCGTGCTGCTGCCGGTTCGCGAGCCCTTCATGCTGTAGTGTCAAAGACGAAAACCTACTTGCAAAACCAGCACACCCGCTCAGAGAATGTCCTTTTAGTAATGCCAGACGCAGACTAGCAGCTAGCACAACCGACGAATCAGATGCAACTTAGATCATCTTGCACATGTACTCATACACAGCAATCGCTGCACCAGCCCGGAAAGGGCCGCCCCCACCAAGATATGCCAAGGCTCTGTGTGTCTGTTGAATCCTCGCTCGTTGAAGAACTGCTCTAGCGACCAGGCATCCGCATCTGCGCCACGGTCAAGCAAGGCCTTCACGGCATGCAGATTGCCTCCATCCACTGCCGTGTGAAGAGTTGGCACATCGCTTCGACCGTCGGTTCGCATGGAATGCACATCATGGATGCTTCGTGTGTTTGGATCTGCTCCGGCATTCAGGAAGAGCTCCAAGAAGTGTGTATCCTGGATTGCGTACGGAATGGCAAGGTCAAAGGCGCTACAAGTATGGCCGCAACCTCGCCAATCGTACTCCTCACTCTGAACGTTGACATCAGCCTTTGCATCAATCAGCGTTCCTACAACAGCCTTCCAATGGTTCAGCTGCTCTCGGTATGAGGAAGCGGCCTCATCTGACTTGAAGGGGCGCGCTCGCAAAGCGACATGCAAGGGGCCTTTCTTGGATTTGGAGCCCCAGACACCATCCGGATCATCGATGTAAGCAGCATCCGCTCCCGATGCTAGTAGCTTTTGGATTGCTTCCAAGTTCAACATTGATGCAGCCTCCAGGAGTGACTTGTTCAGCTCGGACATGGAGACCAACTACGGAATCGTCAAAGATAAGGCCTACAAACAAGATACTACGCACTAGCTACTTGAGCAACGCAGGGTGCATCTTGGAGATGGAACGATGAGGGAACCGGAGTCCCAAAAACATGTGGCCGAAGGCACGCCCTTTTGCTGCCAGGAGTCGTTTTCGTGAGCGCCTGGGCTCGATCTGAGCCCTGTCGCAGCCAGGAAAGGAACTCGCGGTGGGAGACCTGTGCACTGCCAGCCATGCGGAGGGCGCGTTTGGGATCCGGTTTGGAGACAAGTTGCCGTTCCGTCCCCACCGGTGTCAAGCTCCTGACCTCATCGAATGCGACACATCACTCGCAAACTTCATCCCAGACGGGGCCTCCTAACTATGTCACTATGTCATGTCAGAAAGCTCAGCCGCACACTCAAAGAAACTATCTCCTGGATGCGAAGCTCCCCATCGAGAGTCTTGAAGACCCTGGGATCACTCGGCGCCAAAAACGACAGAGCTTGCTTTCGGAGCTTGAACGGGCTTGGGGCACACAGCAAAAAGACAGCTTCAGCAGCAAGCTTGGATGCATTCGGAGTGGCCGCCACAGCTCACTCCGGTCGAGCTTCCCATCACCATTCTGGTCAAACCGAGCGAAAACCTCAAGCTCATAACATCCGGATACATCAGGCCAGCAACGCAGGGACTTCGGAAAGTGTCATCCTGCCCAAGTGCAGTCCCTACCCACCGGTTGTGAGGGCTCGTTTCGCGAGTCGTGTGATTAGTGGCCTACGGTTGCCTACGGCGGCCTGCGGCGGCCTACGGGGGCGTACAATGTCCGAATCCGATTTGCCTTCATCATTTCTAAAGATGTGCCGCAGTCGTGTCTCAATGCAGGCCAAGATGCTTCTCTCACACTTGTGGCGAGGGCCTCATGGTGCAACTTGGTGCAAGAGATGCGCACGACAAGATTCCCCAAGCTGGCACAACGCATTCCCCCGAGAGCCCCCACTCTGGGGGGGCGCGCTCTCACGTACTCTGAAAATTTGGAAAATTGGGGCTGGGATTCTTTCTCAGAAGCGCGCAAACCCCCCTTGCACGAGAGAGCACTGAGGCATTGGCATCGCTGGTTGCCTTGATCAATGCCCTCATCACCTCACTCCCGGAAACACAGCGTCGGTGATATCTGCTGGTACGAGGGCACACACGTCTCAAGATTTTGGACAGGTCGACGCAGAGCAGAAAGCAGCTAAGCTGTGCACCTTCTTGGACTCGCCGGTGTCGGTCAAGATCCACTCGCAAAACCTCGTGTCCGGAAGGCTAGAGAAACAAGAAGTGTCCATTTGACTATGGCCAGCTGACACATCTGACACCGCCGAGGCTCGCTTCACGAGAAATCAAGCCGTCTCCGCCTGCACGGAAGTCGAGCTGCGATGAGCACTTGGTTTACAGGAACCCTCTAATGAGCATGATGAGGGTATTCAGATGGCAATGCCCAAGGCCAAGGCCTTTGTCGACATGCTTGAAGCAGGTATTGATTTGCCTCGGTGCATTCACGTGTCTTACTCAACTTCTCTCGTCACCTCGCGCCTGCATCAGAGCAGACCTTGCACAAAAGCGCCTTCTCCAGGCCTTCTCCATGCCCTCTCCAAGCCCTCTTCAAGCCCTCTTCAAGCCCTCTTAAAGCCAGGCCACAAGGGCGTGAAGTCAGGAACGAGGGTTTTGAAGACTCGATGAATCTCATGCCTGGGCTTCAGACTCAACCCACAATCTAGCGGCGACCGGGCTCGTGCCTGTCCAGAGTTCCACCGCCGTCCTCCGCAAAGAGGCTCAGATAAATTGACAGATAAATCGCAATGACCCACGGGCCTACACCAAGGAGTTGTGGACCAAGCTCCCAAGTAAACGTCACTACATGGGTCGCCGCATCAGACACAACTTGCAAGAATGCTGTCCTTGTCAAAGCGATCGAAAATGGATCTTATCCTGGCTGTAGCGCAGAAACAACCTACAAAGTCCTGCAGACCGCATCCCCGGCTTTCCCCCTATCTCCTTTCGGCAAGCGAATCCATCCCGATGTGGATGCCTGTGCGACATAAGAGCACAACACCGAGAAGCATTTTAGAAGCTTGAGGATCTCCAGCAGAACAGATGCCCATAAACACAAATCCGACCGAGAAGCCATGGCCCACGTCGATGACCGCCTCGTGCTCCGCGGCTTCTGCCGTCGGAGGCGATGCGCTCGTGGAAGCTTCGGAGGAATCGAAGGTCACAACCTCAAAGGGTCAGCCAGTGGCTCAGTGGCTCAGCCAATTGCAGCACTTTAGCATCGTAAAGGCTCGCACCATCTCCGATGCCATTTCGGGCAGTCAGGCGAGGTGCACATAGCTAGCTTTAATCTATGCTTTGTGGAGCTGTGCTCGAGACAAGGTTGTGGAGGCGTGCTAACTCATGCTTGCGGCGGGCAAGTGCCTCCCCAAAAACCTGCCACATATATAAGGGCAGCGGAATGCGTTCATGGAACCATGGATCGTGACGAACTGTGTTTACAAAGTTTACAAACATGAAGTCACAACCACTCCTACCATGGCTTCAGGACTCCACAATGCGAGCCGGAGAAGCGGCATCACGGCATGCAACCATAGACATGCACATTCAACAGCTGCAGGAAAGCTTGGGTCTATCTTGGTGCAGCTCCTCTCAAACGCTCAACTTTGGAACTGAGCTAGACGTGATTTGTCTGAGTCAGCCCATCTTACCCCTGGGCCTCGAAGAGCTTCGTCGTCTCCGGTGGAACCGGTGGCCTGAGAGGAATGTCTATTCGTGGATCCTTTCCTTGTCAGCTTCAGCTTCCCGAGGGCCCTGGCAGCATGATCTCCAGCTTCTTGGCTTTCTCTATATGCTCTTGTGCCACATCACATACACCTCAGAAGCAGACTTCTTGGACAAACTCTGTTCACTCTTCGAGAAAACTGCACGAAATCCTTCGTGCCCTGATCCTTGCTGTGCTTTCAGCCCTTCTCATCCCCTCCGCCGAACCCACCAACCCACTCTGCTTTGCTTGACGTTCGGTGCCCGGGGCCGGGACGCGAAGCCTCTCCGAGCTGCTTAGCAGACTCTGCACAGTAGGCCAGCTCCTTTCGAAGCAACAAAAACAGTAGAGTCAGAAGGGGATGTGGTAGCAACTTGCATGCTGGATACACTGACAGCGTGCTCGCACATCTCTCCAGCATCACCCGTGCCCTGAAGGGAATCATGTACACTGCCATCAGCGGCAGGCAGGAGTGCATGGACTCCACCATCCTCAGTGTTGCTTCATAACATATCTACTTTCTACTTGAATTTGAACAAAATTCAAAGAAAATGAGATGCCAGCAGCCAAAGAGGCTGAACGCATAGCTCGGCAAACCCATGAAGTCTCAGCCATCTAGAGATGCCTGAAATCGCAAAATGTCACAGCGCGGCATCATTGCATGCAGTGCAAAAGCCTTGCAGCAGATGCCAGGAGCCCAGCGCATGCAAAGAAGGCTGCTGTTGTACAGGCACCAATAGAGCTCCTCACGCACCTCCTAACACGTGGCTTCAGTGCTCAAGCCCTCCACATTATGCTCATGACATCGCTGTTCTTTTTTTGATTTGTTTGAGAACTCCTCTGTCTGACCACAAAGAGCTTCGACGGACTGAAGGATGTCACGAAGAACATCTCGAAGAATGTCGACCTGCGGAGTCTTCATCTGCTCAAATCCTAGACTCTTGGTTTCTGGGCGGGGAATACTGCAGGAGAAGGGAACCTGTCAGCGGTTCAGGTGCATGTAATGAAACGAACAGATGCCAAGCTGCCGACTGTGTCCGGCCTGCACCCGGAAAGACATTTTCAAGGCGAGCGACATGGAGAGACCCGGCAGCATGTGTATGGCCGAAAGACCATACCTGTCGTAACAAAAGCAACTGCACCCTCCAGCCTCCTGGCAGCATCGTCTCGATGAACTGTCTGCAGAAACAAGGCGGTCGATGCTCCCAGACAATAGCGTGAGAAGACCTGCATCCAGCACAACTCCACGGACTTGACAGCTGCAACGTCAGAACCAAGGCGAAAGCCGAAATCTTCCTGGAAGGAGGCTCTCCAAGCTGGTTCCTGGGCATTCGAATGCAGTGAGCTCTCATTGATCAACATCCTGTCAAAGGCGACCCTACCAAGGCCCGGCTACATCAACGGAGTTGCTCATCTCAACATAGCTCGTTACAGCTCGTTGAGCGCGCTGCTTGGCAATCTCTGCGCGGAGCTGCACAGCCCGGTCGCAATAACGGTAGAAGACCTAACATGGTTGCTGCCGAAAGCAGATGCCAGCATACTGTATTAACGCCCTGCGCGCAATAACCTGCAACTGCTGTCAAGCAGACTTCCCCACCTCACAGAAACGGTGCCTCCCCAACCCTATTTTTCGAGGCCCTCATTTCCCTTCCAGTACCCTGTTGGAAAACGGCCATGGTACATCTTCATACAGGTGTGTGGTCGCCAACTGCAACTGGGTGTGGCATGGTGTGCCTCCTGATAGGCCAGCTTGTAGCGCCGTAGGTTCAGCAAACGCTCGCCACACTTGCAAACCTGGGCCCAGCGTGCGGCACAGTGCCCACAGGGCATTGCATTAACTTGCTTGTGGAATGCTTCGCGCTTTTCTGGAAACAAAGGCCGCCGAGACTGTGCCACGGACCATCTCGCAGAAGTCCGTGGCGTCAACACGAGATATCCAAGCTTTGCCAAACGCCTCGAGAGTTGCGCCTTTTGATGGTTGACACAAGCAACACAAACAGCTTTAGGCATGTCTAACTCTGTCTACCCACTTCAACAGAATGCCATCGCCTGGGAAATCGCATCACTCCACTGGAGGGCGTGGCCAGCCTGAGGGGGCCTCCCAGGGATGAAACACAGCTGTGCCCGAAAGCGTCCAACAATTCAGCTCTCCCATTCAGCCTCGGAATTTCCACTGTGTCCACATCGAAGCCTGACAGGCAAACGTCACTTATATTCTGCAAAAATTCAAGCGTTGGAACATCGAAAAGCAAAAGGCAATATTAGAGTCAGCAATTCTCAGGTCGAGAAGCTCTGGGGTACTACGAATCAAGTCTCACACACACACACACACAAAAGGCGTGTAGAACCCGACCAAAAACATTGTCAAGGCCTTGCGTTCGCAGTTGTTCTGCCAACTTGTCTTTGTCGTCTTCGCCTCGGCAGCGCAAAGAGACAAACGCAGTTACCCGGGACCTGGGCGATTGACAAAAGCTCTTTGATGTTGAAAGTCGACAACATTTCAGGATCTGACTGATGCCCAACAACATGTCGGCTGTGAGCTCGACCTCCCACACAAAACATGAAGCATAGCCGATCTGCGACACTCGAGGAGCATTTAAGGCGAATGTGCTCACGAACGAGATGGCACATGCGCGAAGATGTGAAAAAACATTCGCAGAATGAAGCCTGCACATCTTGGCCATCTCTCAGCTTGGCCAGGACTGACTTGCCATCACTGCAACGGGAACCATTAGCCTGGACAAACAAAGAAACGGCTTGCAAATGACCAGACTTAGCTTTGCTCATGAACAGGGCACGAACTGCGCAATGAATGAAACATGCTGGGCTCCTGGCCGAAGGCAAGGTTTGAGTTGCCACCTGATCCAGGATTTTGTCGACCTTCTCCGTCAACTCCTGGGCATGCTTTATGAACGCATGTCCGAATAAAAGTGACGTGTGCTGTCACTCCTCCATGCCATCAGCTCAGCAGCTCATGCACCATGCTATACGGGAGTTTACTATCTCTAGGGGGTACCATATTGGGGTCCCTTGGATACGGGGATCCTACTACTTGGGGGGGCTATTTTGGGGTCCCCTATCTTCGTAAACCCCCATATAAATATGTACAACCAGGTGTCACACAGTCTGTTGATGGGCGGCCGTGCGCTGCACTCTACCACGAAGCGTACTTATCGCACGGGCCCAAACACGACGGCGGCAGGCGAGGTTCATAGAGAAGCATTACATGGAAAAATGTGATGTTGCAAGCTCTGCGTTTACGACTCTTTTGCAAAAAAAAGGAAGAAGGGACAGAGTTGGTAGGGTGGGACAAACAATGAACAGCTTTTGTTCTTGAACACTGAGAGCCCGGCGAAACTAATTTGAGAAGCGCTACAGACAACCTAGTTACGGGAAATTACCAGGCATGCAACATCAAAGGCGGAATGTAAACTACCTGCATAGGCGTCCGACCATGTACGCCAGCGAGCTCAGAGGGGGCTCAAAACTACACTCTGGAGAAAGTGTGGGGATTAGAAGTCCACGTGCGCTTGTTTCTTCCACCCGCGCCGAGCGGCTCGGGTCAATCAGCTGCACATACTGCCGTCTTCTTGATTGTTTTTGCAAAAGCACGTGTAAAAAACAGCTTCTGCGTTGCGAGACCTGCGTCCCGTGCATGGTGTGACTCCTGTGCGTATCCTTGTTGGCAGGCATTTGGACTCAAACAAAATACACACATGGGCTCTGCGTGAATATTGTAAGACTCGTTCTAGGGAAGGGCCCTTCCGTTTTGGAGAGTGTCGAAGACGAAAAAAGCAAGACAGCAGCTTTGCCTGGCTGAGGAGAGCGAATCCTAGATTCTAGATTGAACAACAAGTAAAAAGTAAGCGGTACACCAAGTGAACGCTGCCGACGGAGGACTTGGAGGATGAGATGGCAAAGGACAAAGACTTAGAGCATCCATGCTCGGCTCGTTCTTCTGAGATGTCTCCTTTTGCTTTGCAAGACGATCCTCATTGTCCTTCCTTTGCGCTTCTCGTCGTGGCGTTGTCTCTTGCTCTTTCTTCTTTTCTTAATATTCCTTCCTGTTGTCCTTCGTTGACTCTTCTTTTTTTCCTTTTCTTTCTTCTTGTCGGTCTTATCATTTTCCTTCTTTTGCTTTGTCTCTGATAAAGGACTCCACTCCGATCCTTCATTTTCCTCCGGAATCTTTGGGACTCTTGCTCCCAGTTTTCTCTGAATCGCTGCACATGCTCATTTTCAACTTCTGTTCCAGCAGCCTTCGTTTCACCAGTCTTCGCTTCACCGGTCTTCATTTCACTAGCCGTCGGCTTATCGCTGATTATCTTTCTGTACTTCAACTTTCTCCCGATGCCAACAATGGCTCGTAGCGTGGGAGGACCATCCACTGCTGTTTGCAGTGGCTCCTAAGCCTACCTTTCCTAAGTCTTTGCACAGGAAATATCGCAAAACAAACGCCATCGGTACGAGTTGTAATACGGGTCACTATACGTTCCCTGCACGGTCACTACGCGGTCTCATTCATGTAACCATGAAAAATCGCATTCATAAATTACAAACAGTTGAAGTGACAGACTTGGTGGCAATGCGAAGTTTGATTGCTTGTCTGCAGAGCATTCTATGACTTCTTATTGTTCCACATGTTACCCCTAACCCTCAGTCCTCAATTAAACCCTAACCGCAAACCCGAATTTAAAGCCTGAACCCTTATCCTTACACCCCAACCCTTCAACCTTTAACGGGTCCTGAGGGGAGAGGGTGGGCCAGCTTGCAGTAGCGACTCCACCCCTCCCAATGTGCGCCTCGCGGGCGACCTCGTCTCCACACCTTTGGTGTGCCCTGTTGAAGATGGACTTCTTGTCACCTTCTCCTTTGGTCACGGGTCTTCCGTGCCGCACTTCTCAGAAACTCTCCTGCAGCAGAGCTGCCCAAGAGACTCAAGACCAGATGACCAGTCTTCTCATTTTCCTGCATTGCAGGTCTGTACAACAAGCCTTTACGGACACATCCTGGAATGAGCACGTCCAAGCATCGAAGTTTGTGATGAGCAGGAGCAAGCCACACCTGTCTGCCGGCAATCTTGGAGACTGCCTTTGCTGTGGCCTGGAAGGTGACGATCATCTCTCGGAGATTAATTGCACACAACTGGCCTTCTTCAAGCAGCGGGTCGATGTACTCCTTGCCCTGGATTCCGTTCTGCGGTAACGCTATGGGTGGTAGGACCCCTGCAATGAGAACAAAATTCGCCAACAATTCCAGATACGAGATCCCTGCTAGTCTATGCTGCGCAAGGCCTGCAGCCGCCCATTGTAAAGTGCAACACCAATTCCAGAAAGCATCAAGGTACCATTGAGGCCAGACCGTGTTTGTGGGCCACTCAGGGGCTTGGGGCAACGGCGGGGCCAACCTCAAAGGTGGACCTGGCACGAGCTGCATCCAATGAGCAACTTTCATGTTTGAGTCGACTTGCGCTTTGTCTGAAGCTTGGTGCTGATGCCTACGAGGCGCCACGAATGCTGTTAGCTGGTGAAGATACTCGAAGAAAAACTGCAGACACTCCGCTTGCTGCATTTCCCAATCCAAGGAGATTTGAAGGTGCTCGTGAACCACTGGAAGGTCCTGCTTGCGGGCCTGCTTTGCAGCCTCGTCAACCACATGGTTACCTAACACAACCAAAAGATCCCGGCCCTGAAACGCATCCCCATCGCTATGTGCCTTAACCTTGTGCAACTTAAGATGCGAGGCGAAAGGTGCCTCCGTTTCGGAGGAGCACAGATCACGAATGGCGCATGAAAGAGGGAGGGAGCGGCCAGGGAACCGCTGCAGGAGACTAACTTGGCCGAGCGCGTATTTAGAGTCACTCCAGACCTCTGCGGGGAGATCTGGGCACTGCTGGCACAAGGAGGAAGTCTGCAACAGGGCACAGGTCTCGGCGCGATTGATGGTCTGTGTTGCTGGCACCAGACCCTGAGCAACCACGCAAAAGCAGGCTGGCATTTGTCCAGTTTGCTTCCAATGCGCCCATTCTGTGAACATACTGCGGATGTCTGTTCGGCAATACAGCAGGACAGCCCATGCTGCATGGCGAGCACCTTCCACTTGAGGGGAACTACAGGTGCCGTCTGTGAAGAAAATGAGTTGCTTGAGCGAATGCTTCAACACAAGGCCCCGTATGTCTTGAGGCTGCTGCAACCTGCGAGTGCTCCAGAGCAGGCGGAGGAACGGCGCACTTTCAGACTCAGTTGCAAAGGGACAGTGTATCCAATGCGGAGCATTCTCCCCCATCCAGTTTAAGACCGCTTGAAACGGTTGGCGGACTGCCGCAGTGGCTGCGCAGTGGAGAATTCTGTGGGACTTGGAGTCCAACTCTCCACAAAATTCGCAGGTTTTGTCTTGCAGGGGGTCCCATTTGGCTTGTGCTGCACAGGACATATGTCCACCCACAATAGACTGGGCTAAGTGGACTTGCAAGCCCGGGGCAAACTGCTGCAAGGTCGTATCCACTATCCTCGGGCAGGGGACCGGGGCATGGCACAGGCCATTCCTGTGGCGAACGCGAACAGCAACTATATGCAACCATGCTCCCCGAACAGCCTGACGGACCTGTCTGGTAGAGGAGTTTAGGACATGGAAGGAGTGGTTACCAGGCCCCTGGCACCGCCCGCCGGATTGCAGAACCCAGTCCTGTTTGCGAAACATGGTTGCGAGTGCTGTGGCAGGCCCACACACTGGGAACTCTTCAGCCCAAGCCTCACAGGCGAGACTCAAGACCGGAACACCTATCTCGGGCAGAGAATGGCACATACGCTGCAGCGTACACACTGCCTGAACGAGCAAGTAGGGCTCAGGATCTGTAACACGTGGTGTGAGGGCACTCAACGCAAGGTAGGATGACGCACTGTGTCGCTTGCCGATTAGGGCCTGCGCTGCATTTGTGCGGAGACGGTCCACCTGCCCCTGCGGGGGCACGCAGCCCTCCATACCGTACATTGAGGCAGGCCAGACGGAGGTCTGTATCAGGCGGGCCTTGTCGAGCAACGGGCGCTGCGTGCCCTGCAACCGCTGAAGTCTATCAAACCCTTCCTGAAACCTGTTAGCAGCCAGACCGAACCCTGCTAGTTTTCTGAATCGGTATACAACCCCGAGGTCTTTTGCAGTTTGGAGGACTGGCATGGACTGCCCTGCAGGAACCAGCAACTGAGCCTCATTTTGCCACCATTGCAGGGCCTTGGGGGACGTGGACCACGCGAAGCTCTTACGCCAATCAATCGGGAGTTTGAGGGACTCGCAGAAACTCTGGGCATCCAACAGCGCCCCCGCCAAGGACTGTTCCTCGTCACCCAACCATGACAGGTTGTCCACATAACTCCAGAATTCAACGTCCTGTGGCAATGGGCGGGAAGCTGCAAGCCAACAGATGGCCACTTGTGCAACCACGCTCAGTGGGTCGCCTTCGGGGACTCCTGTTGTGCTGGGAAACGGAAACCCGAGGTCCCCATGGAACACGGAACGGCGTTCCAGTCTTTTCAGGAAGTCCATCCACATTGTCAGGATATGCTCCGGGAAATGTAGATGTTTCAACAAATGCTCCAATGGGACTCTGGGCAGCTGGTTAAAACACTTGATAATATCGAGCGAAAACCCGTGCTTGGGCTGCTTGCTCAGCAGAGCTTTTTCAACTTGAGCCTCAATGACATACGCCACATCCCGCGAGGAACGGTTTGGGATGCTACCGCAAACGGAGATTGGGAGCCAAGAAGCCCACTTGCGGAGGATGGCCCGGGCTGCCACTGACGACCAAAGGCGATAGATTGTGGATAGCACGGTTATTGGTCGCCCGTGCCCCATGCATGTCGGATTGTCAACCTTGGCTAAGGTGTGAACGGTACCCCCCGTGAGACTAGTCGGACAGCCGTATTTGCAAGCAAGACTAAAGAGCTGCACGAGGTCAGCCA